CTCCTCCTACTCCTCCTACTCCTCCTACTCCTCCTACTCCTCCTACTCCTCCTACTCCTCTTACTCCTCCTACTCCTCCTACTCCTACTACTCCTACTACTCCGACTACTCCGACTACTCCAGGCTACGACTACTGTTACGTCTACTGCTAAGACTACTGCGGCGAATCCTCCGCAACTACTGCCAAGACTACTGCCAAGACCTCCCTCCCCCTCCCTTCCTTCCTCCCTTCCTTCCTCCCTCCTATCACCTCTTATCACCTCCTATCACCTCCTATCACCTCCTATCACTACTACTATCACTGCTACTATCACTATTACTATCACTACTACTACTCCTACTACAATAGATATTCAGCGAATAAATGAAAATAGCCGGCTCTTTTTCCCTCCTATCCTAGGCCAGTCCCTCCATCCAATACAAATGCCGCAACTTCTAACGCTTCTGCGGCGAAGACGAGGCGCCTGCGGGGAAGACGCCTGTGGGGAAAGCAAAGGCCGCTATAAGCAGGACGCCTAAAGTTATGCTTTTTTTTCACACAGTCAACACAGCGTTAGTCTATTCACACAACCTATTCATACAGTCACAGTGTTAGTCTGAGGAGTACACCAGGAGTTATTCTTTTTACCCTAAGTATACCTCTTTCCTTTTTTTTCCTGGATAGGTGCGTGCTTACCATACTAGTATCAATTCGTATGAATAATCTTTACATGAGCTCTTATGTTAGCGGAGGCGAAACGGAAAGCGACTGCAGCAAAGCCCTTGCTCCAAAGTAAAGAGCCACCACCCAAGACGGGGCCTGCCGCTGCGCCTGCTTATGGCATCAGCAATAGCTTCTAACGTATTTAGTCAAGCAGATGCTCTACTTTCCAACATGTTGATCCAGTGGTATGATTTGTGATTCTAGATGATGGCCGTGTCGTTTCAATTCTACGTGAGACCAAGCACAGACTTGCCTTCCCTGTTTTATAGTGAAAAGCAACACCTTTTTACTGATTTGAAGGAAAAAACAACTAGCAGTAGACAGGACCTATTTCTACCATCACACGAAGCAGAGAAAATGTTAATAAGTAGACAAGCACAACAAGCACTGAGCAACAGCTTGGAGCTTTGTGCGATACCTTGATAGTTATGTCTCTTCTAATTATAGACACAAAAAGCGGGTGACGACACGAGTACGAAGAGTACAGGAGGGGCTGGAGCTGCTATAATAGCAGAGGCGGCGAAAAGTGACGCAGGAAAAGCGAGTCTGCTGGAGACGCACCAGAAAAAGTCAACAGAGCTTACCCAGATGAGAGTGTACTGACTTATTTTCAGACTTTTTTTTTGCTCTCAAGGAAGATGCGAGCGCGGTAACTCTAATTAATACTATGACAGAATGGCTAAGACTATCTTACATCAGTGCTACTTCCCTGGTTGGAGCTCCACTGGGATTGATACATCCATTGATGATGATTCCGCCATATCTTTTTCAGCTCTGCTTCCGGACAGAGCTACTACCTTCGTGGCAGTGCGTCGAACAAGCGGGCCTCGCGTCGCGCGTGACATACTCTCTACGGGTCGCCGACCAGCATGTACTAGATGTAATAGTTGCACTGTGGTAGTTGTCATTTATACCCGTTAGGTGGTTGAAGACTGCCCACAGTATGCGAACTGGATAAAACTGGAGCCACCCTTCCGGCGGTCTTAGCCTACAAAAAAGAAAACTAGACTGCTTACCCGTTTGCATAGCTTTAGTGCCTGGCCGTCATGCTTCAGGCTTCTCGATGGGTAATTGAATGCCCGCAACGCCGGAAATTGTAGACACAGGCAACAAAAAAAATTGCCAGGGTGGGGCACATGAATGAAGTGCATCAACACTCATCGATCTCGAAGACTATTCATTACTTTCCCCCACTGCCTGGCCCTGTTGTATTTACTGGCTGCTAGTAGCATATTAATCAATCATCCATGTTAGCCATAGCATCTGCTCAGCATTACATAAGACACGTCAGAAGTCGTAGGATCTGTACTCATGATGCTTTGCGACGTCACTCTATCAAGTAACATTAACCCGCTAGTGATCATTGTCATTTGACACGATCTGGATGTGAGCTGTGAGCTAGAAGATTCGAACCAAAACAAGAAGCATTTGCCTTTTTAGTTACTGCAAATCAATATTTGCAAATAGTTGGAGAACGTTTTGCCACATTCTGACTCGAAGAAATTCTCGAAGAACTCAGATAAGCGACCAGGAAATGAACACTACGCATGAGCATAACTCTGCACTGTGCTATAATTATCTATGTTATAGAGAGTAGTCCGCTTATTTTCGAGTTACGGGCTGCTCGAGTTCTCTCGAGTTGCCACGAGTTGCCGCCACTCACATGCCCAGCCCGGAGCGAGTTGCTAAAGAGTTCCCCTCGGCAGCTTGCCACTTTGAAAGCGCAGCACCCCGCGGCGGTATGGCGGGCCAAGATGCCACGGAGTTCACGGGGAAGCTCGTGGCCGGTTGTTTCTTAGCAGATCCGCCGTGTGTATTGAAGAGACACGCCCCGGCCGAACTCTTAGGGGCTTGGGCTTGGCGAAAGTAAGAAGGCGAAGCTTGGGGCCTTGCGAAGTGCAGCGACTTCCTCGTGTGTCGCTGTTCCGGAGAATGAATACTGTGATTACAGTGTAAGTACCAACGAGAGCTCAGAACTAGACAGACTTGCTAGTGTTCGCATGCTCAGGTGAGGAAGTGAGTAGTAGAATTCATCACACGAGGATAAGCCAAGGTGCTACTAGTCTGTCGGGTGTAGGGTGATACTAGTCTGCTAAAACAATGAGGAAATCGGTTTGGACTAGTTCAGCTGAATAAATTGTATCGGTTCAGGCAATATCAAAGGAAATCTTTATCGGCCTGCATCTAGTGTCAATACGAGTGATCATCAGAGAAGAGCACATACCATGTCATTGAAATTGAAAAATTGAAAATATTGCCTTGCAACATCGGTTGATGTACATACCAGCACTCTCCTGTGACCACTCTCCCTGATAAGTGAACAGGCCAACGCCTAAACCACTAAGCCAATCAAACTACCTAGGGTTCGAGTCCCGGTAATATCAAAAAAAGTGACAGAGCCTAAAAATACGCATCGAGGCCAAAGGGTGGGAGGCGTCTGATCGAACGCGCTCCAGTGCACACACCCGCCACAGAATGAGCCAAGTCTGTAAGACGCAGCCACCGATGAGCCCGACATCGGCAAACTTGACCGGTCCCACCCAAGAAGGGGGGGGCCTGGCCACTGAGGTCGCGAGAATGGCGGAAGTCCAGTCCCCAATGAACCTGGCAGCCTAGTGATACCGGCCGCAAATGAAAGGCGGTGACCCACCTAGCTACGGCAGGGGGTGCCTAGCGACAGAGATCGCAAGAAAGGCGGCCGAGCCCACCCCGGTAGTTTGATTGATATAAGTGAACAGGCCAATCTCTCGACATTCCCCTCGTCCAATATTACGATGGTAATATGAACTATGACGCACAAGAAGAACTTCCTATGAATTTTAGGTAAGTAGGCAAACTAGGACTTTTCTATAGCTGCGACCTGTATGATACTGACGCTCATGTCCTCTTCAGACGAGACAACAGTATGCATTGCAATAGACTTCTATTTCATCCAATAAAAAAGTTTAGGAACCAGGGCACGTTGACTCAACTGGAGACAAGAGACACACGCTGTCCCAGACACACACACACACACACACATAGAATAAATTGACATTCTTGTGGTTTGTAAGCCTTTATTCTTGGACTGAACGCACTGCATTTGAAATATACGTAGTTGCTAGATTGATACGCATACATAGTAAGAAAGAGTGATAATTGATGAGGCCACCTGTATGCTACGAAGATTTCTTTTGCTTTGGTATCTAAAATAGCCTTAAGAACTATCCTATCATGTCGAATGAGGTGTCGGGTGTTAGTTGTTGTAAAAATTCGTGTATTGATATTTTGTTTTGGACCGATCCGTAAACTGCAAAAACTTCCTGTCTACGCCCACCCTACCTACAGCTCTGCTAAAAAATTTGTTGTCCCTCTTTTTGGATTCACTTACACCACCTGATCGATCCTGATCCGCGGGTCTGATACATCTTTCCTGTACACACGTTGGTTTGCATTCAAGACATGGTTTGTACTAGTTTAGAACTAAACTCTGCGGCTACACATACTCGCCTGAGGATACAGGTCAAACTGGACGTCGAGTCTATTCCTATCCTATCCTATCCTATCCTGAAGTGTGTCTCTGTTTTTGGTATTGGTTCGGCTTCGAAGTTCAAGCATCCTCCTGGTCGTGAAAGTACCGTTGAACGCCGCTAGCGGTGCTGCAAAGCTGGACAAAAGCATTCGCCGAGTACCCACCTGAATTATCTAAGTGTTTGAAATTTACCTCGACTTACTTCTAGTTTTGTTCGTTGCTTGTTTACTTCTACCGCGTAGCTCTGTTATCTGCAATCCTTTTTGTTTTTTCTTTGCTCTTCGTCCAGTTGCTTCTAGAACCTGTACTAGAAAATGATTAATACAGGAATTGGCACTTCTTCTAGAGAACTACAATGTTGACAAGGACACTTTTCCAACCTAGCAACTGTGACTACAAGGACCTGACCTAACCTCCAACCTAAATCTAAATCTAAATTGAATCTTCAGGTCCTGAAACAATGGGGAAAGGTTCTGGATCGGATGCGAGCTCCGCAAAGAGCACAAAGTCAAGGAGCACAAAGTCGGACCTAACTTCATTAAAGGCGTTTTCGGCTGTCGAATGGAAAGAGTTATGACGCGCTAAGAGAGTAGTAACGTTATTCGAATACTCAAAATTAGCGAGTAACAAATACCGGTAACCGAGGGTCTGAGATTATTCCCTAGGAAACTCGGTTACTTTAGTTTATCGAGTACTCCAACAACAAAGGTACTGGTGTTTATTCCATCTGTACGACCATCGAGGCTCCCGTCAATGCTCTACGTTTTGAAGGGGAAAAGGGTGGCCGTGATGGTCTGGCTAGATGGAATAGGCGCCATCCATAACTAACGTTACTCCAACAGCGAACGTGGATAGTAACCTAGCATCTATTGCAGTAACGCTAATACTTCGTGACGTTGCTATTGTGGTAGTACTTACGTTAATAGTAACCTAGCCTCTAGATTAGCGGGTAGAAATTGTCAGGGAAACCTTAGGTAGTCTGCCGAATAGATTCGCGTCGTGATCAGTAACCTAACTATTGTGCGCTAATATCTAGTGACCGCGTTACCGCTTTTCTTTTTGTGGCAGTGTTGAGGATGAAATATATAGGAGCTTGCTCTCTCTTTCTGTTTTTCCTAGATAGGTACCACACAAATTGTGTAGGTGGGGATGACCGAGATCGTCTTGTCTATGTGAGAAAGGACCCACGACAGACACCTAAGGGTTTCGACGCGTTCCGGGAAACGCGTAGGACGATACCACGACCCTTAATTATAATGACTGATACTAACTCTTCTTTCGGGCCCCACCGTGTCAAAATTTAGGGTCACCACAATTTCCAAATAGATACTTCTTTGTAAAGATACAGCGTCTAGAAGATATCATCTGGATTCTCGTCTTTATTTCTAACGCTACACTTGCGAGCAACTCCACATGCAGTGCAAGACGACGCTAGGGGCGTAGCAGACCGAGCTTACGGGACCCAACAATTCGATGATCGAGCGATCAATGATGATCCCCGTGGTGATGTCCGTTTTGCTTATGCTTGCAGTCAACTATGTAGTCAATTTAGTTTCTGACTTGGTAGTCATGAAATGTGTGGCGTTGTTGGGCACCATGGTAACGAATAGACCAACAACGTGAAACGGCTCAAGGATCTCAATCAAGAGGTCCACCAAGATCGTGAGCCAAATGGTTACAGGATCAGAGCCACACCAGTAGGAAGACCTACAAGATCACGCCAAGGGGATCGCCATCAGGGTGATCGCCATAGGAGTGGGATACTATCGGGATCGAGAACATCAGCGCCGAGGCCCCTGGCGTAGCAAGTAGCTTGATACTCATAGGCGTGAACTGGCACACTTTGAAACTGAACGAGAATCATCAAACTGGATGGACTTGCCCCAACCTTCGCAGGTATAGGGAAGGGGGTAGCGTTTCCAACGTGACTCCCCTGCGGGTCCAGTTTTCTAGGTTTTCAGTGTTCTAACAGGCGGAGCCGTTTGGGCTGAGTTCGCTCTGTGTTCATCTGTGAAGTTGATAGATTTCTGACTATCTAAGGCTTAGGCTATCAAGGTTGTGATAGAAGTAGTCAGGCGAATTGTCAAGAAGTCGCTTTGTCCCGCCATTCGGCTGTTAGTACTAAATGGGGCGCCATGATGTATATATTAGAACATTAATTGAGATTCATAAGGTGTTGGACATTAATAGAGTTTATGGTGATTAAGATTCAGTGGTCTGTGATCATCGCTAATAACACGCTGACGCTGGTACTGCAACTGGGAGCAAGTCATTATGAACGGTGTGCGGATACAGTTTTACCCGGTGGAAGCTGAGACAAGTTCTCTCCTATCAACGTTTTGACCTTATCAACGCTTGAATTCATGCTTTTGTTTGAAGATTGGGGCTAGCTCTTTAGGGTTGGACTCGCTCTCACTCGTGTAGGCACGACTGCTGTGACACGGCCAAGAGAGCCCGCATGAGTTGGGTAAATGAGTGGCATTCTAGCGAGAAACGTAGGCCCCTGGTACGTAACTGTTTAAGTGTATAATAGTAGTGTTTAATTGTTTAAAAGGGCGGTGGCATATAGTCCCCAGTCAAAAAAATACAAGGCACCAAAAAATAGAGGGTCGCCGACGTCCCCCACTGACTGAATGAATGTAAAGAGTACTTCTCTCCTCCTCTACTACGCATAATTAGATAAGGTGTTCCTGGCGATCTTCATTATGTTCGAAGAACCGCAGGGAGGCAGTTTTTTTACCTCGAAGGTATGAGCTATCACACTTTACTGTTGTAAAGTTTTTCACTCTACTGTTGTAAAGTTTGTAACACACTCTAATTGCCGTGTCATCACCGAAAAAGACCCTCGAGACAGCAGATTGGTTTGGCTGGCAGTCTTATGGTCTCAACATCGTGTTATATGTATACAACGTAGTAGAAGCCTCAATATTGTAGTTGAGAGTGACTATTTCTTGTGATGCTAACAGTACTGCGACCTGCTTTTCCTTCTTTTGATTCCTGCCAAGCTCTTGAGTTTGGGTGGTTGATGGAGATTTCTTTTCCCAAGTTGGGCAAATGTGGGGGTGTCGATCTTGGTATCGCCCGCCATCTGGTCTCTAGGGTGGTCGAGAATGACCATAACAGGGGCACATACATACATGTCATAGGAGGTTACTAGTGTTCTTGCAGTAATCTAGAATCTTCGCCTTGCAGAACCACCTAGCTGGGAGATCTAGCTGAGTGGTTACTTACGCTTCTGAGGTAGTTCTCTACTGAGGTAGGTCTTTAGTCTAATATCCCTTCTAAAACTAAAATAGGCTTCTAAAACTAAGACACTAGTGAAAAACCATTTTTGACTTCGACCCTTGACTGTCTTATCAACCATGTCTGTCTCTCTCTATTAGGCAGACCTCCAGAACCTAACCTAAGTCGTCAAAGTATCCTTCTTCATATGTGAGGCGGGGAGCAAGACGGCGACTTGACCGAATTTAGCGATAGCTCAGACGATGAGGGCAGTTTATTTCCAGGGGGCCATATGGCCTCAAGAGGTACTCTACTTATAGACTTTTTTGAGCTTGTCGCTCCTCTTAAGGCATGAGCTGAAGGTGTTCACTTGTGAGTTTTGATCTTCTTCTTCTTGGAAGAACTGACTATTATCCTATCCTCTCCTCCTATCCCATCCTAGATCCGCTCCATCATTTAACGATGAATCATTAAGAATGGATCATTTAGCGACCCCTATAATAAGGATGGAGTCCTTATATTATTAGGCTATAATATTACATCATATGCTAGTTAAAGGATGGACGAACTACATCTCCTCGGATCATATTATTAGGATTAGAGTCAAAGGATGGATTATCCTATACAGTATAATTATCGTTAAATGATGGAGCGGAGAGCTCACTCCTATCCTAATTATAGCCACATCACCCTCAACATGTGCAATCATATACGGAGATGCTAGTCATTATAGCCACATCACCCTCAACATACGGAGGCGTTAATCGTTTTAACCAAACCATTCTCAACAGGGCGATCATATACGGCGACTTTTTTCGGTACAAAGAGGCGACCGAGATGCTGCTGGATGCCCTTGAAGGGAGCTGCTTTCGTCGTCGCATGCATCTGCCTAATTCTCCTCTCCCTTGCTCTCGGTCTTTTCTTCTGTTAAGGCTACCACTCGACAACATTTCGTTTTGGGGATATTAGTACTAGCACTCCAACCTGACACCTTCAACCTGCCACCTTCTTCTTTTCTCCTCAATCCTTTTCCACCTCTTACTGTGATGTCAATGTTGAGAAAACCTTTCTAATACCCCACGAATGTGCACACTACTACTACTACTACTACCCCTACTACTACGACTACTGCTACGACTACTGCTACGACTACTGCCGCGACTACTGCTACTCCTCCTACTACAGTAGATGTTTAACGAATAAATAAAAAGAGCCGGCTCTTTTTCCCTCATATCCTAGGCTAGTCCCTCCATCCAATACAGATACCGCAACTTCTTCTAACGCTTCTGCGGCGAAGACGAGGCGCCTGCGGGGAAAGGAAAGGCCGTTATAAGCGGGACGCCTAGAGTTATGTTTTCTTTCCACACAGTCAACACAGTGTTAGTCTATTCACGCAACCTATTCATACAGTCACAGTGCTACTCTGAGGAGTATGCCAGGAGTTATTCTTTTAACCCTAAATATACCTCTTTCCTTTTTTTTCCTGGATATGTGCGTGTCTACCATACTAGTATCAATTCGTATGAATAATTTTTACATGCGCTCTTATGCTAGCGGAGGCGAAACGGGAAGCGACTGCAACAAAGTCCTTGCTCCAAAGGAAAGTGCCACCACCCAAGACGGAGCCTGCTGCTGAGCCTGCTTATGGCATCAACAACAGCTTCTAACGTATTTAGTCAAGCAGATGCTCTACTTTCCAACATGTTGATCCAGTGGTATGATTTGGGATTCTAGATGGTGGCCGTGTCGTTTCAATTCTACGTGAGACCAAGTACAGACTTGCTTTCCCTGTTTTATAGTGAAAAACAGCACCTTTTTGCTGATTTGAAGGGGAAAACAACTAGCAGTGGACAGGACCTATTTCTACCATCACACGAAGCAGAGAAAATGTTAATAAGTAGACAAGCACAAGTACTGAGCAACAACTTGGAGCTGTGTGTGCTACCATTATAATTACATCTCTTCTAATCATAGACACAAAAAGCGGGTGACGACACGAGTGCGAAGAGTACAGGAGAAGCTGGAGCTGCTATAATAGCAGAGGCGGCGAAAAGTGACGCAAGCAAAGCGAGTCTGCTGGAGACGCACCAGAAAAAGGCAACAGAGCTAGACCAGATGAGAGTGTACTGACTTATTTTCAGACTTTTTTTTTTGCTCTCAAGGAAGATGCGAGCGCGGTAACTCTAATTGATACTATAGGATAGAATGACTAAGACTCTCTTACATCAGTGCTACTTCCCTGGTTGGGGCTCCACTGGGATTGATGCATCCATCGATGATGATTCCGCCATATCTTTTTCAGCTATGCTTCCGGACAGAGCTACTACCTTCGTGGCAGTGCGTCGAACGAGCGGGCCTGGCGTCGCGCGTGACATACTCTCTACGGGTCGCCGACCAGCATGTACTAGATGGAATAATTACACTGTGGTAGTTGTCATTTATACCCGTTAGGTGGTTGTTGAAGACTGCCCACAGTTCGGCGATTCATCGACCTCGAAGACTATTCACTACTCTCCCCTACTGCCTGACCCTGTTGTATTTACTGGCTGCTAGTAGCATATTAATCAATCATCCATGTTAGCCATAGCATCTGCTCAGCATTACTGAAGACACATCAGAATTCGTAGGATCTGTACTCATAATGCTTTGCGACACCACTCTATCAAGTAACATTAACCCGCTAGTGCTCATTGTCATTTGACACGATCTGGATGTGAGCTGTGAGCTAGAAGATTCGAACCAAAACAGGAAGCATTTGGCTTTTAAGTTACTGCAAGTCAATATTTATAAATAGTTGGAGAACGTTTTGCCACATTCTGACTCGAAGAAATTCTCGAAGAACTCATATAAGCGACCATGAAATGAACCCTACACATGATCATAACTCTTCACTAATATATGATAGAAAATTATAATCACTAAACTGGTCGTCTTGATAGGCAAGCTATCAAGGCAACTCTTGTTCTGCTGGAACATAGCAGCTAGTATATATGCAGTTTGAGCCGTTCTCTGCCTCTTCTGTATATGCCAGTCGTGTGAAAAACAAGTTGAACGGGTCGGAATCGGTGAAAACGTGCTTGGAGACGACTTGGAATCGGTAATACCTCGCAGGTTTTTACCTGATGAAAAACGATGCAGTCGCTGCTTAATATAGTTCAGCTGGATCATAGAAAAGCAGGACAGCTTTTCAATAGTCGGTGCTGACAAGACCTTTAGTCAGCGCTTTCCGATGACCGGTTGTGATGCTATTGCCAGTCACCGGTTGTGATGCTATTGCCAGTCACCGGTTGTGATGCTATTGCCAGTCACCGGTTGTGATGCCAGTAATCGGTTGTGATGCCAGTAATCGGTTGTGATGCCAGTAATCGGTTGTGATGTGGTTTCGGTTTTCACACGCTATTATCGGTTTTGACTTTATCGCGTAATTAAATCGCGGGAAATTAAGTCGTGGTAGAAAGCCAGACCTCCTCCACGTGAACCTCAATCCCAACGACAATGACACACTTCCTGATCAAAAGCCATATCACTCGTTAGAGAGCCATATCACGACTCATTACAGTCTCGTGCACATCAGTTAGCGCGTATCGAAATTTGATTGTCTGGACCACTTTCAGAGGACGGTGCAGGACTGAACTCATCCTGAACAAGATTCTTGTAGGTACTTTTGATCTCCGTAGTTGAAGTTGCGTTGAACAAATATCTGCATGATACTCACACAGGCTAACAATGACTCTGGGACAAGAAGATACCACTCTTTTTCCTAGCACGTTCGACTTTTCTGCAGACTCACGAGCGGGCATAGCGCTGCCATTGCTAGACTGTTTTCCTAACAACGATCGCAACTCCAACTTCTGAAGTTTGCGAACAAGGCAGCCAAAAAAAAGTACTACGATCCTCCACTTCATTGCCCACTTCTCCTAGGACCAGAGATTCATCAATTCTGGACCCCGCATAGTACTATAGTACACCAGCATTCTGCATTTTCATCTGGAAGATCATGCCCCAAGAGGAACAACGGCATTTCGAGAAAACGAAAACATGTCGAAGAACATCGCAGGCGAGGACTGGCCGCAGTTCGAACAAATCCATCACTCAGATGATCAAAAGGGGGGTGATTATCAGATCAACTCAGCTGGAGGGGTACTGATTATGCTGAAGACCCTAAACCCTAAACCCTAACCCTAGGAATGACTGTTGGATCCATGCGGCCCGACTGTTGGATCCATGCGGCCCCACTAATATAGACCCCTTCCCAAAACAATTGTAAGACATACCCCTGGATTGGGTTTACTACTACTACGACTACTACTAGACCCAACCGCTCAGGGAAGACCTTGTTATTGATGATTTGATTGATGGATTCATTTGTTGAGCGCAGCCATACGTGTACCAGAACAATGGATCCTGGGCACCATTAAATTAATATGCGGTAGGGTCTCTCTGTTGGTAGGTAACGGGCAACAAGGGCGAAGCCTTGAGCCAAAATGGCTACGGAATAGGAGTAGAAATGACTGTTGGATCCATGCCATAGAAGCAAAGGTGATTGAATATCTCAAGCTCCATAAATCTGTATCTTTTCTCCTCTTCTTCGCGTGCAGGATGAATATTAACCTGACTACCTTGCCTGCTCTTCTTCCTCTAAGAACTTAGAAAACGGTAGAGGCGATGTGACTCGTGATCGCGCTCACGCTACGCAGCAATTCGACGAGGATAAGGAGGACCTCTATTTACCCGGACACGAGACGATTTCATCCTCTCCAACTAGTCCTCCCCCATATCAAATATTAACGCCAGCGGCCAACATAGTTATGCTGTGACGCTCTCTAGCGAGAAACAAAGGATACATAACTTGATTAATAACAGGAGTCTGTCTGCACATCAGATCTTGGTGCGTCGAGATTCATTGCATTGCATAATCAATCCCATCGTCTTCTTCCTTTCTTTATTCCTTACCTTGTCGTATTATAGAGTGAACATAAGCTGAAGGAAGTTCAAGGAAAATCTCTAATTTTTGGAATGCCACTGGTGGTGCGTCAAATAAAACGAAAAAAGAAGCGAACTTCTATGGTGACTACGACTCGAGCGACCAAGACCTTCGGGAAAGCGATTTTTACTATTATGCCATACAGACACTCTAGCGTATAGCCCTTCCAACAAGCTATTATGCCATACAGACACGTCCAGCATTTTTGGATGTTGAGAGGCTCTACATGCGTCCATCTGTGATATGAGATGGATCCTACGCTATCATACTAGAAGACGTTCTTCTCAGTTCAACCGAATTGCTTCGTGTTCTTGACGGATGTCAAGAGGCCTTTCTCCTCCTCTAATGATTTGAGCAGCAGAAGGCGCCAGCACCAAGCAAGACGCTCATCGATGGGTTCTGGGACGCTGTGGCGTGGACCCAGGACGCCACCCCTGATGACAGTGACGACGAGACCCTTCTCCCGGGAAATGCCGGAAACGGTACTCAAGGATACACTTATCTTATGTTGCTATCTTGGAGCGTACTATCTGAGCCTACAGCCTTCTGATATCCTATTCATAGCGTGGTCCCATCCTATCCGTGGCCTATCCTATCTTATCGTATCCTATCGTATCCTATGGCGTCCGATCTTGTCCAACCGTTGCAGGTGGTGTTCGACAGAGCAGGTTTAATTCGGGCGCGGGACCGACGGTGAACCCAAGGGCTATCTTATTCGTCGTGTTTGCAGCGATAGCAATCATCTTAAGGCCTTTTTTTTCCGAAAATGGTGGCAGAGGTAGAACAAGAACATGATTTTTAACATCTTCGAATACTAGAAGCAGGTACTTAACTTGCGAGATGAACAACTCCTCGTAGATGATGAGCCGGAGCCCACTCCTGTCCCATTCAATTTCTTTGAACTGGTGTCATAGAACAACATCAACATCTGCGAATACTAGAAGGTAGTAGAAGGTTCTAGACTCTTTGTCATCTTAGAAGAGGGTACCTACTGGATGAAGAACATGTTAAGTGAGAAGAACAATACTAGGTAGAGGGTACTAGATGCTGCAGAGCAGGAGTATGGTCTTTTATAACCCAGGCACCATTGCTAGGGGTTTTAATGCAGCAATGAATGAGCTGCACCCTTGTAGTAGTTGTGACCAATACTAGAAGGTTCTAGCAGTACAGATGTAGTTGTAATGGAGACCCCTTGTAGCTTGTAGAACCCTTGTCTACCGTATTGTGATGCCCTCTGAGGGTAGTTGTAGAACCAATCACCTCGTAATGAAAATCCACCACCTCTAATTCGTAGCAGCGTGTCGCTGTTCATCTTTGTTGCCTGCATCACCCTTGGTGGACCCTATGCGAATTATGGCATGATCACTCTTTGAACAGCCTAACTAAGTTGTACATACCACGCACACTGTAGTAGAAAGATGAAACAACAAGTCTTCTGGATGATGTAGGTTTTTACGTTTTTCAGATCTTTTCTTGATTGGGCGAAAAAAGTAGGCGACAGCAGCAGTGTAGTATGAACAACTAGTGTTCTTGTATCAACAAATTTGGTTGAGTAGTGTTGTTACTGGGGAGGTAGCATCAAAGTTACAATCAGTCGATAGGAATCCTGTCCGGAGCACTAGCTATGTAGCGATTGAGAGCCGAATTTGTGTGCTCTTGCATTTGGACTTCACCCCATCATTGGGTTTACCACTAGTACTGTCCTGTGGCGATGCAGGGGTTGATTTCTAAGAACCAGGAGACTCGTCGAAGGGTGGGTCGGAAAATGGAGGCGCAGACAAAAAAGCAACTGCAACCCCTACGGGAAAAACGAGCGCATACAAAAAAGCAACTGGAACCCCTACGGGAAAAACGAGAAGAAGAAAAAAAAGAGGGAAAAAGCCAGCAAAACAAGTGGCTGCCGCCGAAAAGCCAGCAGAGGAACCGAAGGCCGTCGAAAAGCCAGCAGAAAAGAGCGGAGCGACCGCGCCGGCTGCAAATGCAGGAAAGGCTAGTGCAGCAGCGGCAGAGGCTAGTGCAAAAGCAGGAAAGGCTAGTGGAAAAGCAGCAAAGGCTAGTGCAGAATCGGCAAAGGCTAGTGGAAAACCAGGAAAGGCTAGTGCAAAAGCGGCACAAAAAACAGAGTTAAGGAAACGAAGGAAGTTGTTTTTGTATCTACCTATCCTTTCAACACTATCGCTATAGTTTGCTCTAAGCATCCTCCATGCTATCGTTGCCTCTTTTTTTACGTGAGTGAAGAATAATTTGAATTTGGTACGAGTCACTTTTGCGATCCATCTACTATCCACTTTAGCGAGTCCTCTATACAGCGATAATTCCTATACAGCTTGAACGATCAAAAGTCAAATGACGGATTTAATGTGTATCTGTTTTTCGCAAATTAAGTTATATGTCGCTCATGCGTCAAAAGATACGTCCAGAACAGGTAAATGAATGAATGAATGAATGAGTACTTTTGAAGTGCGGTAGCGCTAATGATACCTCCTGCAGACGATGATGTGGATGAGGGAAGCAAAAGTACGTCTGCGTTCCTGCAAACTAGTACTGGTGATGTGGTGAAGACGTATCGCGACCACATCACCAGCGATCGTGAGGCAGGCAGGAGTGGAGGAGAGGGAGCAGGTGCCACTACTGAAGACTCAGAACCGCAGTTATGGTCGTTGAAGAGTAGTTTCTCCATCACTTTACTGCAGCATCCCTCCTAATTATTAGGGTTAACAGTAGTTTCTCCATCACTTTATTGCAGCATCCCTCCTAATTATTAGGGTTAACAACTCCTAATTATGTTAGTGCAGGATATTTGTAGTAAGTTCGTTGGAAATATGACGAACTGGCCGTGGTCGAGGGTGCAGCAGAATGTTGAATCTAATATGCCAGGTAAGGAAATATCGCGGCTTGCGAGGCCTTGTTACCAAGGGTAAAAAGGAGAGCCTTCTCCAGATCGAAGTTGCAATGACCGCTACGCCGGGAGAAGCATGGCCCGAAGTTGCCACAGCCGCCTCATTATGACCTTTGATTTCCATCTGGAAGTTCATGATATAATGTATTGAATATTTAGAAGTATGTAAAAGTATCAGTCTGTGCTGGGTCCTCTTGATATGATTAGATGACTACAGGAAGCGTAGGTATATCGTCTGTCTATCTACCTTTCTCTCTATCTATCTATCTTTCTATCTATCTTTCTATCTATCCTCCTCTCAATCTACCTCTCTATCTCTTTCTCTCAATCTATCTCTCTTTCTCTCAATCTATCTTTCTATCTCTTTCTCTCAATCTATCTCTCTTTCTCTCAATCTATCTTTCTATCTCTTTCTCTCAATCTATCTCTCTTTCTCTCAATCTATCTTTCTATCTCTTTCTCTCAATCTATCTCTCTTTCTCTGAATCTATCTCTCTTTCTCTCAATCTATCTCTCTTTCTCTCAATCTATCTCTCTTTCTCTGAGCATGTCGTATCTAATCTATCTATTTTCCTCTGAATCTATCTAGTATCTATTTTTCTCTGAATCTGTTTGTTCTATTTTTGTTTCTAAAGAGTGCCTCTGCCTCTGATGACGCTGGAGACCGGTATGACGTGGATGACGCGTGGGATGAGCGGTCTGCGGCGTGGGACCACACTTTGGCGTGAGGAGATACATATTGAGGAAAAGGGCCAGTTAGATATAGCCTGAACGGCTATAGGTAAACAAGCAGGATTAAATAAGTTGTACTGCTTTTTTTCTCAAGAAGAGAAAGAGTTTCTTGAAATCTAAGGCCAATGAAATTGTTCGATTAAATGCACAAGCAGGTTGCATGATCGAATGGACGTATCCAAGATAGAACCAAAACGTAGTACTTAGAATAAATCATCAAAAAGGTGATTCAGATTCTATAGCCAAAAATATAGCCAAAAAGTGCCATGATGTATATTACCTTTGATTGGCACTGAAAAGTTTGTGATTACCTTACGTACCTCCACATGTACGACACATAGTTCAAATCTGTCGCCCAATGTACAACTAAGTACAGCTAGTACAAAAATACTGTAATTTATTTTCTCGAATCTTCGGCCTCTGATCTTATAATCTGTCGTCTGTCCTCCAAGTGGATGATGTCACTTACGTTGAATCTTATTGATCTATCATTAACATTATCGAATTTCCTAACAACTGACTGTCACATAAAATTGTTTATTCACTCGTACAATTTGTATTGGACGCATCATTTTTATTTGGCTACGTTATAGGATACTTGTTATCGTCCTTCCATCATTTGAGAAGGGGGAGGCAAGTTCTTCATATTCTTCAGATCTTCCAAGACCATTCAGACTTACGCGTCACCCCGATGGGAAATGAAGATTCTCTCGTAATAACTACATGTATTTGCCTTGCAAACCATTCACACCGGTCATGCAAATCTTCACAGGACTTGGTAACTCACTGTGGGTCCTCAATGGAACAGCATGAGGCGGAAATTAGCGGTCATCGGTCACCAGGCTCGTGAAAGGAACAGCATATGGCCATAAGGCGACGAGGAGAAATCAGTACCAAATCAGTGTCAGGAGAGATCGCTAGTATCATCTGATCGGTCAGCTGTCGAGATCGGCAACACGTAAAAAACAAACGTTCAAATCCACTCCAAGGCTTTAGTTGCGTCTGTCCAAGCCAGCTAAACGATCGGTAGAGTCCCCGAGAGATCGGTGACGCAAGATATCTTGATCGGTAGCCATATCAGAAAGTCTCGTACGCACAGCAAGAGACAACCAACCGGACTCTCGCGCAACTCGGACGCAACTCTGACTCCACCCCTAGCTCAGACTTAGACTTTTGATCCTACCACTGAGGAAGGTGATGAACTTATGACTGTCTTCATGATTGATGAGCTTTGAATTCTTGGATTGTTTCCTTTCCACTTGCCTCTTTGTGAAATAACTTTCATCTCACCTAATGAAATACATAGGACATCATGGAATCAATAGCGCTGGATGTAAAACACATAAATTCCTCGTCTACAACGACAACAGGAAATTAGTAGCAATACGGACCTCTACGGACCTGCGAATCGCAAGGAGTTCTTTCGTCTCTCCGAAACAGAGCGACACGAATCAAAGGTATTTCACCATAATTTCCTGTAGGCAGATTTTCCCGTTCCTCCAGATATATCACAATCTATCAACTTCTCTCTTCTGAGTCTTTTTTCTCAAACACTACAGATATTCTCAGGAACCGACTCCCCGAGTATTGTCTTCGAAATACTTGCGAAGCGACTTGCGAAGAGACACCATAAATGGAGGGTGATCGTGATCCGCCGTCGAATCCTAGCCCCGATGATGGGGGTACAACGAACTATGATTTACGAAGTTTAGATTTAGTACTGCATAAGCAGAAAGAGACTCTTCAGACTTTCTCACTCCTTATATCTGAAATGTAAGTGATGGCTCAAGTCGTGTCTGTCCTTCTACGGATTACATTAAATCTACAACATCAGGAGCGCCGCTCATTTCCAACCCGAGGCCTCCCCAAATAAGTCCGCTTCCGGCCCCTCAAGAAGAACCTTAAGGAACAACTAAGAATGATAATGATTAGAGAGGATGCTCAAGATGGACCTTATATATAACAGGAACAACTAAGAATGATTGGTGGGATCCTCGTTTCTCAAGTACCAGCGTTACCCCTGAATGACAATGATGATTTTGTTTCTATCCCATGAGTTTGAGTACAACTTGCGAGTATTTTTTAAATTTACACCTAGCGTGTAGCCCTTCCATTTCTTGACTTTGAAAGTTCTAAGAGGAAGACTACATTCCATCCTTGACAGAAGATGGATTTGCGAGCTTTCTGACCTTCGACCAGAATCCACCTCCATACGACGGGCCTGATGGAAGCTTCACAGGTACTTTTGGAGAAGTTGCTGAAGTTTGGCTTTGATGGTAGCACTTGTGCTTGAAATGGTGTCCTCCTTACTTGCTGAGGGCTTTCTTACAGTAAAAATAGTAAGAAGATGATAGTTATTTGTTCTCCCTGACTTGAGTTCGTGTGGTACACACACACACACGACACATTGTGCGAAAAAACTTTCTTTCACAGATCCAGAGTACGTGAGACTACGAGCCTTCGGGACAGAGCAGCAACCACGATGCTGCTGCTTGTCGCGGCGTAACTGCGGAATTCTTCTGGTTGTTTTGTTATGATTCAATTACTCTTCACGAACAGACACGATCCTGATTCAACAAACTACCCATTTTCACTTCCAATCATTTCTCTCAGTTGAGTCTACTGCTTCCAAAACAATAGTCTAGATGGTTGCTCGCGTCCAGAGGAGTCATCTCCAGAGGAGTCGTCTCCAGTCATTTCCTATGCTATGCTAGGCTATGCTGCGCTCTAATCTGTGGCCTGGTTGTGGCCATTTTTGGAGTAGTGCTTCCTCTAGTCTTGCCGCTGTGTGGAGTGAGTATCGGGAAAAGCAGCACTCATACTCCTTTATGGTTCATAGTATCAAATTTCCAATTGAGACAAGAAGAGGACAAAGAAACAAGAATAGGGATAAGAAATCTTAGAGTAGTAGCGTATCATATTATATGGGTCACGATCATGTGATACTATAGAAGAGACGTATACGACTGTTGACCATCTTCATGTGAGCCAAAAATGATATTGGTACTCTCCTTCATCAAAATAGAACAAAGAGATTCAGAGAAAAATAGAACAAAGAGATTCAGAGTACTAGTTTTCCTAGTGGGCCCATAGTACCTAACCTAACCTACTTAAACCTTTTTGGAAAATTAAAATATGATAAGTACTGATCATCACGACGTGCAACTAACGAGCCACTTCGAATATAGATAAGAGACTTCTAACGACTTCTACGGCGCAGACACGACCTGCACCAGCCGCAGCCGGCGGCGCGGCAGCTGGTGGGACAGCAGGCACGGGTGGGGTCTCGGCAGGCGGAGGAGTGGTTGAGAAAATAGATCCGGAGAAAGTGAAAGAGGAACTAGAAGAGACCAAGGAGGAGATTGTGAAAGCAAGGGCTGAACTTGCCGAGGCTAAGAAAGCCAAAGCAGAGAAAAGGAGCGCGCTTCAGTTAAGAAAGATTAGCTGAGCAAATGAATGAGCTCGTTTCGTCCGGCACCTGAGTTGCACTTTCTCTTTTGTGCCCTTTGAAAATATGTTTCGCTACTAGAATCGTAACTACTGTAAATCATGAGGTAGATGAAAACGAAGGCAAACATACAATAATGGTGTGCTTCTACATGCATGGTATGTTTTTGTACAGGGCTTTCGTGTATTTGCGGGGACGCTTTTCTGTACTTGTCCTGAGCTTGGTTTCTTCCCTTTATTTCTAATAGATGATGCAAAGACACCCGAGGAGAAGACCGCTGCGGAAGCAGAAGTGAAGGCCAAGCATCACGCTGTTGGAGCTTCACAGGGCAAACTGTTTGACCTGTTACAACCTACGGCCAAAGAAATAAGTATCAGAAATGTTGCAAATGACTTTCAACAGATTAATATTTCAAGAAATTGGCACTTCAACATTATAGCCGGCCCTTCAACGTATTCCTGAATGAACTATCCGGTTCTTACATCAACTACTTATCGTATTCCAGGATCTTCTCCATAAAGAAGATGAAGATGAATAAAGAAGATGTAGATGAAGGAGTATCATGCTAAGCTCTCTCGGTCAACGAGTGGAGAGGAAAGATCCCTTGGGACGACATCGGTCATAATTAATGGCGACGACTTTACTCAGGTCACCCGCCTCGGTGCTCTACCTTGACTTTACTCAGGTCACCGATTCATCCTCGGAGTCGAGCCAGGTGCCGGGGGGCTTCGATCTGCAGGATTCACGACCTATAACCTATATTGAAGAAATAGCCTATAACCTATATAGCCTATATAGCCTATAACCTATATAGCCTATATAGCCTATAACCTATATAGCCTATAACCTGTATAGCCTTCTAAAAAGAGCGCTCGCCACCTTCGCGATGTGGCTGCTGGGCACGCGGATGGGCACGCGGTGGAGGGTGGACTTGGCCACGACCATGGTGAAGAAGCGCCTGTGAAAAAAGTGGAGGTGAGATTTCTTAGTCCTCCTGGGACCTCTGGCGTAGCACCAAGCAGACTGGAGACGGTGCACGAGTATACGGAGATGAAGCATGTGCCAGCTTTATGTTGTTCATATTGAAGAAAAGATATCAACAAAAAAGCCATATTCTAGAATAAGTAGTTTACAGAACGGATGTAGGATGGACTTGGGCTCTCAACAGTTTCTATAATTCATTGAACTAGTTCAATAGTTCAATAGCTCAACTCAACGATGGATCGGATGGATCGGATGGACCCCCCTGCGTCACACACAATGAGCACGTTTGTGGTCAGATATTTTTTGCTTGTTGTCATGTCACGTCCGTTTTTCTAGACGTACTTGAAGCACTAGGGGTTAGTAGTTTATGTTATTTTTATCTATTTGTACAATTCAGAAAACTGTGGGCAGCTGGTGGAAGGTAGATGAATGGAGGGATAACTGGTAGGTGTAGCTGCTGTATAAAGAAACCGTTGGTATTAGTAGTAACCAACGTTGATGTTGCTGATTGTTTTCTTTTCATAAGAGACCGACGTTATTCGCCTGCCGTTTTTGGACGATGGAGTTGGGATCGAAGAAACGATTCCTGGCGATTCCGCTGCTGTCGCAGAGGGCGGTGGACTTAAGACTACGATTCATAGAGTACTATAGAAGTCTGTATCCTGTCTCAGAACTTCCTATAATAACAAACTAAGTAGCTAAGTAACTAACTAACTAACTAACTCACTAACTAACTCCTGTCTCAGAAGTCAAGTGACAATCTGATAGATTTACAATAGCCAACTTTATTGTAACGAAGAACTCACTGTTCTAGAAAGAAAAGTTCTGCAAAATGAGTAGAGATACGATTGATATTGGTTGTAGACAAGGAACTTCGACTTTTCGTGTGATAGCTAAGTCGGGGCATCCTCTCCTCTCCTCTCCTACCTTACTTACACTTGCAACACATGGTGAACCGTTTGCGTTACCTTATGCTAGGAATACCCATCTACTTACTCACTCTTAGTACATCTCGCTCTAAAACATCTGGAGCATCTGCAAAAGGCTTTTTACAGAAGCGAAGCTCATCGCCTGTACGTGTCAGAGGACTGCAACCATGGGGCTTTTTGCAAACCAAAAGGGTTACCTCACGGCAGCGACGAAATTTGCGTGGTGGTCACACTGCGAGCGTGAGCTACGATCCAGTTGGGCATATCGATGAAGAAATGCCTGATGGCAGATCTTCTCTCAGAAAGTCGAGGGCGGCAGGTGCCTTCCTCGAGAAACAAGCGAGCGCACGAGAAGCTGCAGCTGGTGCAACATCTCCTACAAGCACTATAACCGCTGCAAGTGACGGAGAGCCTCCCGCAGGAGTCGTTGATGCTGTTATGATCTACTCGTTAAATTAGCGCAGAAATGTCTGCATTACCTTGACCGCCCTATCAATTCGTCATTCTTAGCTTTTTTGGGGAGAATAGATACTAACTTTACCTCTAGATGACAATATCTAGGCTCTGGAAGGATCTTGTCTCTCTAGTGGTCTAGTAGGAGGACCATCTGCGTAGCCTATCCACAACTATGGTGGTGACCATCACCACATGATCATCACCATCCTTCTCTATCTAGGCTCAGCCTCTGCTGCTCTTCTCTAATTCGGATCGGGAGCCGCATGTTTCTGCTGTGCCACAGGGTATCCCAATGGACGAAGGGTCTACGCGCTTTTACGCCGACTGTGCCAAGAAGATGGATACGAAGGCCAGTGCGGTTGTGGTGATCGAAGATCATGAGCTTTATGGCGTTGATATAATGGACGAGGTCATTGTTTTTATTTGTAGTTCTTGATTCTGTTTTTTATAACTGGTGGAGAACCAACAAAGTTCGCTCATCTCTGTCAAATTCATAAGCTAACCTAACTCATTTTCTACAGGATCGATCTAGGCTGAAAGAGACTAGGCGACCACCTCCACTGTTTCTCATATCAGCTTCAGTAATTTTAGCCTCAATCTACTTGACAAAAAGAACGATATAATAGATGACCGCTAGTACTATCGTGTCCTTGTCTAAGATGTGGAAGCTTTGCGTGCGAGAAGGGAGTTCACTACGCAAGGCGTCACCTGGATTCAGGCTGCGGAGTTGCCGGACGAGGAACCGCCATCATTCGAGGTCACCGAACTGGCGACACTGGGCAAGGAGCTGTGCAAAAGTGCAATTGACTTGACGTTGTTTTTCCACCGTAATTTGCCTGAAGCGGTTGGCGGAGAGCACCCGCATCATGTGGATTTGCCAGTTAAGGGTCCTTGTCACTAATGAATGCCTGTTGAATAGGAAGTACTATATTCTTTTTGAATATTTCAAAAAAAATATGGCAGCTGATTCAAGTTTTGGTTTTCCGAAAGGTAATATAAATGTCCCACTTGAAGAAATTGAATTCTAGGACAGCCTTGAAATTGAATTGTGGCAAGCCCTAATTCTAGGACGGCATCGGATATTTGGCATGAGGCATGGCTTAACCTGATGAAGTCTCCGGAGAAGGACAAAGATGCCGGACCCACCGCAGAAAAAGCCGAGGAGGCCAAACTCGTCGACAAGGGATCACTTATGAAGCAAATTGCACTTACATCAGGAGAAGTCAGTAAGAGGACTCGGTCTCGTTCTTAGATGGTAACTCAGTAAGTAGAGGACTCGGTAGAAGGAAATTACAATTACACGAGGAGGACTGAGTAAGAGGACGCGATAGAAGTAAACGTCTTAATTTATTCTTGAAATTTTGTATTCCTCGATTGGGCTGCATAGAAGCGACTATTCATTTGATGTTGTATGGATGCTAGTGTCAAACTGCAACTGCTACCTCAACCTCAAGCCGAAGAGTATACTATTATTCAATGTCTCACTCATCTATGCTAAATATGTCCCACTCATCGTCGCTATCTTATTCTAATGTGGCAGTGGAAAGGCTCGTCGGTTCGACGCATGCGGCCAAAGCGAAGGAAGCGCTGGAGGCTTTTCGAGGCACGACGATTTCATCTGGTGGGGAGGACGGTCTCCTGCTGACGGCCGCGGCTAGAGTCGAAAGCCAAACTTTTTTATGACTGCTAGAGTTGAAAGCGAAAGCAAAAGCGTTTGCGTATAATTTTGGATTTACTAGCAGCTTCATCCGACCCTACAATAATTTACTTGCCTTAGAAGTATCATCGCAGAGTAGCTTACCTTAGTAGTCATCAAGGTAGTGAGTTCCTTGATAATCTAAGGTCTGCGGTCACGTTTACCAGCTCACTATTTGATATTTTGATTTGAGTTAGACTTTTAGATGATCTAGATGTAGTCTTCTAGCGGGTACCTTTGATGCTGGATTTACGAGGTTTAAGTACTTACGTTAAACCAAGCAGCTGAGCAGTCTGTTCTATGAAGCTGGCTCTAAAGTCTCGCGACTATCTGCTTGATCACATCGTGAGTCCACTTATCCCCGACCTGGTGATGGGAGAGGACGCGAGGCAGGTCTTGATGCCAGCTGAGTATGCAGCACAGCGTTTTGGAACTGCCTCGACCGCTCCTCTGGTACTATACTTCTGTGTGAAAAAAAAATTGATACCACCTATGACTTCTACTTGACTATTTACCTCGCGATCCTGTTTAACCTAAAAACACCACGTCGTATGTGTATGAAGCCTCATCCTGTCCAACTTAGGTCGCCGGGTCGTATACGCGAGAATCCATCGTGATCAACTCCTTTTGGAAACATGGACGCAACAAGTATGAGTCTTTGCACACCGATGTCTCGATCAAAGGGAGCCCACTGCTAGGTACGCAACTGCGTGTTGAAACTAAAATGCTATTTCAAAATTATCTATTCGTTTTGTATGTATGTGCACGATATCATCAGGTTTCAAATTTTCCTTTTGTTTTGATAGAACAAGAACAAGATTTGATCTACTTTAAGTTTTGACCTAGATTCTAAACAACTGTCTACATATTTTTTTCCTATAAAAGAACAAGAACAAGATTATCATCAGGTGCTAACACGTGGATGCGAGACATTCTGCATGTGCCGGGACTGATGCACATCGACAAGGAGCTCGCGCTGGATGGTCGCTTCGGTGTGTTAGGCTACTTTGCGCAATTGCTGGCCAAAAACGAGGATTTTCCTCACATGGAGAGCCTATTCACCTTACGATTAGAAGAAACCAAAGCCCTAGTTGTTTTATAGAGAAATTCAATCTTTTTCGGCTCGTTTATAGTCGTGAACGCTAGCCTCCTCGTTTGTGGGCCGACTCCTATCCTGTCCTATCCGATCCTATCCTATAATCATGGCCACTTAAGTGAAGTAGAATACGATAGATCTATAGAGAGTTCTGGACTGACCTCGCGCTGTTTGTGTCTTGATTTCGATCATGATCACACTCAGATTCTGTCTCTACGGTTGGTAGGAACAGCACTATCAGAGGCATACACATGAGAGGGGGCGCGTGACTCGTTCACTCATTCACTACCAAGAGGACGCACGTAGACCTACCTTGCAAACCAGCATTCAATCAGATGAGTGTTTCAAATTATAGACCAGTAGGCTTCCACTACTTATTTTTGGTGGAAGATGGATTCCGATAGATGGGTTCCGATAGATGGGTTCCGATAGATGAATTCCGCTATGTTAATAGAAGTGGAGGTAGACGAAGTACAAAAGGTCGAGCCTGATAATTATTTCAATATGTTGTTAAGCGCGGTAGAGATCAAGTAAAAAAGTTTGAGGCTCAGCTCTATGCTTTTTTTCGTCTTGTAACAGATCAGACTCGTCTAATAGCAGAAAGTGAAAAAGTGCGGCAAGCGGCGGTTATGTGCGGAATGAAGAACGTCTGGCCAAACGACGGTGGCGAATCGGCGACATCTTCAGCTTATGATGCTGGAATTGATTCCCATAGCTAGCCTGTACGTAGTAGATGATACACATATAAGTACTAATAAATGTATTCATAAGTAGTTAGCACTGATCCACCCCAGTGCTGCTGCATGCAATTGAATAATCTTCTCTAAGTTTTACCAGGTTCCACCGGCTCCGATGCCTCCAGTGAGTCGGCTGCTTCGGTTTTGTCGTCTTCAACGCAGAGCTCATTTGGGAAGAGAGCTGGAGGCGGCCTCTGCGGCAGCTACTTCGATAACTTGCGCGACAAGGACTCGAAGCCTACGGAGGCTGCAGATGCTGCGTCGTTAAGGCTAGTGCCAATATTTTGAGAGCACTTCCTTGTAGTAACGCGATGCTTCTTGCAGTCTTCGCGCACATGATTCTCCCTTACATTTACTGCAAGTACTACCGGGCTAGTGCCACAACGTCAACATCAGAGAAATTCGTAGAACTTTTACTTCATCTCGTTCTACCTGAGTCAACGCTTCCAAGGTGGACCTTTCGGTGACTTTGCAGAGAAAGATCGTGTGAGCTTAAATAAGAAGGAACATCTAGTACAACTACATCATGCCAACATAGAGTAGTTACTCTACTCCATGTAAAGTATACTCTACTTCTTAGTGTAGTTTTAGTAGTTTTTTTAGTACTTCTTAGTAGTTACTCTACTCATTAGTGTTTTAGGTTATCCCTTCATGCAAAGTAGTTACTCTAGACTTCTAATAAAAACCGCTTTCCTACACATCATTTGTCTACGAGCGACCGGGTTTGGACCAGAAGTGCCGCGATCTTTTTTGCTTAGCCTCAAGGAGATCGGCGTCACAGAGCATGCTGACATTCCAGGAAGTCTGGTGGTGTTCTTCTACTATGTGGCATCGCTTTTTTTAAGGCTAGTTTTTCACTATCGTCCCATGTGGAGTTCTATGTTGAGTCGGGAAGAAGTTCCCCCTTGTACGGCTCCTCCGATATTCGTAGATTTGTGGCCGATTGTACGGTCTTATGCGCTCCCAGTATGTAACTTGGATGAGCTTATTTAGGTTAATTATTTGATTGAAAGGGTGGCGGCATATAGTCCTAACGCAAAAAAAAAAAAAATTTCAAGGGGAGACTAAGGGGGAAACAGGGCAACGCACTCAACAGAAGACAGTGAATGACTAGCGCTAATCTTTCTGATCAAGGGTGGCGACGACCTTGCAGGCGTGAAGAAACACATCATCAAAGATAAGGCTCAAGCTGAAGTCACTTGATACGTTTTTGCACGCTAATTTCCCTCGTTGTTTCGGATACTCTTAGGTTGTGAGGGTTGACAAGGAGGGATACGGCTTTGAGAACTCTTCTTAGGATGTCGTGAAAGGAAGTAGAGCTTCCTTCCACGTTGAGCGCTAATAAACACGTGGGCGAATTGTCTGGCGCGTTGGTCTCGAACATCAAGAAGATGGTTCCTCAGCTGCTAAGCGAAGATTTTCGAGGGAAGGTTGGAAAATGGGTAGAAGAACACGTCGTTGGAGGGTTCGCGAGAGTTAAGAGTAGACACGGAGAAGTATGTCATACTGTAGTAAAGTCATAGCTCCAAAAGAGAAATGCCTCTTGTCAGGCACATCAATCAGTCAATCAATCAAGTTTAAGTTGTGGCGACTTTGTTCGTTTGTCGACGAGGAGGCTGTATAAAAGGACTTAGTATAACTAGTTTTCTTCGTTTATTGATGAGGGTGTAGAAAAGGACTAAGAGTTTTGTTCGTTTGTTGACGAGGGTGTATGAAAGGAGTAGCTTTGGTTTGCTGAGGAGGTCAGAGAAGGAGTAGTTTTGTTTTATCCTTAGATAAGAACAAACTATGACTAGTCTAGTAAATGTGACCAACCACCCTAATCGGTATGTATCTGTACCTTGTTACTTCAGGCGGGTACCTACGTGGTAGTCGAGGAGCTAGCACGTTCGCTAGTGTTAGACTTCATAGGATGGAAAAGTATTATGAAACGACAAAAAAGTTCTCTAAGCTTCGATTCTGGGACGCTTGGACGAAGGATGCTGCATCCGACTCCGAGGATGGTGGGAAGGCTACTCAGCGATCTCAATGGCGCTGCTTTTGTTACGACAAGTCATATAAGTCTAAGTAGTTGTTTCTTATCATCCTAAGCGTTTGAAGAGGTACACTACACTCGAACTCGACTGTCCCCTTTCATCATCCTATGAATGACGTAGTAAGCTACCTTTCTCTTTTTTGGTGTCATCCTACATGAACATGAAGAAATAACCATTGTAGTTCTAAGATCTTTATTCCTTCTTTGTCTCCTGCTCCAGTAACAGCCTCCATCTTCTAACTTTTGCAACGGTTGCGATTCGTCGATTCCCTCAACGTGCGCCAAGACCTCACCGTGACCGATGCGGCACATGCGGGTGGTATTACTGCAAATGGTGTAAGAAGAAGCACTCTGTCTAATGCCATGACTTGTCTACTACAAATGGTGCAAGAAGAAGTACTCTGTCTCATGTCATGACTTGTCTACTACAAATGGTGTAAGTAGAAGTGCTCTGTCTAATGCCATGACTTGTCTACTACAAATGGTGTAAGTAGAAGTACTCTGTCTCATGCCATGACTCGTCTACTACAAATGGTTTAAGTAGAAGTACTCTGTCTAATGCCATGACTTGTCAACTCATCAGTTATGAAACAAGAAGAGCACATTAACCTAAAACAATTACAGCTGCGCCAGCTATGCACGCTCCTGTGGCTGTGGTTGGTCCGAAGGCACACGCGCACGCACCAAAGGAGCCACAGAAAGAACGCTTTTGGCCTGGTGACTCCGCAATACATCACACGCCTGCCGAGTACTGGGTCAAGCCTCAGCGAATGTACTTCGGTGAGACGATGGTCACCAGCGGCGTCTCCACGTTTCTTATGGAATATACTTACTCACTGTGCTTCTAATAGAAAACCCTAACGAGCTTCTAAGAAAAAACGGTAAACAAATTAGCATGTGCCATGGAAGTAGAACCTGTGGAGTCTGTGTGTTATCGACATGCAAGCTCTTCCCTTTCGGATAAGCATGGCACTACAAAAAAGAAAGTGGGCTACGAAATGAATTGGAACCCTTTTCTTCTATCACAAATCCTTGATATTGTGATACAAGAAAAGGTTTCCAATTCATTTCATAGGAAAATTGGAAACCTTTTATTCTAATATCCTTGACATTAAAAATGACAGTTGAGTGCTCTAATCCTGGCCAGCAGGTTGCTCTTCCCTCGAAGCATCATCAAGAGTCGCTGGGCATCGAGTCGCGCGTTCTCGTTGTGGATGTCTGCCTGAACTTAAGGCCAAAGCTGATCACGAAGTCAAGATCATTAGAAATGATGTCCCCGACACTTTAAAGTCAAGATGATTTAGAATAATGACGATGATGATCCTAGTTCTTTGTACAGACAACAACTATTATTCTAACAAAAGCAGAGCTCAAGGACTGCTGGCCTGCTATGCCGCAAGCAACGGATGAAGGCGTGCCGCTCTCGGCTGGCGCTGGAGACGAAGGTTCCGAGGAAGCGGCTGAAACTGGAAGTGGCTCGGCTGTTGAGAAGGAGGAGGAGGAGGACTCTGAAGAGGAGGACTTTGATGAAGAGGAGGAGACGGAAGGGGAAGGGGAAGAGGAGACGGAAGGGGAAGGGGAAGAGGAGGGCGAGGCGGAGGACCCAAAAGAGGGGAAGAAATAGGAGAGCGAGGTGGAGGAACCAAAAGGGGGGAAGAAATAGGAGGGCGAGGGGGAGGGACCAAAAGGGGGGAAGAAATAGGAGAGCGAGGTGGAGGAACCAAAAGGGGGGAAGAAATAGGAGGGCGAGGGGGAGGGACCAAAAGGGGGGAAGAAATAGGAGGGCGAGGTGGAGGAACCAAAAGGGGGGAAGAAATAGGAGGGCGAGGTGGAGAAACCAGAGAAGGCTAAGTGATCAGGAGGATCTGAGTGCTAACTGCTCGTTTGGAGGGCAGTTGAGGAGGTAAAAGCGGTTGAGGAGCACCACCGTTTTTGAGGAGGTTGAGGGGCAATACAGATTCAGATGAGGAGGTTGAAGAATATTTGAGGCTAGTAAGAAAACATGGAATGACTGGGTTGATAGTAAAAATAGTAAAGAGAGTAGTTTTCCCCTCGTCTCACATCCTTCAACTGAGTGATAGTACAGTTGTAAATCTAAAATGTGAGGTCAAGTAGTGTGAACTAGAAGGATAGTCGATCATACCTATCATGTACTCTATGTATTCTCGGGATTACGCATTCTTAGTTCATAGCATCCGTAGTGACAGGTTTCCCGCGTGAATAACTGGCTACGAAGGCCTTGCTGAGGATGAGTTGGTGCTAGCTCTAAGAACAAGAAGAGGTCGGAGGATGCGACCTGTCCGGTGGAGGGGGTAGGGCTGCGGTGGAGGCAGTTGCAGACGAGGGTGTAAAGGGGTGTCGAGAAAGAATGATATAAAGGGGTGTCGAGGAAGTGATACAGGTACATCCGCAAATGAGGAAGCAGTAACCTAAGCGCTAGAGACACTGAACCGCACCACAAATAAGTAAGTTGCGTTCCTCTGGAAAAAAGAAGATAAAAGGAGAGCTTAAACAAAAAGTAAGCATCAAAAGCTTGATCCGGTCAGTACTAAAATGTACAGGGAAGGAGAAGATTTTGTCACAAGAGTATTCCGATTCAATCATAAGAAGTTCCAACTGCTAGAAGAATTCGTAGTATATGAGTAAAAAACGTTAGTTAAGTACATAAAAGAACCAATATAATATTTCTTCAATTGCAGCCATAGAAAATTTGCATTTCATCGATCATGAATAAGGACCAAGGACGGCACAAAAAGTATGTTACCAGCGAAAAACTTGCAGCACTTTTGTACAACGAATGAGACTACTTTTTGCATGACACGAGCACATCATTCATCAGTATTCATCATGGATCTACCAGAGTTAGCGATAGCAAGCCTAATTAAGTTTTCAGATTTTGCAATGTAGTTCCTTTAATTCCGAGAATGTACCTGCATCACATGTGACACCATGACTAGGACAATTGATTAGCATAGCATAAAAAACACATATTTGATCTCTCATCTCTCATACAGAGTAGGATATGCCACGCAGCTAAAGAGTAAGTATGAAGCTCCAGTAAGACAAGAAACATGGAGCCGCTGAACGACAGTACAGATCGAAGATGTTACAACACAGAACAAGAGAAAGGTAGTAAGTAGTATAAGCATTAGAATCCAGATCGAGCATGTTGTAGAAGTAGGTATAATCAGAATAAGTGTAGTAAGAACTCTGTAGCTGAACAGATCCGAACTGAACTCGCAAAAATAAGCCATGTGCGTCCGGCATTGCTGTATAGAGACGCGAAAACCATGCATGTGCACAATCCCAGCCGCAACATGAATCACTCAACTCACTTTGAAGCTATCTACAGGTAAAGCTATCCCTGAATCATGAATCATGAGTAAAGAGACGCAGCACGAGGTATCATGTCACAAGACCTACAAGCATACGCAAGAACATATAAGAAAGAATGATGGACAAGACTCCATGAAAGAAGCAAGCACTTTGCACAGAGAGGAGCTCCACAGTCATAGCAAGTAGTATGCTGTTTAGCAATTTAAATTTTCTCTTGTATCTATGTATCCCGCTACTACTGTAGAAACCGTGGGGCGCCCTCACAACTTCAACATCAGAGAAAGTCGTAGAACTCAAAGAAGACTCAGGGAAGTCGTAGGTCCAATCCGAACCGACTAACATCATCATCTTCGCTTGGTATAGAGTTGAGTGACAAAAGACAAAGATTAAGAACTTAGTTGTAGATCATGCTTCGATGTACTATAGGGAAAGAATTGGCTTATAGAAAAGAGCAAGAGTCCGGTGAACGTGTTCGCACCGGCATGCTTCATACGTTGTGCAGACACCTTCAGATCGATAGTGTTCACGTCCGAATCTGAAATCTGGATGTTGCTGAGTCCTCCGCTACCTCCTTTTCGGTTGCATTTGCGTCTATCGGGACTGCGGTTGAGTCCGTGGCCAGCCATCGGTATTTCTATAGCTGGTGTCATGGACCACGTATTGTTATAGCTTGCCGGCGAAAAAACTCTCGGTGCTCTGAAAGATTCGTGTCGGTGTAGAAGCATCCTGTTGCGGGAGCCATGGCTCCTCACTCTCACTCTGTACCGGTTTTCCGTCTGTGGTCCTCTTATCTGAGGAATCTGATCACACATACAGCTACAGTTTACCCACCCCGCCCGACTCACGTCTGTCTCTTAAGCCCCACAGAGGAAAAGAGCGCTTTCATCATTCGAGAAGATAGTACTTACTTCTATCAAAAATTCTGCATATTCAACTGGCATATCAGGCGAATTAAAAATATCGTGCTTGTGCATTTTCATCGTACTGATAACGAAGAGAAACTTACTAGGTAGTGCTACTGATTTTGCCATTGACTAGAATGCTTGGAGGCATTCCATAGTGAAAGTTGTCATCCTGCTTACGCTGGGTCACGCGCTCCTGGTGCTCCAAGTGACGCACTATCGTCAAAGAAACTTCAATTGCTACTTCTCGGAAGAGTCTCTACTTCTACGAAGAGTCTCTACTTCTAGGAAGAGTCTGTACTACTACGAAGAGTCTCTACTTCTCGGAAGAGTCTCTACTTCTAGGAAGAGTCTCTACTTCTCGGAAGAGTCTCTACTTCTAAGAAGAGCCTCTACTACTACGAAGAGTCTCTACTTCTCGGAAGAGTCTCTACTTCTAGGAAGAGTCTCTACTTCTCGGAAGAGTCTCTACTTCTAAGAAGAGCCTCTACTACTACGAAGAGTCTCTACTTATAGAAGAAGCTGCACCGCCCTTTGAATCCTCCTTCAATCCTCCTGTACCGCGACGACTCTTCGTCTTCGAGATGACGCCTAGAAAGCTCCCAAGCTATGAGCCGAATCAGCCTTTTTGGGTGGCAGAGGATACCCTGGTCTGTCGCGCCGCGCCAGAACTAGACTCCCCAGAATCGGCGCCACCAGTCGGAAAGAACCGGATTGTTTACTTTATGATGAGGCAGATGGCGTCACGCATAACTAAGTAATGCGCATCTTTGGCGACGATTGGTAACTCGTTGTTCAACCGCACACTTTGTCACTTATAATAAGTCTCCAATGTCGCTCCAGCCGTCGCACCTAGCGTCCACTACAACGTAAGACTAAGGCAAAAAAAAGCATCTGTTGAGAGTCGAGTGAAACCGAAATGCATAAATGCCACCTACCTACCTGGGTGACTTTTTAAGCATTTTGGTGACCCGCCAGTCGCCCTTTGGAAACTGATTGGGGTCTAGAGTGTTCACAACTTCTGTCATGTGTGAGTCGAGAGGCGCGGACTTGTTTACGGACAAAAAGAAAGAGGACGGAAGAATAGAAAAATTTCAGATCTTACGCGCAGCTTGATTTAAAAGGGGGAGAGCGTCCCATCGCTCTCCCTCGCCGATCCTTTTATCTCCCGCCCGCTCTTAGCAGAGAAGTGGCTAGCAGGCATAAGGCAGCCCCTTTGGTAGGAGTAATCCCTCCGGTTTCTGTTTTTCTTTTTGGGTATTTTATGGCGATTGCGGAAGCGGGATCCGGTTGAGGATTGCTCACGCCGCGAAGGAGGGAGCGCGAGGCAGTGAAGATAAGAAAAACTAGGTTAGTGCTCCCTCAACAACGAAAAACATGTTGTACTTAGGGCCTTACGCCAGTAGGCATTTACTTCTAGTTGTTCACTTGTCAGTTGATTGCGCATTAGTCAAGAGTTAGCAGGGTTGGCATCCCCTGCGCTCGTGCCTTGTAGGTAGGCGTATAAGAGTGGGACGGTTGGCAGCCGGTGGAGGTTTATATAAAACTCTTAATCCGCCTCCTTTACTCCTAGGGTTCATCTTTTTAGAATCGGCAGGTTCGTAGGCAATTAGTGCGCTGTATTATAAGGAGGTAACCGGACTCCACCTGCCGTCGGTTTGCGAACCGGATAAAGCTGAGGCCGCTCATTTAGTAGCCCCGGGATACAAAAAAAAAAAGTCCAGGCTGAAGCGAGAAGCCCTTGAATCTTGAAGTCTCCAGGCGATTTAGACTCGGTTTTGAACAATTTTTTCTAATTGCTACACCGGTCTCCCACTCGTTGAGCTAGAAAATGGCATTGTGCGGATGGCTATTACAAAGACCGACGATCGCCTACACGAAAAGTTGTCGCATAAACAGCGACAAAAGATGGTGCACTGGGTTACACTGGACGCGTCACGAGTCAATCCACGGAAAAAGAACATGCTGGTCATCGAGGGCGACGAGCTCACTTTTTTCAAAGTGTTCCTCTTGAATCGCTATGGTACTGGCACCGAGGACCGTCGATCAAGAAAGCGAGGTGGAGAAGACGTTATGATTGACAAGAAACAGTATTAGATTTACAAAAATAGAAGTTCGCTACAAGACGATGGTTTTTCTGTCTACTTATCGAACTTGAAGTTGTACTGCAATCAAGTTTGTTGACGTTATTTCTTCGGTCTAGAAGATGTTGACGTTATGTGGTATATTAAGTTTTCGGACGAGTCACTCTCATATCTCACGGCGGCGGCAGCGGTACGAGTTCTTCCAACGAGGATGGGAACACCAGTGGGGGTGGGTCACCGCGCAACACTTTCTTGACGCAGGGAACGACAGAGACTGACGACGTGGATATCTCGCAGGTGATTAGTTTAGATACGTGGTATCGTTTTTACCGCGATTTGGACAGGAATGGTAACAACCTAGTGTCCATGATCGAGTTTGAGGCGGGGCTTCTGTCGATGAAGTACCCTGACGAAAGCACAGATGCCGGAAGCCAAAGACGAAGGAAAAAACTGCTACAGTTGCTGGACAAAGACCGATCAGGGGAGCTGTCTTTTGAAGAGTTTGGAGCAATATTAGGCTTCTCAAGCGACGAGATACGCAAGACCAAGGAAGTTATGTCCACCTAGACTTCTTGGTTGCTTCTCGTAGTAGCTAGTAGTAGGATCGAGGTTGAGCAATGTCGTAGTTTTTCGCAGCACAGAGCAGTACTTATAATGTCTAAAAAGATGTCTCTCTTGTAGCGAATGTCACTCCATCATGACCAGCGATGTTGTTCAACTATCTTCTCTGATCCACCTTCTCACTAGCTCATCTACCTACTACAAAAATCCCAAAAATCCTTCTGATCCTGATACTTTTCTAAAGAACACATGATTCTAGAGGAGATCCGGCGGAAAAAGAGTGGCGCAGCTGGTTTTGGAGCTCGTTACTCGGCTGCAGAGGAGTATGATTTGCACGCGCGAATGGAGGAATACGGTCGGCGCTCCAGGTCAACATTGCCTAGTCAGCGTCATGCTGCTCGAGTGTATGGGAATCGCAGCGTGCAAAAGGCCCATGATAGATTTACGGGAGATGATTCTCCATTTTCAATATTAAGGTTCTACTTGATGTGAGGAAGAATGAATGTAAGAAAATAACATGCTGGTGTAATCCCATCTATCATCTCTAATAAGCTGTCTTTTGGCGGAGGCAATGCGGCGTTACTGGCTCTCGGTGGCCCAGAGTCCGCTGAGAGCGCCTCTCCGGTAAAACGTGCGCGTGCCGCAATGCGCGAAAGCGAGTCATCTAGAGTTAAGGCTTCAAGAAATCCATCTTTTTAGCCAGCATCTTGGGCCCGTGTTTTAAGGGAAAAATCTGGTACCAGGATGCTGCCCCAGATGGATTTTTCCGATCTCTAATAGAGTTACATCGAGTGAAGGAGCACCGGGATCGTCGTCAGCCGGCAACTCTCTAGAGCACGGAAACAAAACCGAGCGACTACCAATACTGCCGATGATTAAGGGTTGGAAGGTGACCTCTCATGCTCATCTATGAGCAGCATAAATCTATGAACAAGATTTTCCTTTCCAGCAGAAAAGTCTAAAAGTCATAGATTTAGATATGCTGGATACTAGACAGGTCAAATTAAGAGTACAACCCCTAAGATGGTGGAAGCGCAAGATGCTGGCGGGGGCGCCGCAGCTTCGAGGTCTGCGTCGCGGGAGCAAGAAGCGGCTGCGGCGAACAGTATCAGTGTGAAGCAACAACAATCATCGCAACAATCACCTGGCGCAGCAGGTGAAGATCTACAACTCAGGGGTGGGTCCGCGCCGAACAAGATGAAAACAGGCTCAGGCGCAAACGGTGCAAGCTTAGATCAGCTGAATACCACACTGGGGACGACGCTGCCAGCCACCAACTCGACGAACTTCGGATCCCAGTCTCTTCAGCTAGAAAATACTATTGCACCACACGGAAGCAGCATCTTGCCTGCAGAGGGCAGGGAATCCAAATCCTTGGTGATGCAAGAGGAGTTGCAGCTTGTGCCGTCCACAGCGCCAGCCATGCTGAAACGCGGTGAGCGGTCCTCGTCCTCGACGTCGAACCAAGAGAACAACAGGAGACACGCTCCTCATCGATCAGGATCATCGCCATCAGCAGCCCTATCGTTCACATTTCCGAACACCGACATAAACACGCGCTACATCTCTAGTGCCGGTTTTGAGCGCGGATCGCACAGAATCCTACATCCTAAACGTTGGACATCGCGATACGGTGTTAACGACCCTAAAACGCCGCCGCCGTTTCGAGATTACTTTTCTTATGTCAAGAAGTAGAATTCGTATGTCAAGAAGTCTCTACTCGGGTCGCTACGGAACCAGGCAGCTTCGAGTGAGTTGCTACGTGGTTCGAATGAATGAATGAACAGCAAATCCTTTTTCCACCGCAGTACATCTTTTATTCCGGTTCAGAGCATGAAAGCGTGGTGAGATCCACGAACGATTAAAGCAGGGATTTTATTTATTTAACTTTCCTATCACTTCACCTTTTCAGGTCAAGACTCTCCTATTCCACACAACTCCAACTCCTACCTTCCAAGATTTTTATTACTTTGACTGCATTATACACATTCTCCACCCATTTAGGAACTTCAATCAAAATCAACACCACAAATAGGGAAAACAAAAAAATGTCCTCACGCTGCGCCCGTCTCTGTCCTGTAATAAGGAATCTGTTCATCTCATGCAAATGAGATTCTTGACTATCTAAGGATCAAAAGCTTATTTAACGAACGCAGTCTTTCTTTTCTAGAAACAATCAATGATTAAAGACGAGTCTTTCTTTTTCTAGTTAGGTCTGCTCCACCCACTTTATTGAAGACCAGAAAAGCCTTCCCTCTTACAGCATGTTTATACGAATCTTCCTTAGGTGCACGCAGGTACTCCCTCAGTTTCTCACCCCTTTCATCTCTTTTCCGGTTACGGCTTGTTTTCTTCGGAACCAGAGATTTTGGAGCAGGAGGCACGGTTACCACCGGGTGTTGGCACCGATAGTTACGCCACTAGTCGCAGTGACCCGCCCGAAGGCGTGGAAGAAAATATCAAGTTGCGTTACCTAGAAAGCCGCAACAAAATTTAAGGCTTCAAGAAATCCATCTTCCAGAACATCCCGGAGGGTTAGTTTCCAAAGTGGAAAGAAGCACCCCCATGATGATGTTCGACATGAAGATGAACTATTCCTTCGGGAAGCTCGAAAAAATCAGTATGGGAGAGGAGCTAGTGCTTTTTCGACAGTACTTACATGACAAGTATGGAGCGATAACCTTTGCGGACATGGAGAAGATCTTTCGGATGATGGACACTAATGCGAGCGGTATTATTATAAGTACCATCAACAGTTGGATAATCAATTACAAGATCAGTTGAGGTAGTTGTTTGGTGGAGGTGTTTGGAGGTCGTCTGGATCTGAACTCAACATTCTTGTGAAGTCTCTATCTGTATCTTGTTCTTTCTTATAAGCTAACTTCTGCTCGTCCCATCAGATCGGCTTGGTGTGTCCGCGTTTACGTCTGCGCTGCAAGCGACTCTGAGGTACCCCGAAGATGGTGCTGGTACGCAAAGAGCCATGCGACGACGCGTCAACCTGTTTCTCATCATGGATTTGGATGGCTTGGGGAGTTTAGACAGGTAAGTATATCATTGCGAGACAGGTAAGCATATTCATCACCATCTACTTCACGTAGACGAGTATTCGTCTTAAATAAAACAACCAGTTAAGTAGTTTTTACCTCTAGTAAAACTTAGATTTATCCCATGCAGCAACACGTCTGAAATCTCCAAATCCAAATCCAAATAGACGCATCTACTATTTATCCCACGCAGCAACACTTCACATACACATACCGAGTATGTCCGAATCCACAGGTATGAGTTCTGTCGAGGTCTGACGAAGCAGTTGGATGCCCAAGTAAACATGGGGGAGAAGTATCAGCGCAGGTTACAGCGTTGGGGCGGAGCGTTTTCAAAGTGGGTCCTCCTTGCGAAGGGAGCAAGGGTTAAGGCGTGGTATAGGCCTATATATAAGGCGTATTGCCCTATAATGAATCGTGAACCACATGATTATAGTACTAATGTTCATTTATAATGAATCGTGATGAACCACATAATTATTATTGCCCTATATATGATGAATCGTGATGAACCACATAATTAGATACTGTTACTGCTAACATATTACTGGTTGTTCCTTAAATACTAATGTTCATTATCATTTAGATAATGATAATACCGTGGTAGAGATCACGATCAGAAATTCCTTTTTTTTCATTCCTTCTTTCCTATACAGTTTTCCCTTTTTCCTTTATCGTTTGCTTTTATCCCAGTCCCATACGGGGGAAAAACAGATCCAGGAAGTTGAATCCCACAAAATCACCAGAACTGTGGGAGTAGATTTAAATGCGAGGTTTCTGCGAGGAAGTTCTAAAAAGACATTGCGAAAAAAACCAGCAGAGAGATGGCATTCAAGCGAGAAGGAGCTGCGCCACTCATTCAGACCACAGATGACGCAATCCAGTGAATCCGCAAACAGCTCGAATACTTAGGTCGCAGGCTCTTTGAATTGAATACTTAAATGTTTTCATAGTTAGGAAGATGAAGGCTTTCTAGCCTAGTTGAGCAGTCACTGACATTTCTAGTCTAGGTGAATCCCCAGAGGGGCTCCCATCATCATCTTTTTGCAGCTCTGCGAAGATCTCATGAACATTCTGGTTTTGTAGACGCAAGCCCAACCCCCCTCTAGTTCTAACCCCTGCAGCTTGCTACGACTGGCGGAGAAGCGACCCAGCAGATGATAGGCATATCGCATCACACCAAGCTGCCCTCAATGCGCCAGCTGAGTACCAATCGTGCGAGTCTGGAGATCCTCCAAAGAAGGGCACGCTTCCGCGCAGTGACAGCCTTTCAGCCAAGGCCGTTTACTTAAGGCGAGTTACCATATTGGTCACATTCTCCAGTAAGATCCTCATTAGCAGTAGAAAAGTAGAAAGGTAGAAAGTCTCGTAGTAGAAATAAATTGGCCTGCAAGAAGGATGCTCATCTGATTCTGAACAAGATGAATGTACCTAGTAGTGTCGCTGCAACTGCTCCCTCTAAGTTACCATCGGGACGTCGAATTTAGGCACTACGTTTGGGCCTCCAAGACCAGAAACGAGTCCAGACATGACAGTGGAAATGTACACGATACCCCGAATAGGCGAAGACGGAGGAACCAGTGGCACGACAAAGGGAATGTCAGCGGCGACGTTCCTCGCGGATGAGCACAACCTTTTGCCGACGAACACAGAGGATGATGATCAGGTACTTTTTAGGTCACTTTTTTTTTTGTCCTCGCCAATGATGTGAGAGGTGAATTTGAGCCTGTGAGTCGGCAGCATCCTTTACTACGTTTACAGATTCTGAAAACTTATACTTCTTCCAATTAGTTGTACTAGAGATTTAGAGCAAAACGCTCATACTCACACCCCACACAGGTCTCAGACGTGTTGAAGAACCTTCAGAGACGATTCCTCGAGGCAGAGAACATCAAGCAGGCTAGGAAAGATAGGGCGTTAGCGGAGACTGTGGATTTCGCTCAGACGTTCCACAAACCTTTCACTTCCTCGGTTTGCCACATGTCGCCGGTCTGTAACTACGGGTCTAAAATTGAAGTCTAGACGAGACTTTCTTTGTGACCTAAGAAGACAGAGTCTTTCGTATTCACTGGCAGAAGTCTGCACTGAACTTCGTGCGAGATAAATTGCATTGTATTGGGCATTGCAGACATAATAATGTACCAGGGTGTAAGTGAGTACTTTGTAGTAATCAGCGTAGTACTATGTTGCACACACCCACACAACTATCCTCTCTTACTCGTATTTCATTCTATCCATCGTATTTCATTCCGTCTATATTCAACCGTGTAAAACGATACCTGCATCTTCTCGTACTGTGATGCACACACACACAAATTTCCGTCATTCAACCCACAACATGCTTTAAATTTGCATCGACGTCCCGACATCCATGTTTGCGATTGGCTCCCATTCATGCCTCGTATAATGTTGTGCATCAAGAATCATGTTAAACCTGAAATTTACCCCATTCTTTCGTAAAAGTGTAAAGTTACCTCCTCCGTTCTTTCAGATATCAAGCACAGTAGTTAACCTGCAAGACTTCATGGAAGCGACTACACTGGTTGCTCTCACACTTGATACTATGTTGAAAAACCGGGAGGACTCAAAGACAGGAGAGATATCGTACGCGACACAAGAGAGGCGATAATGGTGCCGCGTCATGGCTCGTGCTTTCCGACATAATCCTAGGTGTTCCAACACAAAGAGGGCGTTAGTAGTGAATCATGTGGTAAGATAAAATCCATCACAGCTTCGTGAGGAAAGTAGGAGTAGTAGTTAGACGCAGGTGGCGGGGAACGGGGTCACTGGGATCAAGTAAATTGACATGGTAGATTCGGTGCGGAATCGCACGTCGGTAGAAGCGGTCGGGAAAATTCTATCATGCACGAACTCGAACACGCAAACTGACCTATTTAGTTACACTTACTTATGACTACTACGCAGTCGCAAAGGCAAAGAGGATTATATTCGGGTGAAGCTGTCGGTACAGTGTCGGTGTCTGAAAGTCGCCTTCTCTCGGTGGATGTGCTATAGTCTATGCACTCTGTCCTGAGGGAAGTTCCAAATGGGAAAAGAGATTCGCTAACCTGTCTCCCTTTTCCAGGCTCATGGCGATCACTTTTGTCAATCATGAAACATAATTTTTTACCCCTCGTACTTTCTCTTTTCGTTCGGGTTGATGCTTTCTATTGCTTATATTTCCTGGCTGGTTTTCACCTTCACGCTGTCAAAGCTTCCATTTTTCTTCAAAGTCTCTAATTGTGCATGCTAAGGAAACCTCTTTTGAAGGCGGAAGTTTTTTGAACTCTTTCCTTGTGGTTTCACAAAGCATGATGTGTGGTGCTCCATGAATTTCGCCTCAGCATTAATAGTTACCATGTAACATATGAGATCATTTTCCTGGTACTAGTTATTCAGATTCCTACGTGAGATGAGATGAGACTATCGTCAGGGATCCTGCTGCTATCCTGCAGCGGGACTACGGCGCTGCAGGCCTCGCAAGACGTACCTGAGCCGGAGACGACAGACAGCACTCAACTCGGGCTCGATGTTAAGACCAAAATCCCTAGTATAGTAAGGAGTGTTTTCCCATCGCCAGCTGCATGATGATTCTAGGCTATGCATTTCTCTTTACTCATGAACAAAATCGAGTGTTTGTCCGCCACAAAACCTCCTTCAAGATGGTTTCCTTACACCAGAAGTGAGTCACGTGATGTTTTTTGTTTCCACAATCGATATCAATGACTGAATGCTACGGATACAAACATCTCACTCTACTGCTCCTCTAATGCTTACGGCTTGATAAGCGCTTACCACCATGCAAATGCGCAAAGACGGCGTAACTTATCTGGGAGGCGTCGGTTGCCAGTGCGCCGACCCGTCGAATACATAAGGCTCACCCCTATCATCTATTCTTGTCGGCCTATTGCTATAGTTTTAGTTTACAACTATATTACTAGTACTTTTCCTAGTTCTTGTATAATCTTACTTCAGATAGTCCTGCCTCTTGGAGGAACGGGAACTTCAATTGATCGATGGATTATTTATAGACATAGACTTCGTCCCTGAGGATAGACTTCCTCGTCCCTGACCCTGAGGAACTCTAAGGTACCTGGCGGATGAAACGTGCGATTCCAGTTGTGATGGGTCTGGTGTTGCTGAATTTGCGAAGCCGCAATTTTCTGGTAACCAAACTCTGCGAGGACGAGTCTTTAACGACTCGTTGCGAGGACTAGTCTTCAACGACTCTACTAATACCTTGTTAAGGCTAGTAGTTGTCAGTCACTATCTGGGGCGGGTGTGGGTTCCACGGCAATACCTACATGACAAGTATGGAGCCTTCATGTCGTCGTCAAAATTAGATGAATTAGGTTCTCAGTGGGTAATATGGGTTTCCCTCAGATGTGGTCAAGGGCGGGATTTTTTCAGTAGGGAAAGAGGGAATCCACTCAAGAAAACCGCGGACAGTGATGGGGACTGACTTCTAGCGTTAAGATTGGTCGATAGCCACCATAATCTGCGTCAGTTCAATGGTTTGGGAGAGCACGTTACTGGGCCGATGATAGTAGCGGGCAGACATCATTATGGCATCCTAAGCTAGTATAGAAGTAGTCTGCGAGAACGGCTATATTACACCTGGAGAAATTTGACAGCACATAACTCCGGTTGTAGTGACGGGCTCTCACAGCTAGTAGAAGTACTTTGAGGCTAGAAATCTTAGGTACCTTGCCAAGTAGCTCTAGGTTCAGGTCGTCAAGACGTCCACAAATTCATCTTAGAAGGAGGTATCTTTGAGCCAGTGCCGCTTTCAAACACAAGGTCAAAGATGCACCTAATCAAAGATATTTGATGAATTAGGGTCAGGGGAATAAGAACTCAAAGATGTACAACTGCCACAAAGATGTACGTCGTCACACAAATTTTTGGTGCCTTCTGTTAGAGCTCTAACAACATCATGCAGCGCCAGCTGGAGGTAGAGCGGTCTCTACAAACGTTATTGCGCAGACGGGAACATTTGTGGAAATGCAGCCTCAGACATCAAAAGTCCAAGCCTTCGGCGCTATGATGAAGGAGCGCGCTGAACTCTACTTCAACTCTGTGTGCAGTTAAGGTTCGGGTGAATCTTTTTCACGACGTCTGCTTCTATCTTGTTCACCACAGAGTTCAGGGAAATCGTAGGCACCTTGCCGAACAATAGATTTGCACCACGCAGTACCTCAGTGGTCTTACATTTGCTTTTCTGTGTCAGTTTTCAAGGAGTCTGAGTACTAAAGGTTGGCCGTTTATGGTGGTGCAGCGACGTTCTGCACAGAGTGTTAATAGTCTCTGTTTCTGAGTCCTTGTTGGATTCTGAGACTATTCTTGTTCATCACAGAATTCTAGCTCTACTCGTGGTCTTTTCTGTTTTTATTTTGTTTTTGGTTGTCAGGCTGAGACCAATTATTTGTAGCGAGACCATGACTGCAGAAGATGACTTCTATTATATACTTTGGGCTTGAGTATTTTTACTTTGAGCTCTAATGCAGTGGGCAGAAATCGGACATACCAGAATTCAAATGCCCAAACATGTACTTTTTTTATGATATTTCATGACTTGGTTGAGGCTTGATATCGGACATACCCGAACTACTGTCCCCTAGACCTGGAGGTAGTCTGTCCAAGAATAATCAAGTCACAAAATAACAAATACAACAGCATCAACTACGACAACGAGGGTCTCGTGATGGGCACGGATTCAGTATTTTCCAAGGGGAAGCTGTTTCCGGATGTCAAGAAAGGAAAAGGGAAACAGTTACGTCAGGGTGTGTTTTGATTCTGATTACGACTAGTGTTTTGATTCTGATTACGTCAGAGACGCGACTAGTGTCGAATGAATCCAAGCTGACACGTACTCTTTTTACTCGTCTAATACCCGTATGCGGGCTTTCAACGGGGGCATGTGTACCGACATGGGACAAGGGGGCCTGGGAGAGCGAGAAAAATGCCCACACGCAGATAATATTAAGGCTCAGCTTTCAACGCTCATTGGGGTTGGTCACTGAGATCGAAGAGGCGACCCCTGGAGAGAACAGGGGAAAACGAAGGGAAAGGGGAGAGCTTTGAAGGGGGGCCCTTTCCGTTCCGAGTCAGTGACCATTGAAGGCTGAGCTTTAATAATAGGCTACCTGGATTTGATCAGGCACTGTCGGAAACAATACGTTGCCTATTACGAAACGATGGGCAAGCAACCGGTAATTCTGAGTCATTTCATTTTCACTCCAAGCACTGTTGTTCTCTCTGCTTTTTCAATGCCCATAGTAGTGTTCATCTTCCCCATCTTTTTCAATGCCCCTAGGCATGAAGTATGCTTGTGACTCTGCAAGATACATATTGTTTTTTGTCTTAAGAAGAGAAAGAGTTTCTTGAATTCTAAGGCCAATGAAATTATTTGTCATCTTCCCCATCTTTTTCAGGCTGGAAGTGCCGTGCAAGAGGAGGATCTTGCGAAGCGAGTACGGCTGGTCTGCCGCGATGTTTTTTTCCACGAAAATGAGAAAAGGACAATCCTAGAGGCTTACGTGTCCAAAGTCTGTGGTAAATTGGACGCGGAGAAACAGTGTGAATCTCCTAATGCCAGAGTCCAGTTTTTTCCCGGAATCTTTGGCAATTACTTCGATCGCGGTCAGGTTTGTGAGGGTGGACAGAAGGGAGTCAAATGCGAAGCCGCTTGGAGTTAAGGCCTCTTGTACTAAGTATCTAGATGACCACTACTCTCAAATCCTCTTGTACCAAGCATCTAAATGACCACTATTGATTCTCAAATGACTAATGCTAGATGAGACCACTATTCATAGATCACATTTGACTATTGCTAAATGAGACCACTATTCATAGATCACATTTGACTATTGCTAAATGACCACTATTCATAGATCACATTTGACTATTGCTAAATGACCACTATTCATAGATCACGATTCCAAGATGGCTGAAGATTTACGGAAGGTTATTCTTCTATAAATGACCACTATTCATCCCAGGAGATGACTATTCCCGCATGAAAAATCCTCGGTGGTAGCTAATCCTAAACGACCACAATTTGTATCTCTAATCGAAAAAGGTGACTATTCCTGAAAAGACGTCAGAGGATGCGGAAGTGCCAGCTCCTCTTTTCATCGATGAAATCGAGCATGCCACTGTTGGAAGGATTACGGCAGATTTGTTAAAGAAATATAAGTACTGAAAGCGTAGTGACACTCCGAAACAAGATGGAAGACTCTTCTCATTTCATCCGAGTTGTAGTTTCTTTAATGCGCTACGTGTGACTTCTTGATAGTACTTAGTGTTACCTCGTATGGTGCAGCCGCTGTGTAGCCTTGTCCACATGCACTGTATCCGAAACCTAACCTACGAAGATTGGCAAGTCTGTATGATCCAACGAGTACTGTACATGGCTTTTTAATTTTGTGTTTTTTTCTCTCTGTTTTGGCTCTTCAGTAGCCACTGAAGTCTGCTGGTTTATCTAGTGGACCCGCACCTAACCTAACCATGGCTCAAGTGCTAGCGTACGTTTCATGGCTCTAAACTGGACGATGAGTTGCTCAACAAAATGTTGGACGAGATGAACCTCTGGTGCTCCAATTGGCCTACCGTCATGGGGAAGCAAGTCGTAGAGGTGAAGGAAGCGGAGAAACAGGAGGCGAAGGATACTGAAGGAAAGGAAACAGAAGGGAAGAAAGATGAGCCGAAGCAAACCGAAGTCGAAGTGAAGACAAGACAGGTACTTACTACTATTTTTAATATCTATAAAAAATTCAGAGATGATCAGGTAGGGTCAAGACCATGATCATCATGTAAGGTCAAGACCTCCACAGGTACTACACTATAACTACATATTAAGTGTTGAAGTTAAGACCACAGGTACTACACTATAACTACATATTATAAGTGAAGTTAAGACCAGAGGTACTACACTATAACTACATATTAAGTGAAGTTAAGACCACAGGCACTACACTATAACTACATATTAAGTGAAGTTAAGACCACAGGTACTACATCACATTCACAGATAACGATGTGGGGTTGAGACAGGGATGACACTACGCACCGAAATAACGCTTCCCCATTATATTAGAGAAAGTAGGTAGTTTAGAATTCAAATCCCTGAAAAATCCAGGACGTCGCATGTGATGTTATCAGAGCACCCTTGGATGCTACTATTACGGCCCTTCGTCATTAGATTCATTTTTCTCTCTCTCAGCATCCGTTTGAGATCGACTGTACAGAGAGACCATATTTTACAGGAGAAAAATCAGGACCGAGATGAGCAGGATTCGTCCACACATGACATGAGAGAAGCGCACTCTCTAATTACATGCAAGCGTCGCTGCGACAAACCGACGCTACGAAGGAGGCTGAAAAAGTCAAAGTCAACGTTGTCGCTTGCGACGATCCTAAATTTTATGAATACAGTAGACCAGCACTGGTGGACTACTTTATAGAATACTCGGACTGGCCTCAAAAATGGATCTGATTCTAATTTTGGGTTTTGCCAGATCCGATGAGGGAGGGCCTCAGAAAATTGCGCATGAAGAAGTGCGTCAGCGTATACGGCGTCATTCTGGCGGGTACCTATCGTTATGGTCAGCTTTTATTCCACATTCTAAGTATAATATCTTTGATTGAGTGTCAAGAATTGATCACGGGGATCATTCGATAAAGAAATTGCTGGAAAAGCAAGAATGTAAGTAGTACGAGGCAACAAGTTTGTTCCCAATCTCCGGACTAGGCAACTGTTTTGGAGCACCTTGACCTTCTAACATCGTTTCCCGTCTCCGCTATTGAAGTTTGCTGGTGGGTATCTGGGAAACCTGTTGAACCCCACTGGTGTGGAAAAAGTGGACGAGCTGCTGAAATTGGAGCCACAGGGTTCAGTCATTAAAGCCATGTCTTCATGGTACTTACTATGATAGGATTTGTTATAAAAAATTGAAATGTTCATTCATTGGTGCGGGAGATTGCTTCTCAACCTCATTCAATCAATTCTGCCTTCCAAGTACATTCTTGTTCGGATCTTTCAATTCAAGGTACTATGCTTTGGGTGATCCGGCTACTGTCCCTGATGGTGGCGTTGTGAACCAACCAGCCGCCTTGGTCTTCGACGTTCCTTAAGGCTAGTACCGCTAGTATGTCCTTATTCTTCAGATCGTGATCATTCGATCTCCTTGTTCTAACAGAAGACGATTCTTGGCTCTTTTTTATTACTCTCAGCGAGGAAATGTATCCTATAATCGCAAGACGCTCTCTACCCCAGCTGCACCATTCTCCTTAGCAAATGGACACGAGCCAGGCATCGGCCTGCACTATCTTCCCTTATTATGTTCTTATCTGTCCCTTATTGTGATAAGAAACATGTTTACGAGGAAGGTGCAGTGAATGCAGTCAATCTCTAACGTCCTCCGGAGAAGTCGGAGTACGACATTAATCGTGCCTTTAAGCGTCATCAGGGAGTGGAGCATCTGGCGAAAAGCTTCAACGCTCTGCCAAAGTCTCGCGCAGACTATGGATTCGATGCCGTCTATCTTATGGTCAGCTTCTCACCATCTTTCTCGGCATCTCTTCGGTGCCCTTTACTTGTTCCCATTGAAGAATAGAAGGAGAGATGAGGTGGCCGAGATGAGGGGGCCGAGACGAATAAAAGCTGGCGCTAATTATCCAGTAAATCTCAAGGATTTAAAACCAAATGCTCAATTGGCAACGGTGAAGTTCTCCATTTATCGTTCAGTCTTCGCTCTAGTGGCTTTGCACGGCTACGGCTCCGTCAAAGACGGCGTTGTTTGGAATGTTACGATACGGATTATTAAAAGGACGCCTATATTCATATTACTAGACAGCACTGTGCTGATAAGACGTTGCTCCTTAGGGTTCGACGTCCCCATTTATTTCGACCTGAATTTTTTTTAGTGCCCACCTGGAAGGCGCTAAACCGGAGAAGAGCCCTCTCTGCAACCTGTTTCGCTACTACCTGTTTCGCTACTACCTGTTTCGCTACTACACCTGTTTCGCTACTACCTGTTTCGATACTACACCTGTTTCGCTACTACACCTGTTTCGATACTACTCCTCTACCTGTGGTCTCAAATTCTCTATTACTCAGACGGACCGGATGGGTGAACGATTGTAATTATGCGAATCACTCCTCAAGAACATGATTCAGATTGTGCTTCTTCTAATCCATCCCTGGAAGGCAAGAAACCTGAGGAGAGCCCTCTCTGCAAAGCCTACAAAGAAAGTCGCAACGAGGTAACGAAGGGTGGGAAAGGTGGCAACGGTGGCAACGGTAAAAAGATGCCCTGGCACCGATATTGCCCAGGATCTGGCGAGCTGATGTCCGTGCAGATAGCAGCAGATGGTGTTCCAGCTGTCTCAGGACCCAAGGTCAAGGGAAGCAAAAAAGTCGACGCTTAAGGCAGCTGTCTATTTTTTCATCAGATTGAAATTTCAATGTCTAGAAGTAGTTCAGATGAAAACTCCCGGGGATAATTGGCACATCGTTATTTGCGTCGATGCATGAGTAAATTGGATTATCTGAAAAGGACATCATACGCTATCCACTACTCATCTGCTGTGCCTTATCCTAAGAGGTCAGCTCTGCCTCTACTAATTCAAGGCGAAATCAAAAAAGCAAGATGTGCAAGGATGCCACTGCGTCGCGTGGTTTTTCAACGTATACATATATACACATTTCAGCATGAAAAATAGTCCTCGCCACGAAATGACGAAACTAAACAACATAGTCATATTTAGCTTTTCTGCAAATAACGACAATAAGCTGATCGTTTTTCCTTTCTTATTTCTGAAATTCCAACCTGTGCAGTATGCAGTTAGCGTCCCAACCTGTTCAACAAGAATGTCAAAATCAATGCTTTACACTCTTTAGCTAAGAATGAAAAATGTTATTACTTAAATTCCAAGTTTATACACTCTTTCTCTTTGGCTAAAGCCCGTACTTTTCAAATTCCACCTTCTCCTTCAACCTCACTGTATTTCAAATTCCACCTTCTCCTTCAACCTGACTGTATTTCAAATTCCACATTCTCCTTCAACCTGACTGTCAGTTTGTAGCGAAGATGAAGGAGGAGCTGCCTCTTCCAAATTCGAATAAAGATTTCGTGGAAAGCGGACCAGGCAGAGAGGCTATCGAACAAGAACTTCATGCAAGACCCGAAAAACTCAACGAGGAGCTGAAAAAGTTAGTTACGGGTGCTACTAACGCTCTTGTTGTTGCAATTTTTCTTTCATCCACTGACTTCATCTACTGACCCACAACATTCAACTATATTAGGTATTCGCGGCGCCTAGAATAGACGGATCCTACTTAGCATGGCCATTACTAATAAATCTGTACCTATATATCTTTTACCTACTATCCTTCCTTTTTTTCCTAGTTAGCTTGGCTCCACCAGTATATTAGGTATTCGCGTATCACTATCTTTACTCTCGCACTTCTACTTGCCTCGTTCTGTCTGCTTACCTTGCGTCACTTTCGCTATCACACCACTTGCCTCTTCATATCTCTTGTCAACTGTTGTCCTCGTTTATCTAATCATGTCCTTACATCTACACCTACTTACATTTAGATCAATATTTTTCTGTTATTCTCAGTCTACTACTAAGATGAACTAGAAGATACTTATTCACATACACATTATGAATATGTGGTCTACTAGGTTCAACATCTTATGACTATAATATTCTCACGACCTCCTCAACCCCTCTGTCTACTATGCTCCTCGTTCTAATGTCTTCACCCCTGCAGCTTTTCCCTTCTTGGGAACGAGTGAGGAGCCTGTGCAATTCATGAGCTTCAAGTGGAGCAAGGATATCCATAGCACGGTGCCCACCAGTGCGGCAGAATCGCTAGCATTATGAAAGCTGAAAAGAAGGGTCAAAGTGTTGTAGCAGAAGTGTTCTATCAGTAAAGAAGTGTACTAGAAGTATTCCATAAGATGTGCAGGATGCAGAACCTAACCTAACCTAGCTAGTCTCTAAGGTGTGGAGGAACACCGCCAGAGGCCGCACCAGAGGCCGGAGCAGAGGACGGAAAAGACGACGGCTCGTGCTGTTGCGATAGTTGTCCTTGAGTCGTCTCATTATTTTCGTTTTGATTATGACACGGAGTTATTGATACCAAGTTGTACATTTTTATTTTTCTGTTTGAACAAGAACGAAGCACACTCACGACTTTGATACAAATTCACAGACTTTTGCTACGCTGGATGAACCACCACGATAAGTATGGACAAGGACGATGAGTATGATTGAACAACCACGATTGGTATGAACAGCCATGATAAGTGATACATGATCGACCAGGTGCAGTAATGTTAATGCAGTCACTAACGTGACGAGGAGGAAAAAACACCATAAGAATGAACCAGAACTTTTTGCGATACTTGTGCTGTGCAAAGCGGTATGCTGGGAACGAGAGTCTTCCGCCGTGATCTGTTCTGAGATAAATGCGCGTCTGATCAGGGGAGCAGCAGTGCCTGTACCTGTACCTGTTCAACAGAGCGTGGAGGTTCGCTTTCTGAGAGTAGTAGTAGATCCATATTTTGATTATTTTTCCTTCTTGAGAGGTGCCGACGATGTTGCGTAGACCAGTTAGAAGAATGTAGTTTTTCGCAACAAGCATACCAGCAAGCACAACTCTCAACTACATGATGAGATGACTCAAAAACTGAGTCCTGCAGTCGTGGTGACTACATCAAATTGCAAATATGGTGCTTCGTAATTCGTGTCCGCCACAGCGGCAACCGCATAAGCATGATTATAGGCCCACTGCCGTCTTCTTCTTATGCCTTTTCTCGTGCCTCTCTTCTCTACTTCCCGGTCGTTTGCTCCTCTTCCGAGAGGCTTTTGCCTCCGAAGCTGGTCGAAAGTACAGTGAAAACTACATCACGGACTGGTCTTGGTGTCGTGGTCTCTCCCGCTATTTCGATTGGGAGAAACTATTGCAGAAACAGCGATCGTGTGGCATTCTCGAAATACCTCTCAGCAACCTCCTGGAAGATGAAACGAAGTCCCAAAAGGAGTCCTCGTCTGACCCCAAGGCCTCGTCTGACCTATTTTTGTGCAAGAAAGGAGGAACAGAGGACGATAATCAGTCAACTGCTCTTGAACAAGATGAAGCGGCTTTGGAAAAGGCAGCTATTCAAGGTCAGCTAAAGCTTCGGAAGTCCGACCCGTTGACGGAAGCAGAAGAATATGCACTGGGTAAGGCTTCAATCCCCTGATCCATCCTCGGAAGCATCTTGCGCACGTTTTCAAGGAGCAGCTCCCGGTCTGTGTAGTGGATATTTCTCTCGATTAATTCTATGTTGTCTACTCTATCATGAAGACATGATCGCTCGATCTCAGGATGGATAAGGGCGGTGGGCTCCAAACAAGAATCGCTGGATTTCGCACTGGAGTGGCAGTGGGGACGTCCTGTAGACTTGCTTTGTGCCAATGGATTGGTCACTGCAGCCATGATAATTTTACACAGAGACGTCTTTTGGAGACGCGGCGCAGGAGTGTCCTCGGTTAGCGTAGCAGACTACGTTGACGGTGAGGGCACACAGGAGAGTGATGTTGTAACTGTTGCAAGAGCCATCATTAAGGCGAGAGCCATCATTAAGGCTAGAGCCAGACTCAGTCTTACAGTCACTATCTGGCTTAGACTATGCTGAGTGGATTGCCCTTGGAAGTGTGTCGAGGGGATCTTTCTTATTTTTAGGGCCACCACAAAGGGAGAGGCTATGAAGGGGTACAGTACTACGGCAATCTTTAACAGTAGCAGCAACGATGAAAAAGGGAACGAAGCTTCTATAAAGGGGCCTCCGACGCAAGCGGAAACCTTTCCCTTGGATGCACATAGAGCACTCTCGATCGAGGCTTTGTTGAGACGGATGGCCGATAGGGTCTTCTTACTCGATGCGAGTCTATGGGGAGCCAAGTCGTTTCTAGTCAAGGGTATGGCCAGAAATAGAAAGGAAGTTTGAACCCCTCTTCTTGTCAACGGTAAGACAACCACTTATAATTTGTAGCTTTTGCGCGCCTCACAGTCAAGGATATGAGAACCTCATTTGACTTCCGCTTCCATCGCGTTTAGGTGCTAGTAGTACCTACTGATGTTCGGCGACTTTATCAAACAACGAAGATGCTCCTCATGCTTCAGATGATAGTACTAGTAACTAATGTTAAACCACGACTTGATGCAAAGAAGATGTTTGTTCTAATGTCTAGTATTTCGAGAAGCATTCCCGCGTACTGGATTTTCCACGGAATGCGCTTCCAGACAGCAGTGAAGCAGCTGCTTTACTGTCGGAGAGCAGCTCTCCAAAAGGGCCACATCAGCAAGGCTCTGTGGCTCATACTATGGGTAAGGCTACAAGAAACCCACCTTCCCCGGGATCTTGGTCCCGGTTTTACAGCGGAAGCGGGAACTAAGATCATTAGCCCGCAGCTGGGTTTCTCTTACAGTTCTAATATTGGTAATGTGTTTGAAAGGACGCAGAATGAGCTGAAATTTTACGCCGCCCAGCATCCTGAGCAAACTGTGACTTTCATCGTTCCGCATCTCACGGAAGATACTGCGAAATACCTGCTAGACCACTTCCCGCAGCATTTGGTTCTCACTTTCAAAGCACCAGAGAACACTTCTGTGGACTTGTCAGAAGAAGCGACGGAGGACAAGAAAAGCCTAGATTCCTCAGAAACAACGGAAGACAGGAAAGACGTGGATATTAGAAGTGATGTGGATCATATTAGTGAAGATTTACTTGATCGGACTGTTATTTCTGACGAAAAGCCAGTTGTAAATATGGAAGCAAGACGCGTCAACAAGGGAGAGGAGGGCAAAACGACGATAGAAGAGGCTGTCGAGGACGCATCACAGTCATATTCTTGGTGGCTAGAATTGCAGAATTCAGGACTGAGAAATTGGTACTTTTTTGACCGTGGCGATCCGGCAACTATTGATCCCCCTGGCGTCGGTGTTAACGGGATGGCGGAGAGCGTGCCAACATAAGGCAAGGAAAAGCTTACTCATTCTGCTCAAGAAATTAGTAGGCTGACTTTCGGTACTACAGGAAAAGAAAATTGAGTTTCCTGTAATTCCTTGAGTCATCTGATGAATACCCTGTATTTCTATCGGAGTTGATGGATCTCGTCCTTGTTGTTCTTCTCTCGGAAAGAGGCACTCTTTACGTCTTGATTCAATTACACGTGCTAATAAATAGTAATTTCTGTGACTTTCATATAAGGCCGCTGATTTTTATAGTAGCAAAACCGGATTTGCTACCCACGCCAGCTGGTCTGCGGGAACTCATTCGGTATCAGAATAAAGCAGAAGTTACTGGAGGGCACGTACTTTTGGGGCACTCTCCTGTCGAAAAGAAGTTACTGGAGGCCGAATTCAGGATAAAAGCGAAAGACCCTGCTGATAGAAGTTCAAAATTGCAACAACTTGCTCTTATGAAAACAACACCGATCATGGTACTAGAGATTCATCGACAGCAGAAGCACGGCTTCACACAGCACATCTTCACAGGCATCCTGAGACCGTTTGGAAGGGGGAAAAGGTTCCAGGATGCGCGCGAAGATGGATTTCTTTTGGTTCTAATTCTTCTAGAAGTGTGACTACTACTCATCTAGTTCACAATGACTTCTGTTTTGTTGCAGCGGTGAAAGACTGGCGTTTGCGTTTCTCTTCGTGGTATCAAGAGTCGCTTTTTCTACCAGACGAAAGCGTGACCTATGAGTCTCTTTTGGGTACGAGTATCAGAGGTAACTGGTTTGGGCCTGACGTTGCACTAGCATCCGTGCCAGAGCAGGACAAAGACGAGGATGATCAAGATGCTGAAGATGGTGCTTCTTCTGCTCCAGATAGAAAAGTAGAAAGACCAGAAATGAATCCACCACCTTCAGGTGGTCCCTTATTTCCGGCTAAAGTGTGCGATACCACGAGTCCTAGTTTTTTGGCAAAATCAGAAGTAATAAAACGCATCCCATTTGATCCAGAGATTCGAGATCCGGACTTACTAGCCCTCGAATACTTCTTACGACTGCGTCAACAACAGCCACGACCTGTCCGAGTTGCAACACCAGTGTCAGCGGAAATGACATACTTGGGAGGTGGAGGTGCATTGTCATCGAGTAAAGTTGATAGAGGGAACAACAAGCATGCACAACATGGGATGGAGAAAGCTTCATCATTTGGTGAAGATCAGTTGAGTCATTTTTTGTATGGCTCTGCGGTGTTTGCGAAAAGTTCAACTCAGTGGAGTGATGATTTGTCTTCAAGGTGGCGTCGCAGGGCTGGTCGATTTCCTACAGTAACGGAATTACGCGAAGTAGAACTACCCTTCGTTTCGCAAGGGGACGTTTTGCATGATGGAAATGTTTTAGTAGGACTTTCTTCAAGACAATCAGCTTCAAAAGGAAGTTCATGCACCACTTGTTCACGTACAACAGCTTCATCTTCCTCTCTCGAGGCACGACCACAAGGGGACACTCGCCTATCACCACGCCAAGCAGAGCAAGCGCGTCACCGAGATGACCCGAGGACGGCCTATCTGAGGCACGAGCACTCAGCGGTAATCAGTCTCGGTTGTGACTTGTCTGCGCAGAACTGCGAAATTCCTGCCTGGGTATATCGTGGCTGGACAGCACCTCCTTGTTGTCGCAGGACGCTGAGAACGCTGCTTTTTTATATCACTTTATGAAAGGAGCCCATCGAAATTAAGTAAGTAAGTCTAGGCCTTAGTCTAAATATCTGAAAGCAAGCGCTTAAAAGCTCATCAGCTTTTCAACCAGCAACGACTTGCAATGATTTGCTCCTTTTGGTGGAATTGTGAGTAAAACGCGCGAAAGGATTGCGCCCTCCTGTCGCCCCGCGCCTTCAAGGCCCGACGTTTCCTCTGGGAAAGTGTGGAGCGCCTCACAGAGGCCGCAGGAGCTTGCCAACTTTCCGCAGCAGCTTGGCCAAGCAGGTGGCTCAGCCCAGCCGCGCCGCCTGAGGGCCTCGCGCCTGCTGATCTTGGGAGAGGTGCGCCACATGAGACGAAGAGGGGCATACCGCTGAAAGGGTACCACGGACGCAGACAGCGCCTCGCGCATGGCGCGCAGTCTCCTTTGCTTTCTTTCAGCTCGTGGCGCTTGCCATACATATGCGCCGGCGGTGTGCGCAGGGGGAGGCGAGACGGCTCATGAGCGGCAGCACGGTGGCCGCGAGATCTAGAGGGGGGCTTGGATCGGTGGGGCGGTCGAGCGTTTTTGGCTGTTCTGTCTGCGGGCAAGAGACGCAGCGCGGCTGCCTTCGGCGGGGTCGGTTCTTCTTGTATCAATGCAAGGAAATCGCCCATGCTTTTCCCTTTGCGTCTCGATATTAGCTTAGGGGCCTTGGGATATGGATGCTAGGATATGGGCCCTCGGATGTGCGGCGCAGAATGTGACCTGGCTGGCGCGCATGTGTGGCTCTTCATTATGGAGAACTCGCCAGCTTCTCGCCTTCCGCCGAAGTCAGACGACTCGCGGCCATTCATGTGGCACAGGCGTGCCAGCGAGCGGCCCTTGTCCGGCTGGCGCCTGTAAGAAAGTGCTACCATGACACAAATTTTCTACGCAGCCGGCTGGGCTCTCTTACAGGGATGCGGAGGCAGGTCGCTGCTCACTTCCATAGGGCGCCGGACTCGCTCGCCGCGATCGATGTCGACTCAAGCGCCGATCTGATGGAGGCGGCGGCATGGCAGGCGGGTGCGATAATTTTTGGCGCAAGTACGCGCGCCCTCGCTTGTCTAGAGAAGAGAGCACCGTCCGAACGCGGCCGGGGGGCTTGCGATCAAGGGCGTGGCTGGCGGGAAAGGAGGACGCGGGCACCCCTTTCAGCCACCTGGTTGGGCGTGGGGTGCTGGTGGGGGGTCGAGGTCGCCCATATGGAGGCCTACGGGGGAACCCATGGAGGGCCCCGCCCCGCCTTGCATAGGTTGTCGCCTGAGCTTCGTGCGTGCCGTGGTGTGCCGTTGTATAAGGGCTCGGCGAGGTCGGACGATGCGGACAGCTGTCGCTCCTTGGTAATTACTCTGATCGCGATGAAGTTGGTGGCAAGGCTGGTCGGCACTAGGCTGCTTGCAGCGTTGGAGGGGGTGGGACTTTTACCGCCGGAACAGTATGGCTTCAAGAAGAAACGCGGCACCCTTGGGGCGTTGACGCTCTACAATCGACTCAGAGCGGACGCCTTTAGTGCGGCTTCGGGGAGAAGCACAGGGCGGCCCCTAGTGTCCATGGTTGACCTTCGGAAAGCTTTCCCGAGTTTAGACTGGAGACTTGTAGTGCTGGCTTTTCAAGTTCGTTTTGGGCTAGCAGGTGGGTGCTGACGGCGGCGCACAGGTGGGCTCGCACTCATTCGGGGGCCAGGCGTTTTGGCTGGGCCACGGATGCAAGGAAGGGGGCCCCACCTCCCCGGCGCGGTGGGTTTGTCATAGTCTACGCTTGCACATTGCGGGCAGTGAAGCATAGAGTGTACCGGGCTGGGTTGCAGGCTCTTATCTACGCTCTGTGAAGCGTCACTTGCGGCAGCTTCGTTCGGAGAAGACTAAACTCGAGAGGGACAGGGATACTCTAGAAGCTGAAGGCGTTGCTTGGTCCCGAGAGAAGACTGACGGCAAGAAAAACGGCATTCAGCGAAAAGTGGGTATTGCTGTCACGGAGTTGGCAGATCTGCGCGCTCGTCAGCGGGTAAATCGTAGGAAGGCCTTGTGAATTTGCCCAGGTGGGTTATGAAGCAGGGACGAAAGAAACATGACAAAGAGACAGGTAGGAGATGTGGCCACAATTCGAGCACGCAACCTTGGGCGGCAAACATGTGAGGAGGATGGCACAGCCGTCAAGATTGGAAAAGCATGGAGGGCGCACCATGTGACGAGAAAGAGGCTAGCTGGTTTGGGTGGAGGCTCGGAGAAGTGGAAAGAGAGAGAGAGAGAGAGGAACCTCCCCGGCTTGGGGAGGGCGGTCGCCTGGCCCCGACTTGCTGGCGCTTCGGGTGCGGAGGGTTCCCCCCCGAGCACCACGCGGCCAACCCCTGGCCCTGCGGCCTTGTGAATTTGCCCAGGTGGCGCCCCCTGTGTTTATGCATCACCCGGCCTGGCTACTCGGTAGATGAGTGCCGCCCATTTGTTGCCAGGGTCTTGAGCCACACGGCGGACCGCGTGGGCGCGGTGCCAGCAGCTCCTCGGAGGGCTCCCCGGGGTCTCATCTCCCCGCATTGTCTGGCACAGCGCGGCCCCCATGTTTTTCGCCCCTGGGTGTGAAGCGGCGACCGGCCTGAAGGCCACCTCCTTGCCAGTCGAGTCCCTTCCAGGATTCGAACCAGAGGCCCTCCGCCTCCGCAGCGGAGTGCAAGCACCTGCCCACGCACTGGGCCACTCTGGCAAGTGCGTCCCTTGTGTTTATGCATCACCCGACCCGGCTACTCGGCAGACGAGTGCCGCCCATTTGTGGCCAGGGTTTTGAGCCACATGATGGACCGCGTCGGCGCGGTGCCGTCCGGAAGCGGAGAGGGGAACTGCAGTCGGCGGTAGTCAGCTCGATCCCCTTCTGCAGTACTCAGACGAGAGCGGTGTCCACAGGGACTCAGTCTCCCGACCCTCCTGCCCTTGCCTCCTGTTGGGTCTTTACTGGTCTCCCTGCAAGGGCAACCGGGGGGCCCCCCACAGGTTTTCCCGGAGACCTCTATAGAGCGCGGTCGCGACTGTAAGGGGTGTCTGTCTTGCGTGCTTGCATTGGGGTGCACTGCTTGTGCGCAGGCTTCTGAGGCTTCGCAGCCAGCTTAATCATTGAAGAGAGGAGGGCGCGGCGTTAGCTGTCTGCGTATGGTTTTGCCCTTCCTCTGGGTCGACAGAGTTCGCTTGTCATCATAGAGATTAGCCGTGGTGTTTTCGTTTGTCATTTTTAAGCGATGCACCTCCGGCAGAGCTTACTTGGCTCGGACGGAGTAGACGTTGCTCAGGGATAATGACCATGACCACTTTTGCTATCTAATCTCCGACCTTTTCGACGCAGTTGGGATCCGATATCTCGTGACAGATGGCGCGCTTCTAGGCGCGTTAAAGTATCACCAATTGATCCGATGGGATGCGGATATTGACTTGCAGATACACCCCGATGACTTCGACGCCTACCTGCTGAGGAATGAACCGATTAATGGGAGTCCTGAGATGGCCACAATGGCTGGACGAACAGACGAACTACAAGAGAATCTTGGCACTACATCCACTTCCACCACACTCAGTAGAAAAAACCAAACTGTAGCAGGACAGATTACGGATGATGGCTTCTTTTTGCGAAAGCACGAGACCTCGCTGACGCAGTTTCTGTTGCAGGCCAACGTGAACAATTACCTCCTGATCGAGCTCAACAAGCGGACATACGACGCTTTTGATGAGTATGGCAAGGACAAGGTGATTGGATGATTGCAGTACATGGTGACACTTTCCTCGTTGTCGTAGTCCCGCATTGTGGATGTGCTTTTAATAAGAAAAAGAAAATCACAACTTTAACTTCTCATCTAACCCCCAACACCCATGCTGCTGCCTGTCGAGGGACGCTTTTTGAAGGCCTCACGATCGGGATTGTCTTTGGTACAAGGATGGTACGGGCATGGGTTTTTGGCTAACCGGTTGAGACACGTCCCCGAGTGGGAAGAAGAGCATAATCCACTTTTTTGTGCAACGCCTTACCACCATAACTGTGCAGCTGGGCCAACAAGTAAGGGCACTGACGTAATAAAGGCTGCGGTGCCGATGTAAGTATGGATCAGCACGGCCGCAATCGAGCAAGTGTAAGCAGGAGAGTCAGGACGGCCGCAATCGAGCAAGTGTAAGCAGGAGAGTCAGGACGGTCGTAACTGGGCATGTGCAAGCAGGAGAGTACGTAGTTTCATGTTTATAGAATCATTCGTTATAACCTTGTCTTTGAGCAAGCTTCATCATAGTGCGAGCAGCTTCGCTGAAGTTTAGTGTCAGTTCCCTTTCAATCCGATTCAAGATAGAGCTACGACGCAAAAGTTCCTGTCATTTATTTTCAGAGAGCAGCATTCATTCAATCTCCGATTGAAAATTCATCGGGAGAATAAAGTCAAGCACGTTTGTAATGCGGTCAATTGTAAAAGCAACGAGAATTCCTCGAAGTGTCGAAGGCATTGAATTCCTTGTCTCAGGCATGAGAGAGCGCCTTCAGCAAGCATCGAAGGGAGACGGGCTTGAGCGATTTAGCTACCACGAGCGAGAAAGGTGTAATGTGTAAGTGTGATTTCATGTGTAACGTGTAAGCGTCGTCTGAGGGATCCTTGGTGGAGCGCATTTAGTGTCTCTAGCTCTACTTGTGAGTGCTTATACTTCATCATTCAAGAGACGCTTGTTGCTCTTCCATTTTGCAAATGCGTCTAGGTGGTTGTCCACGAGGATACCGGCTGATAGTGATTGGTGCACCAACAAGAAATAAACTGAGTAGGCAACACCAAGTGGGTAACAATTCTTAGAAATATTAGCAAAACCAGTGGTATGATAATAATTTTTGTCAGTAAAAGTGGTATAGTTGTCAGTAAATACAGTAATTACTTCAGAAGTACTTCAGAACTCTAGACTTAGAAACAACCCGCTGAGTCGTGCTGGCAGAGAGCCCGCCACGTCCGTATGCGTGAACAAGCTCAAAACCAGAAGCGGCGACATTGACGTCACCTTTGTCGCTGTCAAAAACCTGCTGTCGGTTTTTAGTAGTTCTACTAGAAGATCGTAACGGAGACGAGCGGAAAGCAGTGATCTCTGCATTAATCACCTTCTCTTTGGCGCTGCAGCACTGGTTACTTAGAAGTTACTTAGGATTACAGCTTCAACGAGCAATTCAGCTGTAAGAGCTTCGGCGTTATTGGTCATAGTGCAACTCCTTCTGCGGTAAAACTCAGGAAGAATTTTTGTTCGGCTGCTGCGAAACATCCTCTTCTTCTACTACTTCTCCTGACATCAAGTTGTTGGCTTCTACTCCGTAACAGGAGCAGCTTTTATTAAGGCTCAACTTTCAATGGTCACCATTTAGATTGGAGTCACCATTTAGATTGGAAGAGGCGACCCCTTGAGAGAACAGGGGAAAACGAAGGGAAAGGGGAGAGCTTTGAAGGGGGTCCCTTCCGTTAAGAGTCAGTGGCCACTGAGTGCTGAGCTTTAATTTTAGAAACAAGACAACAAGATGCATCGTTTCGACACTTTTTCGAAACCTCTCCAGGAGTTCCAGGTCAAGACCAAGACAGGAGGATACCTGTCAATATGTGCAGGATGCATGATCGTCTACCTGTTGCTCAGCGAGGTGATCTTCTTCCTCGAACTAGAGCAGAAGGACGAAATGGTCATAGACCTCAACCAGGACACCAAGACGTTCAAAATGCACTTGGATTTGTGGGTATAAGAATTTGGACTTTGTGGAATATTTTATTGCACTCTAGATCAGAAGAACCGGACTTTTCTTGCACCACCGCCTTGCTAGGCACATTCATTCTTCTTCATTCACTGATCAACCGAAAGAAGAGAACGTGTACGATATGTGACCAGGGACTGACCTTCATACCGAGTACAGATGAATCATTTTCCTCATCATGTTCATGGCTAGTAGTAGTAGTAGTGTACCCATTCTAGAGGTATTTGCCCTTTTAATTAGGTAGCACATCTTCCTGATAACCTCAAAACGAAGTAGCTACCCACTCTTACCACTTCATGGCTGATAACCTCTCTCATCACACTCTTACTCCAGCTCCCTGAGCTTCCTTGCAGCGTGGTCGCTTTGAACTTGGTCCATGTGAAGAACCAAGACAACGTAATGCATGTCGGTCACACAATTATCAAGCAGCGATGGGGAAAGGAAACCAAGGAGGAGGAATACCAGGAACTGGGCAAGGGAATCCGCGCTTCGCTCCATCGAATATCAGCCTCATCAGGCGAATTCAGCGACAATCTCCAGCGAAACCTTGGCAATGCAGCACTGGAGGGTCTAGCGCACTCGACAAGGAAACAGAGATGCCACAGTTGCTACGGTGCGATGAGCGATGAGGTATCCCTCTTTTGGAACAATGATCTTACCGAACAATACTATGGATTCGATTTCAGTACGGAAAAACATGAACATCTGTTTAAACTTCTACCTGAATTTTTCGTTCACACACTTCTCACCCTCGTCACCCTTCAACCATCCACCTTCAACCATCCACCTTCAACCATCCACCTTCAACCATCCACCTTCAACCATCCACCTTCAACCATCCACCTTCAACCATCCACCTTCAACCACTCAGGATGATTGCTGCAACACGTGTGAGTCTGTGAAGGCGGCTTTCAAAAAGCAAGGATGGAAGTTGCCGCCAGATCACATTGTTGAACAGTGCCAGTCTGAGGTGTTCGAATCCCATCCACCGCAGGCTTATGAAGGTTCTTGATAGTTTATTGTGAGTTAGATGATCATTGGATATCACAATTCTTGTAATTTTTTTATCTATTGCATGCTCTTAGATTTCTTGATAATTTATTGCATACTGTTATTGTGAGATTGGATTTCCCGGCTCTTCTCGCTCGCTTACCCGTTATTGTGAGATTGGATATACTCGAAAACTGAAAATAACCGAGTTACTGACTGAAATACGGGAGGTAGCTTTGACAGGGCTACTCTTCCTTATTCAGTATCTCGCCTATTTCCAGTAGTCACTCGCTTATTTCTTCAGTTTTTCGAATAGACGATTCTTGTAATTTAGATTTCATCTCCATCCACCTCACAAACCATCCCTTTTGCTACGAAGTTACTTAGACAACAGACAGACAGCAGAATCTTTTCCTAGTAATTTACTTAGACAGCAGAATGAAATCGAATCCTTCACGTCTTCTCTCTTCCCACCATCCACAGGTTGCAAGCTCACTTCTCGAAGTGTCGCGCGAAAGGTTCCGGCTTACCTGCAGATTGGTTTGGCTTATGATTTTGATAAGCAATATCTGCATGCCAACTTTATCGAGAAGGCGCAGAGGGGCTATGTTTCTTTTACGCACGTGATCGATCGTCTCCTCTTTGGCGCGAATTTTCCAGGATTCATTCCGGTACTGGACGGCATCGAGCAACAGCATGAACATGGTATATATTTATAAGTAAGTTAACTATAGATGTTCTTTCTACGCTTACAGTTTACCTACTTATCGGTGTCGTAGCTCTTCTTAGAAGGTACTACTTCACTGAACGGCCTCATACATAGATACACAATGCTATACAGGAGGCGCCATGACATGACATGACATGACTTAGTTATTAGTAGATAAGTATTTGCTTGACATTGACTTTTCTTCTCTCGGTTTTTGTTTTTCTACTTAGGTTTGCACCACCAACATTGTAGATGTTTCTACGAGAAGATGATGCCACTTACTTGATGGTACCTACTTATGATTTTTTTTATATTGATGATCAAGAAGAAAAAGATTGGGATTGGGGCAGCTCATCTCGGTGTCGTGGATAAGAGCACATCACAAATAACTAGTACTACAGTGAGTTGTTCTTGATTGACAGACTTAATTGACTCTTTCACCTACAACACCTACTCAGTGCCGCTGATCGAAAGCTGGAGCGAGGAGAAGCTTGAGTCCCAGAGTGAGCACTGGCAGTACGACTTGCATCTCATTCCGACCGATTTTATCACCCCATTCGGCCAAGTAATCGAGAGTCACCAATACTCGGCTACGCAGTACTTAATATAGACTTTTTTTTGCACAATAGATAAAACCTATTTCTGTAACTGAAAATATTACGCTTCAGTAGTAAAAAAATCATGAAATTGGAAAGTTTACTCCCAATTTTCATAAGACTTCTAAGTCCAAATTCTTGTTTCCTTTCCGAAAAAAAGTCACCACCACAACCACCAGTTTCGTCAAAGGCCTGAACGTGGTCCAGCGACATCGTGACTTGCCGGCTGCCGGTATCTACTTCAAATACGAGTTCACGGCCTTCCGCGTCAAGTGGATTCAGAGCTACAAGAGCGTTGCCCATTTCCTCTTAAGGCTCACAATGCTCATAGTACATTTTCCTCTTTGAGGGCCATACATTTTCCTCTTTGAGGGTCATACATTTTCCTCTTTGAGGGTCATACATTTTCCTCTTTGAGGGTCATACATTTTCCTTCTTCCTGGAGGTCTGAAGCAATGGACGCCTGCTGCCTCAGAGACTTTATTGGAGTCCTCTCTACATTGTAACTCCTTCGAAATACTGGTCTTGGAAAGTCCTAGGTTCGTCGTATTATTTTGAGCTCTAATCTCCACGAACATCTGCGCTATTCTGGGTGGCATCTACGCCTTCTTCTCCATGGTCGACAACGTCTTCTATCAGGTACTTATTACGACTCTCTATTAATTTATCAATCACTTATTAATTGTAGTACTTGTTGTACTACTTGTGTTAAATATTAATAAGATTTTTCTGCGTACTTCATATTCACATGATATTATAGCTCCGGTGATCGCTATTTTTCCCATCTTTCCAGGTGAGCAAGTCGATGAAGGGCGGAGAGAGATCTCTGAATCTCTAAGTCGATGGATTTAGTAGAAAAGCGTCGGAATTGATATTCAGTATGATACGAGGGTATCCATCTCAATTTCGATGCTTAGGGAGGACGGGCACTCGCAGAAGGAGGATTGCATCTGCTGCGAGGTAAGGAAGGTGGACCCATTAGGGGTAGTAGGTGAGTCACGACTTTTTGGTCCTGTAAATATGAGAGGTGAAATTTTTTGATCAATGAGCATTTTCGCACATAGGATAAAAACGTTCCAAGGACATCAATACGCTTAACAAACTGTCCGTTACTAGTGCTAGGCTTACTGCTGTTACTGCTGTTACTGACCGCTCTTACTTCTTACCTTAAAATTATAACCTTATCAGACAATCACGAATTTTGCTGTTGCAAAAATACAACCAATTTTATATCATGACGTTGCTTGGCATTGGCTACAAAGATAGAAGAGGGATTGAAATGGGCTAATGAAAAATTCAATTGTAGTAAGTAGTTATAGTTGTGAAATATTGTACAAGTAAATAGATTGTTGTACAAGACACATGTATATAGGTAGCCGCAGGTTCTGTAAAAGATGATGTGGCACCAGTTGAACAGAGGAGAATGACCTTTTTCGTAATGACTCACTTTTCTTTGAAAAGAATGCATCTTCATGGTCAGACGATCTACTTTAATTTTTATGCAGCAAGTTTACAGGCGGACACGAGAATCAAGGAGCTACGATTATGACCCTGAATCTCAGCCATGACCCTGAATCCAGTTGTACGCTGACCGTGACTTTTTTTCTTAATTAACTGAAACTGTGTAGAATCTTTGTTTGATAGTTCGTTGTTTGCTACTCACTCTAGGAAACAAACTAGCATGGGAAAAGTTCGAATATTTCGAATATGTACCAAAAGATTTGTGCTGACTGGCTCAGGGCAAAAGAAGACTTGGAAACCACTAACTAATCATTAGGGGAAAATAGACAGCTTTCAACAACGAAAAACAACGTTTTAGAAATGCATGTACCAAATTAGTGTGAACAAGTTAGTAGTGTTTAAGACCGTATTTCTTTTTAAGTTCGCAAGCATCAACTGTATCAACCAATAGGCATACTTAGAGGTTGTTGTTCAATATTTGAAAAGAGAAAACTACAAGTACACTGTACTGGGCACGCAGCCGGTGCTTTTGCTTCTGTCTTTGAGGCAAGCTCTGAGGTGAAGAGCAAAAGTGAACAAATTTGTAAAGAGGACTTCTCCTATCCTACACCTACTTCTGAATGTTACTTATACGCCATGGTAGCTAGCATGGTAGCCCAAGAGTCTACTATAAGGAATCAAAGGCTGTAGGTGTAGCTAGGAGAGGCGAAAGAACAAGTATTTCAACATAGTCGCATGATTCAAAGTCATATGCTGGAGATGGAGAAAAAGATTCAAAATCATAGAAACAAGGGATCGCAATCGCCACGAGATGTACCAAACTCATTGTTTGTTGTAATCATAAATTGAAATTACATGTGGCACAGCTGCTGTGACACGCGAGAGCCTAGAGGACGAGGGCAGGCGAAGTCGCCAACGGAAATGAAATGTGGCTACTTCGAGCGTGCTGTGGTGACGAGAGTTCAGAACTTGAACTTGATTAATTTTCACAAGTTCTCGTTGTTCCGAACCGAACCGTTCTGCATGGTTCGGATCAATTTTCACAAGTTCTCGTTGTTCCTCTTCCTGGGGTCAAACAAATAGATCGGCCATAAAAACTGATCCTTTTGATAGTGTACAACTTTACGCCGAGAACGACTCTGGAAAAGAAAGTAGAAAACATCGAATGCGCCAGCAGAGATCCTTCGCATTTTGCCTCTCAATTAGTTCAGAATTGGGAAAAAATTGTAGGCGGTTATTTTCTACTAGTCACTTTGTGGCTCTTTTTCCCTAGCATTGGTGCACAAACAAATTGTTGGACAGGCTGCGTAGTCATTTTTAACCATTTACTCCTAGCGACACATCAGTTCTTCTTTTTGCTATGGCAAGGTCGTCCGATGACAGTCAGTGTAGGTTTTCTTTCTACTGTTTTGAGCTACTAGTTTCAGTCGATATTTTTTAAGCAATATTTAGAACCAGAAGAAAATGCCACGTCACTCGAAGAATCGCACGGATTTGCCGTACGCCACGGCCTATGAGCGCGCAGAGGCGGGCTTTGGTGCTTCGCACACAGAGCTCCTCGGGACTGATGTGCAGTTGCCTTTTGGCTTTTGCTGCTTGTCGCTCAAAGCTGCTTTGAACCCGGTGGCGAGTCCATACGGCAACATCTTCGATCGCGAATTTATCCTGAATTCTCTGATGGAGCAGAAGAGCCAGATGAAGAGCTTAGAGAAAGCGTTCGCCAGACAACTAGAGGACGAGAAACTTCTCAAGGAGAGAGACGACTTCTCTGCGAAAAGGCGAAGGATAGAGCAATTTGAGCGACAAGAGACGGGGAACGATTATGGCTCCTGTTTCGTCTTTTGATAGGAGTGAATTGTAAGTACGTAGATTGAGAATTAAAAACGGATGGAATTTCAGTCCTGTTAATTATACCTACACACTACCTAGAGGAAAAACGGAGGAGAACCTTTGAAGATCGGCTTCTCTTTAATCGACCACGCCCATATAATAACTTACTTCAATCCTTCTTACTTGAATCAATAAAGCAAATGCCCCTCAGTCAACATCTATATCTAATCTCTAGTCCTCGAGGACATGAAATTCAGCACGAGTCGCGTGGAAATGGAGGTTAAGGACAAGAAGGCCGAAAGGAGCAACAACTTCTGGGTTGCCTCTGACGCCCCGTCCGCAAAAAAGAGGAAAATCCAACCTGAAGAACTGAAGAAGCATACGTCTTTTAAGGCTCCACTTTCAATGGTCACCATTTAGATTGGAGTGACTGAGATCGAAGAGGCGACCCCTTCTTGAGAGAACCAACAGGGGAAAGAAACGAAGGGAAAGGGGAGAGCTTTGAAGGGGGTCTCTTCCGTTCCGAGTCAGTGACCCTTGAATGCTGCGCTTTAAGTCGTGCCCTATTAACCCCGGGAAGAAACTGAGGATGAAGGACTTGATACCAGTGAAATTCGAGGTTTGCGACCAAGAAATGTACGATGGCGGAGGCGGTAGAGGAATGTACTGCTGTAGCGTAACGAAAAAGCCAATTACACATCAGAAGGTACTTTGATTACACGGATTAGGAGGCACTTTGATTACACGGATTAGAATAGAAGGTACTGAAATTACACATCCAAAGGTATAGTTGTTTGACTTAGACTTTTTACTACCTAGGATGTTCATTCCCAACTGATTCACGCTGTATTATGACCTGGTAGTTCTTTGTAGTTTAAGGAGCTGTCGAATTTGGGTTTTTCTACCCCCGTAATAGATATTTCCGGTCTCTATTCTGAGGGAGTACTCTTCCTCTTACCTCTATCGTCGGACCTCCTTCGGGAGTCATCCGTTAAAATTGGAACGATACAGAGAAGATTAGCATGGCCCCTGCGCAAGGATGACACGCATAAATCGAGAAGTGTAAACAATTTTTTTTCCATATTTTCCCTTGAACAGCCGAAACCCGTTTCCATATTTTCCCATAAAGCGAACCCATCCCATCTAGGTCCTCACTATTTCCCTCAAATGCAGGTCACTCTCCTGAAGCCATCCGGCTACGTCGTTCTTGAGGAATGCCTGAAGACCGTAGTTCGGCCAACCATGACTTGTCCAATAAGCGGGGTGAAGCTTGAGGAATCGGACTTAGTGCCTCTAGTACCAGGAAATACAGGGTTTTCAGCGCATAATGCGATTGAAACGAAGACGACGAAACTCATGCGCACAGCAGCACAAGTCAATAGCGACCGCAGCGGCACTGTAGGGGCGAAGGGGTATGTGAGATAAACAATTTGAGTATGAATTCCTCCTCCGCCGTACGCCTTACAGGAAGCGAAAAAACAAGATATTTAATTAAGAGCTGCATTAAAAAGCGACTCCCTGATCCCCGAACATTATCCCCGAACAGGGACTTTTCTATTTCTCCCAGAAAATTTATTATTTCGTCAGTGACATTGATGACATCAGCTAGATCTTAGCTCTTCGCAAGACAGGGACCACACAATTCGTGGCTCTCGTGTCAGTTGTTGCCAATTCACGTTTCAGTTGTCATCAAGTTGTGCTTGTGTGTTCCATCGTTTTCGAAACGCATGAGTTCATTCAGAGAGACGCTTGACTGAGTGCACTTGAGAGAAGGTTATTTTTCGACAAAGATTCGCTTACAACGGTTTCGAACTTCGACATGAGAAAGCAGGTTGGTCCCGAAAATTGATGCTTAGATTTTAGCAGTGGTTTGCTTTGAATTCAAAAATGATAAGAAGCCGTCTTTAAGAGCATTGTCCAATCTATAGAAGTAGACACATGGAGTAGCAGTGTAGGCTAGAAAAGAGCCAAACAAGATTCCTTAGTACACATGAAGGAGGGCTACTTGTTGTAGAGGCTAGAAAAGAGCCAAACAAGATTCCTTAGTACTGTACACATGAAGGAGTTCTACTAGAGGCTAGAGAAGCCAAGAAAAATGTCGCCCCGAGGCGGTGGAGACCACTTGGGGCAGCGTGCGGGCTCTGCCTCTGGCTCCGAAGGACGCGAATTTCCTTCGATGTATAGCACCGCAATAGAGCAGCATTATTTGGAATCCAGCAGTGTTAATGCGGGAGGCAGAGTCCGACACCAGCTGGTCCGGGGACCCAGGCCTGGCGAGGACATCCCAGAGCCTCAGGTCACGTTAGCTTTTGTTAAGGTTCGAAGATAGCGAGGTGACGTCTTGAGTTGTAAATACTTCTTCTATCAGTATCACGTCGATATCGATTAGACAGTCCATTATAGACCGTCGCACAGCTGTGCTCTTTATCATGTCTTGCGACCTCTAATCCTCTCGATGTCTTGGAAGCGCTGCACAAGGGTCGCTCGGAGGCTCGGATAATGGAGCTTTTCGCTGAGAAGGACTACCTCTACCGCCAAGTTAGTGGCGAGGAAAATTACATGGAGGATTTGTCGGAGGTGGCGTGTCGGAGTACAGACAGTAATGGTTGGACTTTGCTCCATTGGTGTGTGCAGAACGACTACTTCCATGTCGCGTGCGCGTTGCTAAAACTGGAGATGAGGAGTAACTGCATGCTAGAAGAGAGCTATCAGGAAATCGGAGGACAGAGGGGAGCGCAGGATAGGTGAATTTCTACTTTCTGATTTCTTCATTAAAATGCCATTTGCATTTCTTTGGATAGTTCAAGAAACCCTATGCTTTTACCTGATTCATTTGCAAAGCCTTCCATCATCCTCAGATCACGATGACAGAATCGTCCTCGCTTCCCTATTTCGATCCCGAAACGCATCCCAAAACGCAAGAAAAAAAACATCTATTCTGCAGGCACGGCCTCACCCCAGTAATGCTTGCGTGTTATACTGGTGCTCGAAGGATGCTGGACTTGCTAGTGAAGGGAAACGAGGCAGAAGAAGTGCCTCCACCGGAACACTATAACTTTTATGTTCTTCTTATCCCTTCTGACTCTTCCTTTCCACCATTTATACTCTTCTCTCTCTCGTCCATTTCTTTCTCCCGTCTTCATCACGACCATTGTGTTTTCCTTTCCTTGATTTTTCCTTTCACCCATTTTTTCATACTCCCTTGCACCTACGGAATAACTATGAGGCGACGTGTCTCCACTACTGTGCGATGCGGGATCGAGCCAAGATGATAGAACTGATAGTTCACCTAGAACCTTTGTTGCTGAACGCGGAAGATCGAAACGGCGATACACCTCTCCATCATGCGTGCATTCACATGTTTCCAAGTACTTGTTATGATTTTTTTGTGTGTGCGTTTAAGATTGGTCCTTCTAACTGCGAGGTTAGTGAAGATAAAGTTTACCTATTAGGGTTTGGGTTTAGGGTTTAGGTCGAAAACTCAAAATAACCGAGTTACTGACTGAAATAAGGGAGGCACTAGCTTATAGCGTCAAGGCTACCTTTCCTTCTCATCAGTATCTCGGTTATTCTGATCAGTTACTCGCTTATTTCAGTTTTTCGCGTACAATCTATCTCATACTCCATTGTTATGATTTTTCTTGCACATCAACACTGATGTGCAGTGATTATGTACTGAAGATACAGGGAACTCCTATGAATGATTGCCCAAAACCCTAAACCCTACAGCTTCGATTCTGCTCTTGCTGGAACTAGGCGCTGACGCGAATGCTCGGAATAATATTTCGAGGCTACCTCTAGACCTAGTAATCGCCTCCGACAGGCCAGATCCTCGTGTATTGAGGGCATTGCATGACTACCATGACCGCAATTTGCCGCAGCTGCTTACATTAAGTTTCTGGTCCACAACCTCTACAAGGTTGATAACTCATCTTCATCCTGGACATTTATTTTGTGCAAGTGCTTGGAGGGGGAAACTAAAGCTTCAAAATGATGATCTAGAGCTGATACGATGAATAATTTGTTCTGTACTAGAAGGTGAAATGGTTCTAATTGTACTAGAAAGTGACAGTTCTAATCAAACCAGCAGAGGTGCGACACGAAGTGAGCCGATTGTGTCGAGACGAGACGACACGACGATTCGTCAAGCGGCAGCTGGTCAAAAAAGAGCAGCAAATGCTAGAAGGAGGCTCACCAGGGAGCGGACAGGAACGAGCCATGCAGCACATGCATGGTAGGAGTATCGAAGGCAGCCATCGAACGGCGAATGAAACTACAGACACCACTTCTCAGCAGCACTACAGGAACAACTACAACAATAGCAGTCATGGTAGAAATGTTGGGGGTAACCATTACATAGGAGGAGGCGGTCGTGGCAATGAGGACACTATTGTTCTCTCAACTCAGCATCCTACTTTGGAGTTCGCCAGGCAGCCAGGCCAGCAAGAGGACCTAGAGGGCTATGGAGCGAGCTTTCTGCATCCTACAACACTTAAGGCTCAAAATACTTAGACTTAAGTCATTTTCAAGTGCTATTTTCGTATCCTTCGTAGGATCTTGAGAAATGAGCCAAGGAAATGAAACGTTTTCGGCTCTAACAAACTTGGCAACACCTTCATCTCCGAGGAATATCAATCAGGTGCTCCTAGGGGGTCTGAAAGCCTCCTAACGAAGGAGGGAGGCGGAGTGAGCAAAAGCTTCCGTAGTAGTACCCAAGCAACACAGGTGATGACGCAAACAGGCGATCAAGGACAGGATGAAGATGGAGTAGCGCATTACTGAGAACTGCAATCTGCTAGCACTTTAGCACTACGAGAATGTGACACATCCTAGCTAGCTATTCAAATTAAGCGCTACTACAACACATGACGAAAAATTTTACATGTTATGATTATGCTGAACATCCACAACTTACTAGTTTCTCAGAAAAAATGTTAACACCAAAAAATGTCATGCGCATTATTATTCATCTATCTTACGTCACAACAAGCTTGAAATACTTAGTCGAAATTCTAATTCCACTGTTATTTGAGAACTATTGATCCTCGTATTCCAATACTATTCCACAAAGCTAAAATTAACATGACCATTCTGATTTGATATTGATACCACATCATAGGTAGTTATCTTCAACACCTGTACTTCTAGAGAACTGTATCATCTAAGATTGAGATTCTTTCATGTGAGAAGCTAAATTGCGTGAGTGCTTTCAACTGCAGAAAAGGAGCACACTGGCTGCAGCATATCGATCAGACTAAAATTCTATGCTTACGGCAGCGACACAAACCAATCTATCATGCATGTGGCGGCATCAAAAAAAATCAACATAGGACTGGCAAAAGTGAAATGTTCAAGAAGGAGGCCACAAGGACAATACATAGAATAAGGAAAACATCTCAACATAGGAAATCCAAAACTATTTTATTCATAATCTCTATGTTCTACCCTAGTGCGACAGACGCAGGGCCCACGCAGCGAAATTCTCAGTAGGTCTGTCGACGAAATTGATGAATCTGTCCAGGCTCCAAATCCAAATCCAAATCTCTTTTTATGTTCTCGTTGCAGCGAAAGCACCAGGAGGTTCAAAAAAAAGCTCGGATCCCAAGTGTGGTTCCATTACTTCTGTAGGACAGCGTGTGAAGAAAGCTCTCACAGTCACAGAGGGTCTGGATGGATCCCTTCCTATCCTATATCTATAAGGTCATCCTCCGCGTCCGCGTCAGTTTCGACCAGTGACAGGAGTTAGAGATCAAGGTATCAGGAGATCAAGATGACTTTCAGTGACAGGAGTTAGAGATCAAAGTGTCAGGAGTCAAGGTAAGTTGGTTTTTTCGCGCACGTCGCGCATCTGAGTGACCGAGGCTCATCAACTTACTAGATCTCATAATTTATTTTCAACCTTTTTCAACACTAAAAATCCGACTAGATGATCGTTGACCCTTTTTCCCGTGTACTTAATCGAAGATCAAAAAAAAGTATCGATTTTGATTAACAAAGCATATCGCTCATCCTTTGATCATAATGTATTACGGTGAGGATTTCAATTTTTTTCTACTTACTTCGTTTACGGAGTCAACAGCAATGCTATCTGCATGTCTAGTAGATTTACATGTTCTATTTTTAGCTTCATCATGATATAAATGATTCAAATCTTGTTCCGTAGATAAAATACTTTTTCGATGATCTAAAGACTGGCGGGACCCCTCTCCGACTCAATGAAAGGCTTGATTACGCCATTATCCCATCACCTCGTTATGAGTTGAGCTTCATTATAAGAAAGTGAGTAAGATTTTTTATCGTGGTTACATGATATCACAAACGAAAACTAAAAGCATCTACTTATTCTGGGAGTGAATTTTTTTTTTTATCTTGCTTCTCTAGAAGCTTTTCACACATACTTACCTCAAATATCTGAACTTGTTGCGACTTTGGACCATTCCCGCTTACATGCCTTTGCCTGCGCGCTTCTTTTTGCCTTTGCCTGCGTGTTTTAGCGCGCTCTAGACGAGAAAGCGCGAGGCCCTTACCGTCTTCCCTGGGAAATACTTGAGAAGCCCTCTGCGTGAGGTTTCTGGTTGCTTTCCTCCGATGATGCACAAGAACGAACACGAAGAGAGACGGCCAGCCCGGGGCGCCCTCCTCCATTGTGTGCCAGGGCTCTCGCACTCTTGATGAGGTGAGTGACCCGCCTAGGGCGCAGCAGGAGCAGAGGCGCGGCGGTGATGGTTTCGGTGCTCAGTGTGTTCTAAGTGTTCATGGTGAGGAGAGGCCCATAGCCCCGGCAGGTTGGTGCCGCCTCGGTGTTTTCCATGAGGGCAAGGGGGTTGGTGGGTTGCAGGTGCGGCGCCTTGCGTGGCCTTGTTGGTTGCTTGTGTTGCTTGGTTGTTGGATGTTTGTCGGACAGTCTACCCGGCCCAGGTGTGTAGCCTGGTCGCTCACCTCGCCCTCGTAGGGATGAGGTGGCCTCCCGCCCTCTGCCTCTGTTCTTACCACAACCATGCACGCTACAGCTACCTAGGTTGGCAGCTTCTTTCTCTCTGGGCTCCGATCGCTCGGCTCCGGCAGCCGTGTTGAGGAGGCCAAGGCGGAACGGTCACTGTTGTTGCTGGGCGACACAGCTGAACACCTGCCGCCGGCTCCCTGGTTGGAGTTTGTTTCCTTTCGCTCTCTGGAACACGCGCGCGCGTGACGGCATGGCCCCTACCCGGCCACAAGTTCCCCTGGATATTCTACACGGGCGTCCTGACTTGCCGCAACCGCATCGCGTGAGCCCTGTATGTTCATTATAGCAGGCCGCTTGCTTTGCCGCACACTAGTGAGTAAGACCCAACGTGTTGCTGAACTCCTTCTATACATACATACACTTTTCACAATCTTCAACATCCCAGGTGAAAAAGGATTTGAGACAGTACAAACGTCAACTAGCTTGCCACGATGAATTAGTTTTCCATCTGAACTACACGCATTCGTTTTTCTTTCCATGGATAGATGCTGCTCTAGCGTATACATAAAAAACTCATAGAGGTATCAGTGATGAAAATAGGGTAGCGCCCACATAAGTATTTCTTTCGCTGTTGTAACGCGAATTACACTAGCTGGCTCTTTAGTCTAGCTGGCGCGGGTTTAGTCTACTCTTATTGAACAGAACATAATTTCTTTTATTTTGAGCTCTCTTCGTTGAAGCAAGGTGTACAACTACGTGTGCTTGTACTAGACTCTCTGTTGCTACTATAATTGGCAATCATCTGAGAACGTCGAAACAAGATGACGTCGCCTGCGCGTTTGTCGTTGTGGATCATGATGAGATTCACTTGGAAGGCATTGCTGATCCTGTGGTACCCTTCTTTGGTATCGCTAGGATCGGCCTCTCATAGAAGTCCGGCGGACCCTGCTGGTCAAGATGGCCTTCTTCAGACTCCTTGGAGAACTGCAGAGAAGAACTGCACTACAACAAGGAGGGGGGTTCAAGAACTGCATGCAGAAGTACCAGTGCATGTGAATCAACCACCTGCAGGACGAGCAGGACCACAGGATTCGGAACACAATATTAAGCGCCAAACGTCGTCTTCAGCAACACCCGCTCAGCGACATTCGGGTCCGAAGTCGCAGAAACATCTGTCGAAGTCGCAGGCGCAGAGGCATCTGTCGAAGTCGCAGAGGCATCTGTCGAAGTCGCAGAGGCAGCTGACAGTCCCTCTAAACTTGTTGGCCAAGGGCTTAGTTTCTAGGCAAGACGCGGAGTTCCTTGATACGACACAGAAAACAACAGTGACGGACCTTTTTAGGGAGCTCGATTCTTGCATTGGCTTGCAACGGGATGCGTTTTCGCTTTCCTATGACCTCTCTGGGCAGATCTATCGGAAGATCATAAGCGCTAAGGATGAACAGGGGAGACCACGAGGAGCCTTTACTAGAGGAGCTCTTCTGGATTCTGAGTATTATAATCCCAATATTCAAGAACATCCTCGTTCTAGTGGAGGACGCACAAGACCGAGACGACTTGCTGCTATTCTGAGACTGCGACGCGAGAGCAGAGATATAGAGCTTGATATCCTCTTGGAGATGGAGCGAACCTATTTGAAGGAGGTTGAGGCCTTGTGCGGTAAGGTGGCAACTCTTCACAGTAAATCGAAAAAGGACCAACATCTTCATCACATGCAAGAAAAGCTTCAACGTGAATCTGACCCTGGTCGCCTCTGTTTTTTTTTCAAGCAGCAACTGGCTAATGTTAAGGATAGGTTACTACAGGTGTTCTTGTTTCCGTTCGTCTCCCCTTTTCCTGAAGGGGAAAAGGCATAACGAACGGGGTAAACGAACAGCAAAAGCCTACCTCTAATAATGAGATCAACACAGCAGCGCGCCTCGCGGCGTCCGGATCATTGCTGGCCACAAGGATCATGCGAAAGTGGATGGGTGCTCCCTTGCGCTTTCATGATGGCATGGAGACTCTCTTATCAGCGCTGCTGCCCACCAACGCTAAGAGCGCTTTCCTCGTAGACGATTACGGCCCTTCTACTCCATCACAACAACATCTTGAGCAAGAAGATCAAACTCCTGCTCAAGAATCTACTTATAAGAACGGAGCAAACGGTGTGGAGGATGATGATCAAATTATTGGAGATGAAAGTCGTTCTCGTCGTGATGAACGAGTACCATTCCCTGACGAGGAGGTGGACAGGCAGCACGTGATGAGCCTACGAAATATAGAGCGACAGCGGGTGCTTACTGCAAACGAGGTCGCAAACCTGCGGTATAGGGACTTGCTTCTGCGACTCTCGGAGTCCGAACGGCGGAGCTTGGACTTTTTTGTAGATGTGGCGAAATCGGTACTACGTTTTCAAAGCCTGATGGAACCTCGTGTGGAGGGTGACAGTCCCCCCTGCTATCTTGCTTCTGAAATGTTCACACGTCCGGACAACTCTTGTTCACCAAGGGATCCGATGAAAGCTGGCCCGCGGTTCTCACGCGGACTTAAGCCTTACGAGCCTGCGTACCTTGAAGCCATGAAGCGCGCATTCATCCGGTACAGACCTGTGGATTATAAGGGCGGCAGCGAGGACGAGGAGGACTCTGAAGATACACTGCAAGAATACAATGGAGAAATTGAAGAACACGCAGATGTGGAGGGTGCTGGTAGCCCTTCTCCAGCAGGCAGCGATGGCTGCTACACATTCGGAGGTGATGACAGATCCTCAGCTTTCAGCTTTGGCAGAAGTTCTTCTCGAACTCAATCGCCTGAATCACCTACGAGTCAGCTGCCCTGCGTGGTGTCTGAACCGGAGGAATTCGTTGGTACTAGAAATACAACTATTTTAGATATGTCGATGCCGGACGGTCTATAGTGCCAACCGCTCTCATACTAGGGGGGCCGCCCTGTTTTGGCCCTAGGTCATGGCCATGCAGGTGACGCGTGCCGCGCCGTACTGCGGAAAGGGGGCGCCCGTCGCGAGCACCCGCCGGCCCGGTCGCAATCGGCGGCAAAACAACCCCGGACACACGTGGCGCCGCCCATCGGCGGCGCCTGTCGTCGTGTGTGGCAGCCACCTCGCTTGGGCTCCAAGCAAGCCGCACCGGGCACGGCGTCAGCCTGGTGGACTCGGGGGGGCTAGTGTGACACACCGGCGCGGGCCATCAACTTGATGCGGATGTTTTGACGGAAGCACGCCGCGGGCAACCAAGACAGCGAGCACCACTGCCGCCTGGGGGAGTCAGCCAGCCGCCACACGCGCCGAAATTATGCAAATGAGGAACCCGCCACCTGTGTGAGTTTGGTAAGCAGAAAAGCGCCACCACCTCGCGAAGGGGTGGCGCTTGGTCGACCGCGTGAAGGCGGGCATGACTCTAAGGCGCCGCAGCCGGTTGGAGGCTTTTCTGTTTTGTCACGCCTTGCCCCGAAAGAGTGAGCGGAGAGCAAACGCGCCCGGGCTCCGCTAGCCCGATGGGGAAAGAAGGCCGCTATGCTGCTCCGGTGCAAGTGAAGCCTCGCGCTCGATTTCGAAACTGATGCGAAGCTGTTCAGGATTTGGCGAGATATTTTTCCCGCTTTCCCGCGGTAACATTTCCGCGAGTCGCGTCTAGACAGATATCGAGCGGCGCCCCTCTTGCAGTAACTGGCTGGCGCGAACTTATCGCGACCGCCGGGGCGTTAGGCTGGGGGCCCGCCTGTGTGGGGCAAGAAACCACACCGCCCACCGCATGAATTTCGGCGCAACGCTGACGAGAGCACGAACACCGTCCCAAGGTGTGGCGCTTCTCTGTCTTCGCTTTGACGCAGCGCCTTGGTTTCTGGGGTTGCGATTGCGGCTGGCACTGGTACACGGCGGGGCCGGCGGAGCTGCGCGCGCTCCGTGGTCTTAAGCGTCACGGTTTAGGGCCCCCCGCTGGCGTCGGTCTAGTATTGAATCACGAGGCGCATCCAAGCCGGGCCGGAAGGGTGGCGCCAGCCGTACGACGACACCGCCCGCGGCCGTCGTTGCTTTCCCCCAAGCTCCGACCCGCCTCCAATATCTGTAGTTATGTTAATGTATATGCGGGGTCCGGAGCATGCTCATAAAAGTGGGACTATCGTCATGAAAGTCCGTCAGCCTCTCACTCTGTATCAAAAAATCAAACGAAGGCGTCGGGCTTGGCTTGGTCTATCTAAGCACCATGCTCCGCGCCATCATTGCATTATCCATCTTGACTATTTCCATGTTTTCTTACAGGCACCAGCACATTGGTTCCTCCTGTGTTGTTTCGGCCCGACGAAATTGCATCAAGGATCGGCGACAAAGAGTGGCAACTGTTTTCGGAAAGGCTGCCATTTCAGAACAAGGGTGAAGAAGACCCACTAAAGCCTCAGAGCGCTTTGGATCGAGGAGACCTCTTGCAGCAGTTACTTTCCACAGAATCGTGGGTCTTGGTCTTCTTCGAAAACGCGTTGCGCCGATGGATTCCAGTCCTCGACGAGGTCTTGTCCGAGGATTTCGAATTTGAACGAGAACTCGAGAAGGTTGAAAAAATGCTACAGAAGAACGTAGAAAGGAGGAACACTACGTGGCCTGCAAGCGACAAGAGCTTGTCTTCGTGGGTCACGGCTCCTTTTTCTCTCCATTCCTCACCACCTAGCTATCCTTCCCATTCAGTTTCAGGCTCAGGTTCCCGAAGAGAAAAGGAGGAGAGGGAAAGTGAAAGACATGGAGGGACTCCCACTCAACAACCATATCACTGGCTGTCTGGGTCTTCGACCCAGGCTCCACCGATGGCTCCCATGCAAACTCCAACACCGTGGCCACCTACCGGCGCTCCGTCGTATGCAGCACCGACGTTTGCGCAGGAATATCATGGGGGAATAACAACCCCGTGGTCACCTGCTAAACACTCGGTGCTGCAGGAGCAAAGAACTCGCGACCAAGCCGCACTGGAGGCGTTTAAGGGCGTTCTTGAAGCAGGGAAGAAGATGGAGCAAGTGCTGCAGGAGCAAAGAACTCGCGACCAAGCCGCACTGGAGGCGTTTAAGGGCGCTCTTGAAGCAGGGAAGAAGGTGGAGCAAGTGCTGCAGGAGCAAAGAACTCGCGACCAAGCCGCACTGGAGGCGTTCAAGGGCGCTCTTGAAGCGGGGAAGAAGATGGAGCAGATGGAGGACCTTGGTGGAGATTCCAGTGGTTGGAATAGGGGTGCACGTTCCTTCCATGATGAGTCATTGTCGGACCCAGACAGAGTATTCCACGAGATCCTGACACAAGCAGACATGCTAGGCTCCTTTACTAGTCTAGTAAATCTTGAAGTACAACAGAACGATAATTCTGAAAAAGCGAGAACTGCACCAGAGCGAAAAAAAGAACCTAGTAGTACAACCCCGGATATTACAGGACCTGCTGGACTAGGTACTAGTTCTATTTCATCACTACCTGGAGCGGACACAAGAACGTTGTCACCAAAGGAGGCCCGCGAGCAGATGTCAGGAGCTCTAGGGAGTCTCACAAAGACTCTCGGCACTTCTTACGATCTGCTGCCTTATGGAAGCGCGCTAACAGGCGTTGCGACTCTTCCCGGAGCGGATTTGGACATCATTCTTTTTGCGAAAAAGGTAATTACAATCTAAAGTGACTGTGTGATTTAAGGTAGTTGTATTGGATTTTGTGTTTTTGTTAGGAGTAGGACCAGATACCGACATCGTCTACTCGTTAGACATTTTTTTTATCTACATTCATACCAGGAGCAAGCCAGCGAGCATACGTTTTCTGATGCAAGTGTCCGGAAAATGGTTCAGTTCGCAAAGTTGGTGGGTTTGGCATGCTTTCTAGATTTGTACGTGGTCGGAGGTACCACAGCGACCCCAGTTTGGCCCATCAATTGCCGTGAGATTGCAAAACTCTGGACTCCGGCGGAAGAGGAGAAGAAGGGGGCAGAACAGGATAGGAGTAGAGCTAGAGCAGGGGAGGCGTTCTTGAGGTCGTCCGCTCAGCAAGGTCAGCAATCCTTGACTCAAGGTCAACAATCCGGTGAGATTCCTGCTGAAGTGATTTTGATTGCCGCTCGGGAGCTTCATCGCCTGGAGACGCTAGAGACGGCACTAACCACATCAACAAAAAAAAACTCTGCGGACGAAAGGGAATGGTCATGGCACGATCCTGCTGAGACAATGAGAAACCTGACGCATAATGGCGTCGGACCGTTCACCAAGCAGCTGAAGCTTCTCTATCGTGGCTCTTTGGAAGTTGAGTTGTCCTACGCAGAACTACTGGCACCACCAAATGCAGTGGTGACCACAACCACGCAACAAGTGGAAGCCGCGCAAGCGGTGACACATCAAGGGGAGGAAGCTCAAGAAACGCAAACGGTGTCTTTTCTTCAACAACGACAGAAACAACTATGGTGGCAAGAAGAACTACGAGGAAACACGGACGATCCTCAACACCCTTCTTCAGCTTCAAGTAGTAGTAGTAGTAACAGTCCGCTGGTGCCAGCACCATCGGAGGATGAGATTGCGCAGTCTGCTGCTATGCTTCGTGCGCGTGCAGAAGCCTTCCCTGGTTTGAAAAACAGCTTGCTAATTAGGGATTACATCCTCCAACAGCCTTTGCTGAGGGACGTGGCGATCGTGCTGAAGCTCTTTGTGAAAAAGAATCACATGCGGTATCCTCGCGACCCTGGCTTTTTGAACAATTACACTTACATGCTGCTTCTCGTGCACTTTTTCGCTGTCAGGTTGGATTTTTTGCTCTTACACAACCCTGATACGGTTCACTTCCTGCCTTCGGTGCGGCACTTAGCAACGCACCTTGCTGCAGAGGAAAAACTAGCAACGTTGTTCTCAAAAGAAAGTGAGCCTGGCAGTGGCACTACACATTCGAGACCAGGAACACATTGGGACTCGATTTTGTTCAGCGGAGACAGTTTTTTTCAGGGCGCTCAATGGTTCGAATCAGCTGTAAGTAAACGTAAAGATGGAGTGTGGTCAACAGCACCAGAAGAGCGGGATTTGTGCAGTAGGAGGAAACATGTGCAGTTTATCGTACCCACCGCACAAGTCCACGAGGTGTACAAAGGAGCTTACTTCGAAGCACAGCATCAGGAGCAACAAGAGAAAGGGTCGTCCTCGACGTTGCCCTCGGGAGCCTCAACAGGGTTAGGACCCTGCCAGCGTCATCGTGCGCGGCTGGTTCGGCTCGCATTCGCGGAATTTCTTCGTTGGTTAACTAATTTCATTCGCGACTCGTCCGCGGTCCGAGCCATCAGCATACGCCCTTCCCTGTTGAACCCGGAAAAAATACAGACAGCTGCCGGCCGATGGCCGGAAGTCTGGGAAGGACCTTTTGCGAGTTTAGCAGTAGAGGATCCTTACGACGCGTCTCGGAGGCTTGTACTCCTAAAACCACACACTTTTGTACAGCGGATCAGCTCCGCCTTACACCTGCTCGATTATGTGAAAGAACTGTTCCCTTTCCCGGGACAGCAACAGGAGCTAGCAGGGGTTCACCAGACTCTGGACGAGGGGGCTCGCCGTAATCAAGAGAATGAGCTGAATCCTCGAAATATATTGCGCACTTTGTTTAGCGATGAAAAGTCGCTCTATGATCTTGCGCGACTACTTCTCCAGTTATTGATGTAAGTTGAAGATTGGAGATTTGTTGAAATGAGAAGAGGTATTCATGGATAACAAGGTACTTACACGTTTGTTGAACGCCCTTCCACCTGTTAGACAGGACGGGTGCAGAGGTGTCATGACATGACATGCGTATTCTCTTTATTGAGTAGAATTTCAATAGCAATGTTTTTTTTAGAAACAAGTCCTTCACGCCTTTTTTTACTCTAGTACCGTTTTCAAGCCGATTCATTTCTAGGATTTCTCTACCTTATTAATTTGAATCTTTTTTACACCAATTCCTCACTCTATCGCTAACTAGCTGGCAAAGGCATCCTTTTTCATCACAATGATAGATTATGTGATGAAAGAGCGAGACCCGACTCGCACTTAACGCGCTGCTTTGGTTGCTCAGTTAAGTCCTTGCAACTTGTGGTGCAATTTGTGCAGGTCCGGCGCCTATGAACGAGCACTGAAGTTGTTTTTAACTGTGTGGGTCCGTTGCTTGCTACTGGGTACTTCGCGCATTTCCCTCACGGCGGGAGGCTTATAAAGAACATCTTGATACTACCAGTTCCAGCTTTCGATCGTCATCATCTTGATACTAACGCTTCTTGGTAAGTCACTTAGTTGTTGTATCATAAATGAGATTATAATGAGCTGGAGCTTCCTCTGATGACCGATTGCTATGCATGCAGCGCATGCTCTGTCATAGACAAGCATAGGTGCCTGCATCTTCTTGTCAGCGAAGTTACAAGAAGGTACGAATTGTATTTTTGATGTGTGATCTTAATATCCGGAGTCGGGGAACGAATGACAAAGGCATCAATAGACTTAGCCTTAAACATGATCATCAACAACAGCACTTCTTGCTGAGTAGAAGTCGACGAGAAACGACACTCAGTAGACAAGGACTGACTTGAACTCGTATAGAAAGCATGTAGTGAAGAAGTGCAAAGGATAGAACGAAAGTAGTAGTGCAACGCCTCTAGAATAGGCACAATAATCAGGAGTCACGAAAATAGGTGCAACAAGGGAAAGAAGAAATAGAAAATCATGCACCTTACTTATAATTAGAGATGCTAGACCCGGTGAGTGGGTAGTACGTCAATCGATCAAAGACGGAAGTAGGCGGTGCTTCAGTGGCGGCGATCGGTCTAGTGTACCTGAAAAAGTAGGGCTAGCGTAGCGCCACCAGCTCTAGGTCGTAGTTGTGTTTTTGGCTCTTCAGTACGTGGCCACTGAAGTCTGCTGGTGTGCCTAGTAGACCTACACCTAACCTAACCTAATCACTCCATCGCCATCATCAGCATCATCATAATGTATTAACTCGATTTATGTCGCCGCTTACTGTATGGATAAAGAATCGATTGGAGTGGTAGTACCATGAATCTGTGGACTGTTCCTGATGTCCCAGACTCGCGCTGGCTACCAGTAATCCATAAAGATATGCTTTCTTACAGATAGTGAATCTTGCGAATTTCTTAAACGTCTGAAGAGAATGTTGTAGAGCAAAGCTGTAGAGAGGCACCCGTCTACCTTGCTGTCTCGTAAAAAACTAACATGCATTTGACCGAAAAGGCTCTAGATGTGGTGGAAACTACAACAATGGAAGTAGTGAAAAAATTGATTATAGAGGACGCTAGAAATAGCGACATCATTACAATCTCAATCAAATCTCAATCATGCTAGAACAAGTAGGAGATCGCGCATGTATTCCCTAAAAGTTTCTCAGAGGAATTCTACCGTATGTTTTCATTCTACAGCACACTATGTGTAAGTAGAAGTCGGGCATCAGAGCAACCTTAGACTCAAGTGCATTATATGGAGTGCATCGGTCCAACAGTTCCCCCGTTTTTCGGTCAAGTTCGTGGTGAAGCTTCGTATTTTTCTATCGGTCTTCCCCTGGTGCCCCAGGTAACAAAAAAGAGAGGCCAAAGGAGAGATTGATACAATGTACCTGCCAACAGTCTAGATCATCGGTGATCCTAGAAATACAAATCGTTACGAGTAGACGCTAGTGAGATTCATCTCTGCACACCACCCAGCAAACACGATCCCTCTAATTCTAGTACCTTTTGAATTTAGTTATAGATACTAGTTTTGACGACTAAATCTAAATTGGGCTGAATACCCTCTACGCACAGATCATTTTTGAGACAAAAGGTGAACAAATTTCGGGTGCGTCATTTGTATCGTAAAGGTTGAGTACTTCTCTACAGAACTCCAATGTAGATAGATTCATAAATACACAAGAACTCCAATGTTAGAACTCTATAACGTATTCAGACACAACATTTTTGGCTCTTCAGTAGCCACTGAAGTCTGCTGGTCTATCTAGTGGACCAACACCTAACCTAACCTCCAACGTAAAGATTAAGTACTTCTCTACAGAGCTTCCCATTTGTGGTCTGATACTTCTTTAGCCTGATGAAGGAACGATGGGCAGGTCATCTTTCTACCTCGACTGCGAGCAGGACTATGGTGTTTCTGTGTCTTCGGGTCCCCACGTCGCCCCTAGCGATCTCGCCTACACCGCGTGGTTTGAATCGCGACTCCATGACTTTCAGCACTGGCAGGGGCATCCATGGTATGCCCATGGTGCTAAGGCTAGCAGCGTTGTCGCGGGCACTGCAGGCGGCTGGTCTGCTTATGGCTACATAATATATTAATCCGTTGTTTTGGTGGATGATCCCTCAACCTGCGTGTAGTACAACTACAAGGGTGGAAAAGCCAAGGATATACAGCCTTAAATTTTTGTGGCGATTGTCGTAACAGAATCAATCAGAAAAGAACTACATGAAGAATGTTTGTGTATCATGTCCGCGTTGGGGGTAGACACTAAAAATAGCTACATAAAAAGAGGTGTCATAGACACTAATGCTAGCTACATAAAAAGAGGTGCCATGACATGACATGACATCTAACCTGCCGTAACGGGGGATCCGGATGTTGCTGCGCGTATCTGTGCAAAGGACCCCACCTGTGGCGGCTTTTGCAGCAATCCGCAGCTCCATCGCTCTTACTTCTACGACTCTCACCTGCTGACGCGCAGGGAAATGTTTCTCCGCAAGGAGATTCATGATCGAGCAGGAGAGTTCGTTAAGGCAAGAACCAAGAGATGAGCATCCTCAGCGCCTTCCTTGGTGGCTTTTTCAAGGGGAAAAAGAACTTCTATGTTCCAAGGATAAGAAGACTCCCAAGGAAGAAAGGGACCAGGGATGGTCTCAGGGATCATGCGACACGGTGCAACTCTAAGCTCGAGAACACTTCCTCCTTGGCTCCTGAGGGCACCAGTGCAGATATGTCGCCAAGCAACCGCTGGCTCTGCTACGGCGAACACACGCCACCTGTGGTGGACTTCGTGAGACGCAGTGGCACCATGTACAAAAAAGCTCCTGTAGCCTACATGAAAGCAGATCTAAGGACGCAAGAAGCAGAAGACGCATCATCATCTTCTTCTTCTTCTAGAGATGGTGATGGTCAATCAGCACAGCAGGATGGGCAAGGTCAAGCAGCACAGGACGATGGAGGTGAACGATCACAACAGGATGCTGGTGGAGACGGAGAAGAAGGAGTAATCATGATGTCCCAGCATGCGCCTCCACGGATCTTCAAGAAAGAACTGCGGATTGCATCGCTGTCCGCGGGAGGCACGTTACCCAGTCGAGGAGTACCTTTATCCGATGCGGAGAGGGTACACATGATGAAAGAGATCTGCGCGAACCAGAGTTGGACTGCTGGCGTTTACGCAGGAAAGTCACTTGTAGCAGTAAAAGAGGGTGACGAGAGCAAACACGGTACTTCTAGAGCAGTTCTTTCCTGTACGTGTATCCTCTGCTGCAAAAACGAACAATGCACTGCAGATGTATGTGCATGTGTATCCTCTGCTGCAAAAACGAACAATGCACTGCAGATCTAGTTCTTTCCTGTTTTCATCTGCAGTGCATTGTTCGTTTTTGCAGCTACGCAGTCGTAACTACAACTACCAACTAAGTAATCAACGTCACTTTCTGATAGGGTGTCTTGTGATGCATTCTTTTCATCAACAAACGTTCTGTTAGCTGCCATTTGGCTTCTACGGTGATCACGGATGGTCATATCAGGGACACACATTTGCTGGCAGGATCATATCGATATGCTCTGCAGCACCACATCACTATAGTATAGTCCTTATGCTCAATATCTCCTCAGGTCCGATGTGTCATGGCTTTTGCTACAACAGGCAGAGCAAGCGTGGTTACTTTTACAAGGACCTACTACAAAACCCTGAACAAGCAAGAGAAGCCTCACAGGACTTACCTGCTTCATCTGGTGACGTGAAACAAGGCATTCCACGTGCACCAGATAAGGGTGAACCAGCAACAGGAGACGCAGCAGTTGACAATCCTGCAGCGCCGCCTCTTTTAAGGTTTACTTACCATAATTTTCCATCTTCAGTAGATAGTACTTACATCTTGGAGGAGCTTGTCCCAGAACCTCTACAGCTTCAAAGTGAACTTCAAAACGGGAGCTCGTCACATCTTTCGAGTAAGCTCTAATCCCTGGAGAAGAAAAGCATGCAGATCCATTGAACGACGGTCCTGGTGATATGGACACACCGGGAGCATCAACTCTGAACGCACCACCTGCATCATCTGCGACACAGTTTGTTGCGGAGTCATCTTCGGATTCCAGCAGTGGCCTGACCCCCGTTGGCATCCAGCTTCGTCCCCCGGCGAAGACATTAGAGGAAGCCCCCGATGTCAGAACGCAGAATCCAGAGCTGATCACGAACAATGCTGATCACAAAGCTGCGGACAACGCTGACGAGTGGGAGTGTTATTATGCGGATGCGGAAGAGCAAGAAACAGTCAGTCGTGGCGTGGTCGAACGAAACGCCAAAGCTACACAGTGGGATTGGCTTCAGAAGAAGGAGTGTGACCATGATCCTTGGGGCTATGTAAGTCCTGACTGCAAAAAACGAGGGCCCGCGTCGCATTTCTGCCTTAGGAGTCGATGCAGACCGCCGCCACCACCATCAGGAAGGAGAAATCCAACGCAACAGATCCTCGGTTTTGGCACATCTCTTTTTCACGGTTGGGATCAGGATCTGCGACTGCAGAAGACCGCTGCTGCAGTCCTTTTCGGGAACGTTTTGTCGAAGACAAGTAGCGCATCTAGTGAACTTGATGCCCTTTACACCAGTGAAGATCCGGCAGCGCAAGTATTCGCGGTTCCCAAGAACAGTCACATTTCCTTAGATGCAGCAAGGCTGAGGAATTCCGGTGCCGGTGCACGAGGACTCTGCAAGCGCGTGGCAGCCGCTTTTTCCGGAAAGACAACAGTTGGGACGCTAGGAGTCTTGCGGAAAGGAAAGCTAGTCCCCGAAGCCTGCTCAGGCGGACCCGGCATGCTGGTGAAAACACGTGGAGACCATGAAGATGATAAAAGCAGAGGCAAGGATCAGTGGTTCTTCTGTTGCGATGGTCATGAGCATGCTGGTCGCGTCGCTGAAGATGAAAATGCTGTCAAAGAGGATCAAGCAGGAGGGTCTTCTAGCACAATGGACGAAGGTGGAGCACCGAAGAAGCTGGGCAAAAACCTGGTTTGCGAGCCATTATCCGAAATGGTTAGCCCAAAAGCATGCTTGCACGCCATCCACCAAGCCTTCGTTGGGAAAGAGGATCTCCTTTCCTTAGCCGAAAAAGAGGCAAAATGTGCGCAGCTTTGCTTCGTGCGGCCTACCCTTGAAAAGCAAAAAGGTATCATAGTTAAGGCTACTGATAAAGCGTCCTCAGCTACATCGATCCCTGGCTTTTTTTTCTACTCGAGTGAAGGAAGCCAAAAATAAGTGCTCTGAGGAATGCTCTGAGGAAGTGCGGCTCTAACGTAGGAAGAATCGCTGCGGCATTGGGTGAGGCGAGAGACGACGCTTTGTCCTCGGTGCAGTACTTAACCGGACTACAGACGTCAGCTCCTTCCCCAAAAGGCCCGCCAGGAAATTTTAGAGTGGACTGCTTCGATCCTGGAAGTCGAAATGAACTCTATGTGCCTGGACCAAGCAGCTTAGGATTAGGAGATAGTACAGTGAAGATCGACCCAGGGGGGCCGTTGGACGTGCGAAAAGCAGGAATGTGGCCCATTGGCGTTGTTTTTCTATAGTACTGTTGTGCTTAGCTAGGTACCGTAACAGCACGTTTTTGATACAACAATCCAAGAATGAAGAAGGCGAACGCGGTAACTAAGCTCTCAGAGCTTGACAAGTGATTAGCGAGATAAGCGAGCATTATGTTGCGGGCGTCTGCAGATTCGATGAATGCCGTGGCTTCGTCAGTAGTATTTGCTTGGGGTACATCGTTTGGAGCAGGCCGTGATCGATACCTGGGACGCTTCGAGCAATGGATCGATCGTCGATCGATCGCAAGCCGAGCTACTTCGTCGCCTTTCGGACTCGCTCCACTTCGACCATCAACCTTTAGTAGCACATAGCACTTAGACATAGACGGTCTCGTTTGTACTAGTCGCTTCGCAATCGTCGATATCATATACTTCTAGGTGTACTTTGACCTTGCTTGCAATGTGTGTGATTTTCGACTTTTGTTTCACGGCCATGCCATAATTCATTGGGCACCAAACCTCTTCTATGAAAGGAAGTAGAACTTCACCAGTAGACTAGGAAAACTACTCGGGATGTCAGTGAATGAATGGGCTAAAAGTTTCTTGATATCAGAGGTGTAAACTCTTGTGCCTCTGGCTGGGAAGGTCAGCAATGGCGTCGCAGTATGTTTCTGCTATCTCCTATTTGGAAGCGGCTCAGCCTGGGTTATTGACGCCGTTGTTTGGCGGGTCGAGCGCTGCCGACGACCGTACAGAAGAAGAGCAACTTCCGCTGCCTTCTGGAAGGAATTCTGGTGGTCAAGAAGAGGAGAGTGGTCGTGATGGAGTTGCTGCGATTGGAGGACCTAAGAAACGACATGCGAAACGTCCAGAAGACTTTTTTGCCGAGCTAGCAGCTTCACCAACAGGAAGACGAACGAAGGATGTCGTGGCGACGAAACCGAAGGAGGCCGACGTGGAGGTGGAGATACAACTGCCAGAAAATAAAGGGTCGACGTGTGCAGCTGATTCTTCACCGCCGAAAAGGTCTAGACCGCCAGAAAAAGGGTCATGTGCAGCTGATTCTTCACCGCCGAAAAGGTCTACACCACAAGGACCATCTCTGGATGAGCGCAACATCAAGACTGCTTCTTCTACACCGAAAATCTCGAAAGCATCACCTGTTCTTTCCCGACTGGATGCTCCTGCACAGCCTTCGCGTTCACCGCCGTTTGTGTTTTATCGACGGCGCAACAAGAGGAAAGCCTCACACGGCGCATTGTCGTTTCATGTCGAGAGACGTTAAGGCTGTACCTAATACATCTTTGGACGTACTATCCTTGAAACTACGTATGGAGGAGTATCCTAAGGGAATACTCCCCCATACTTTTCAAGGATGCGCTTGAAAGATGAACTACGGACAGCGCTAAAGACGGAGCAACTTCGTTTTTTTACCCGAGAAGCAAAGAACTGGAGATGCAGCCGCATCATCTTCCTCTTCTTCCTCGTCCAGTTCGTCAAACGCTGGTGACATTGGCGCTCCCAGCTCGTCAAGCGCTCCGGGAGGTGACGTTGGACCACGATTGGAAATAAAAAGCAGCGACGTTGGACGAGCTCCAAATCAAGTTCCTGTTTTTAAACAACCAGTGAGTGAAGGAAGCCCCACCGCAAATCCGATACCAGATCAAGTTCCTGTTGTATCGTCGTCATCATCTTCCAAGAGCAGCTCTTACTCTTCCACCACGAGCTCATCTAGTATCCCTTCACGCGATGACCTGGTCGCTCGCATTGAGGCAGCGCGTGCAGGCACTACACGTCCACTTCGTTCGAAGTCCAATGACACTTCTAAAACAACTAGTGTGAGTGCTGAGGGTCTTCGAGGAAGTGGTTGTAATCTCCAAAGTACAGGTAAAAGTGCAGTGATTGGCACGACAATGTCTGGAAGGATCGAGCAGCTCGCATCAAAAGGAGCGAGGTATGCCGCGAAGAAGGACGTCGCACGGGAAAATGGTCCTGGCTTCAAGTTCAAGGTGCCGCTCTCTCAGCGTCCAGCGTGGCAAGACGTGGATACTTCTTCGAGGCCACCACCTCAGAAGCTGCAATCATCTAAAAATCCGCTAAGCCCAGACGCAAGGATGGCGCTGGAAGACTGGTTTGTGGCAGCAGCTAAGAACACTCCTAGTGGACCGTCGCCAGATTGGGGCGACGACGATGATGATTCTGATGAGGGAAAGCAGGGTGTAGCTAGAATGAAGCTAAGGGGTCCTGATCATGTTGACAAGAATGTTGCAAATAACGCTTCAGAGAATGTTGACGATGCAGTTGTAGGGGATCACGGAGATGTGACACCAAGAGAACAAGAGGCGCGAGGACGATCCGTTTCCTACGGAGAAGGAGGTCATGATAGTTGTCCTTCAAACAAGCTAGAAAGTGATGTTGCAGCAATGAAAACTAGTGAACAAGGACAACAACATCAACTGGGAAATAGGAAGAACAAGCTTGTTGAGCAGGGAGGATTCACTTCGCCGACATTCGGAACGCCTTACATGCAGCAACTATCCGGATCGACACTGTCACCCTCAGTCACTGTATCACCGACGCTCGCTGCACCACTGGTGAATATTGCCATTCCTGGATCTTCTACCGACATGGAAGAGTTGAGAAAACAGATCGCGGCACTTGAGAAACAAGTAAAGAAGAGTAGGAGTACTAGTTCGGGCTTTGTGGAGGAGGGCGCCGACAACGACGAGGAAGAGAAAAATTCGTCTGGTACGAATGAAATTGGAAGTAGTGAAGGTAGTAGTGCGAATCGTTCTAGAAACAGAAATGCGAACAATACCACAAAAAGCTTATCTTCAGACGCACTGCCGCGGAGTAGCACAAGGTTATCTTCAAACGCACGTTCTCTTGTTCGCGACGAGGATTCTGAACACATTCCTCCTAGAGATAGTAGAGATACACGTAGAACAGCCAAGGAATACGCCAGTGCTGCGAAGTATCATTCGATAGCAGGAGGAGAATCGGAGCGTTTTTCGACATCCCAAGTTCTCAGGCAGTCTCCGACTACGCGTGAGAACGCGTCAGAAGTTAGGCACTCTTCAACTACTCGGGACTCGTCGTCGCCGCTGGAGCGCGACTCCAGAGGAGTTTTCAGTCAAAAAACGCAGCGAGACGGTATGATGAAGGACTTCATATCTTCTGCAGACCCCTCCATGCTCCGCGGCCTTTCTCAGCTAATGCAGGTCTTAGGACTTGGGAACGCCGATTCTAGACCTGGCCCTGGAGGGATAGCCGAAATGGATAGTAGCTCCATTGCAGCAGGTGCGAACCCACAGTTGGTACCAGCACCACACAACCAACACCCTCTGGGCCACATGTTCGCGGCCTACGCGAAGGAGCAGATGCCAGAAACGAAAACGAATGAAAAGAGTGCTTCGACAACTGAACGGGAGAATCTTCAAGAAGAAAGAAGTGGTAGTGCTGTCGGGGATCGTGGTAACACTTCTGTCGATGCTAAAAATGGAATGGGTGAGACAGCTGCCGATCCTACTGTTGGAGGGATGATCACGTTTTTGGATCCCTCGCTGGTACAGCGCGACAAGGAGAATTTTCTGAGACAGGTGCTGTCTTTCGTCGGCGGCGAGATGCACTCTCGATTGCGGGACAAGGACGATGAACTAACGCACTTGCGCAAGGTGCATCGGGATCAAGTTGAGGCTTTGGAGAAGGAGATCCGCGAAATGGCAGAGGATTCTGCGCGACGAGAAACGAGGTATCAGAGACACATCAAAAAGCTGGACTTGCAGAAAAAACAGACGGAGGTGGATTTACGCGATGCTCGGGACGAGATACATCAACTCTCTTTATCGGGACAAGAAGCACAAAATCTGCGAAAGGAGAAGGACGAGGTGGAAGAAAAATTTATGGACGACACAGGATCAGGGTAGTAGTGAGTCGTGATATTTCTTTGCCTACAAACACTGCCTAAGTAATCACTTGTCTGCATGGGGCCAAAAGGACTTGTATTGGTCTCCTTTCACAGCAATTCATTACGTACCAAACACGAGGGTAGCGATAGGACTCACCGAGGAAAACTGAAAACTTTGGATTTTGCTGTCTAACTACTTGACTTGTGTACTCAAACTCTAGGTTTGTCTAAAAGTTGTGTCTCTTATGTTCTTAGTATCTGAAAAGTGTTAAGATGTTCACTCTAAGTCTCATTTTCTTCAAAAGTATCAGCTTAGCTGATGTTTGGCTGTCTTTTACTTGCTTTTTCTGATGAAAGTCAAGTTTTGGTCAAAGCTTTGATCAGGAAATGAATTTGAATTAAAGTTGATAAAAAACCTTTTTTTCGAGGATTCAAGTTTGAAATTCAAACTTTGAAGTCGAAACCAAGTAGGAAAGTGCAGTTTTGTGAGTGTGCATCGATGACTAGATAGTACGCATGTTTTTGGCCCCTAAGGATTCTAGTACTACTGAGTTCGCGATCCCCTGTGATGCTCTTGTCATCCCTCTTACCAACCTAGTCCCCCCCCTTTCATGTATCGGAGCAAGCGCCTGGAGACGTACGAAAAGAGCGTGAAAGAGCTCGATCTGGAGTTGAAAGAGCGGGACAAGAGTCTAAGGGCACAGGATGATAAACTGCAGGAGCTGACTGCGCAGTGCGAGCGCGTAACCTGGGACAAACGGAAACTCGAGGAGCGATTGTCGAATATGCTCAACAATGGTGGTCGTGGTGCCACCGGAGTCGAGCACTTGCTTTCCTCTGAGAGCGGAGCTCTTGGAGGCGCGCAAGCCGGCATTGGTTTTGTGCGAAGTCGCAGTGGATCCCCCGCGAAACGAAATCTGCAGAGAATGGTGCCTCCTCTTCCTCAATATCAACATGCTGAGTCCTCAGAGTCCTCTGCGGGACAAAAGACTCCTCCACCTGCTTCGCATTTTACGTTTTATAGCGAACCACAACAAGATCAAAACGCGAATGGGTATCACGACCGCAACAATGCTGGAAGAAGCACTACTGCGACTGCCATAGCACTAGCACCTCCACAAACAAGTCATAGTCAAGTACAAGTACATGCATCTTCTTCTTCCTTGGTGATGGAGCGACTGCAACTAGATCTGGATCGAGAGCGACTGGAGAGTTCGAAGAAGCTATTTGCGTTAGAGGGTGAGCGGGACAGGCTTGCTGCTGACCTGCGACGCGAGCGGGAGGACCGAGGAGACGAGTTGAGGCGCGAGCGGGAAGCGCGGACACGCGAGCTGGAGCAGGTCGAAGAAGGCTACCGTAAGCGGCTAGACCCGGCAATAGAGCAGAAACATCGCGAGATCCAAGACGATCTTAAAGAGCAGATTCGGCTACTCAAAACGGAACTCCAGGACCGCGCGAGAGAGCTGTTGGAGGAGCAGCGAGAAGGAGGACGCTTGCGGAAGGCATATACGCGTCTGGAGCGCGAAATGGAATCTTTGGAAACAGATCTCATGCGAGCCCTCAGTGGCGGCGGCGCCGGCGGCGCAGGGGGTGGAATCAAGAACAGTATTATGCCTTTGAAGAAAAAGAACTAGTTCAAGTCGTGGCGTGTAATCGTTGTCTTCTTCGTACTCTATAAATCTATCAACGAAATGCTGACATCAGTGAGTCCTCTACTAGGACATGATTTTGGAGACGTTTATTTCAGTGTTGGTGAATCGAAAACACAAGGAAGAGATGCACATCTTCTAAGTTTCAATGGGACGAGGTCAAAATGCTGAGTAGAGGTCGTGAAACCATAGATACGGGTGGAGGTCCGCGACAAAAATTTCCTGGAGGACCCGAGAGACGCTTGAACCACTGCGGAGGAGATGTGCAACACCAGAATCATGATGAAAGAGTGCGAGCTCGCAGTCACAGTCCGCCGAGCATGTGGCCGAAACCCAGAGGTTTTTCAAAGAACCAAGAAGGTGGTCCGCCACTGATGTTTTATCCCGAAGGGCTGGACACGGTACACGAAAGAAAGGTAGTGGTGCAGTTTTCGTCTTCCCCAACGGCATCGACCTCAAGTCAGGGGGTAGAAGGTCTTAGTACAAGGCCACCGGTATTTTAAGGCTTGCCCCAATCCATCTTCTGAAGCATTTCAGACCTGTCCCATAAGGGGAAAATTATAGGCCCAAGATGAACCTCGCGATGGATTAGGGTGAGCTCTAAGTATTGTTGTCGAAGCTGCGCCAAAACCCTTGGTTCTGGAAGCCCTCAAAAGCAGCAGCAGACGTCATTCAGGTGCCCTTTTCTCCACGACACAAAAGGGCTGCTTCCGTAGATTCAAGACATGAAACCACTGGTCGGCATGTACGAGTGGAGCAAGCTCCTGTTGTTCGTCGGCCGGCGCCTCTAATGCGACGTAAGCCGAATTCAGTACGCGAGGATGAGATTGCAGCACTTCAAAGAGATCAACACGTATGGTCCGCGACTTGTGCTACAACAATATCAAGTAGTAGAAGCAAGGACAACAAAACCAAATTGAATTATCACAGTAGATCTCTTAACCCAAAACAAGGGTGTCCGACCTCTGCGACGATGGGTGCTGCGGTGCAAACTAGGGACGCAAGCCGTGCGATCGATGCCGTCAGAGATTTACGGTTGCGTCTTAATGCAGCCGAGTCCCGAGTAGCTCAACTAGAGGCAGCGGAGTGGCGGGAGAAGTCAAATTCTGGCCTCGAGATGCGGTGGAGGGAGATGAATGGCGAGAAAAGTGTCAGTCGTAGCATAGATGCGTTGGAGCAACAACGTGGATATGTTCCCACTGGTGCTGATCATGAGGCGAATCATGATTACAATTTTGCTCCTGATGATCAACTGCAGCTGCGTGAACAAGGTTGTACAACTTATCTTGGTGCGCCGGAAGGGAGTGGAGCATATCAGCCTTTGCTGGACTATCGGGCACGCACCCTGTCGCCACAAGCGTCTTTTCCGTTGGGCAGCAGGAGTCTCGCACCTGGTAATCTTGCGTCCTCCTCGCGAAGTAGAAGAGCGTATTCCCAAGATCGATATTTTCCACAGACGAGGCAATCTTCAGCTAGTGCAGGCTCATCATGGCGACAATCAACTGTTCGCAGAGGAGAGTTGCTTACAGTGAGGCACCCGCAGAGATTTGATAATAACATCGCGAGTTCGACGTGTCGGAAATTTGTGTCCTCCCCAACTAACAGAAACGGCAGGCTTCCGGCTTTTCGTGCGCGTGCTGCTGCGATGATGCAACGCCTGCGCAGTGGCATAACCGACCTCACATCGCAGCCCCGTCTTGCCTTAGAGCGACCATCTTTGGAGTCGGGTTCTGGTAATCCCGGAGGCAGTGTTGCAACAACGTCGTTGGTATTTCCCGGTGGTCCTTCTGAATATGACGAGAATTCCAGTGATTATGGGAGTAGGAAGAGACAGAGGCGGAGAAACGGTACTAGCCCTCCATCAACATCTGGCGGCGGTGGCCGTCTGGCTTTCGCATTCTCTACGCCTGCGTGCCGCACACGCCTTGATGAGTTGTACGAGCAGGAGCTGGACCGAGAGGAGGACGCCTTTCGATCTCGCATTCAGCGGTTCCACGATGCTGAGCAGCGGGAATTAGCAGACATCGCGAAGCGAGAGACTGAGGAAGCGAAGAAAATGGAAGAGCAGTTTGTCTTAGAACAAGAGAAACAACTGCAGCGCGAAGCCTCAAGACGGACGTCAAACAGTGTCCCTGATTATCTTCGCGAAGGTGGTGGTGGCGACAATTCGTCGTTGACAGCAGCTAAGAAGGAGCTACGACAACCTCTGCTTGAGCTTCTTTCAGGGGCGGCCGTGAAAACTCCAGATGGTGGAGGTGCAAAGTCGATCAGCAAGCAGAGCAAGAACGTGCAGCCGCCGACTGTTCAGCAGCCGCCTATGCACTTTGCCAGTGGAGGCAAAAATGCTGCACAGCAGAGTTCCGCTTCTGGAGGTCCGCAGACTACGACGAAAAATGTTGGTCTAGTCGTGGATGGACTTTTAGGTCGCAATTTGTCGACTTCTGATGCGCGGGTCGCGATGCAGCGACACAAGTTTGAGCTGCGCAAGCGGCGAGAGCTTGCCCTGCGGTTCGATCCGGAGAGAGAGCGAGTCCGGCAGAAGCATGACCAAGAGCGACAGCGCGTCTTGGACGAGCACGAAGGCTGGCTTGATCGTTTTTCTAGACGGCGCAGTAAAGAGCTTCACAGCTTGCATCAAGCGCTGGACGCGGACGTGAAGGCGCTTTATACGCGGTTCTCCCAGCACTCGAGTGCCGAGCACAGTCGACACTTCGTAGCCTTGGCAGAAAAAACGGTCACCGAGCTGGAGGAGCTGCGGAGACTGCATGATCTGGAAGTTGAGAGTTTGGGCGAAACGAATGCGATCGCGATAGCCGAAAAAGTAAATGCGCAAACGGCGTCGACGACTGCCGATTTGGAGCGGAAAGGAGAAGCGCGGCTCGAGGAGGCAGAGCGAAGACTGCAGGGAGAGAAAACGAGCCTAGAAAACGAGCTTGCACGAGTGCGGGCGCAGTTGCAGGCCGAAAAAAGCTGTACAGAGGAGGTCTTGCAGCTTCTAAAAGACCGCGATTTCGCGGTAAAAGGAGGTGCGGATCCGAAGTTGGTCACTGAGTTTCTCCTCAGTGTGCGCGCGCGCAGTACGCAGGCAGCGGAGATGTCTCTGTTAGCTCACCAGGCGGGCGGAGGCGGAGCAGCATGTATCGGAGCAAGCTCTGGTTCTACTGCCACTGGAGGGCTGCCATTAATGATCCCTGCTCAAGGAGGGCTAGCAGGCGCAACCCTAGTGCAAGTACTGCAGCCGGTGGGCACAGGAGGAACCATGGTAAGAACATCTGAACAACAGGAGCAGCAGCAAGGAAACGAAGATGTTCCACTTGTAAAGAGAGGTGGAGTTGCAGCGTTCACAGCAGTTCTACCAGATGGAAACAAGACTACCGCACCTGCTTCTTCCTCATCATCTTCATCGAGTAAGGAATCACGCACGCCGGACGCGAAGGAAAAGAAGACTAAGAAGAAGAAGAGAAAAGGCTCTACAGGATCAGACGAGTCTGCTGGCTCAGATCATAATGATGAAGCACCAGAGGGCACAACTGAGGGTAAAAAGGCGTCGAAGGCAAGGAAGAAGGACAAGAAGCAAAAGACGAAGAAAAGCAAGAAGAGCCGTCGTGCTGACAGTGCGGATGAACGAGAAGAGGAAAGTCCCGGTAAGAGTCCACGTCCTTCTCCTCGGGCAAACGTCGGAGACGCAGCATCAACAGCGCCAAGAGATAAGGCTGAGCCTGAACAAGGTTCATCACCCTTTTCACGAAGAAAGGCTGAGCTTGAGGTTGATTTTCCCACCTCGTCTTCTAACTCTCTTCCCCCACCTCCAAGACGTCGTAATGAAGAGATGGTTGAGGAGGAGCCTAAAGCTGAAGCTACCTCGTCTTTCAAGTTACCACCTGCTGTCGAAATGTCAGCATCAACATCTTGTTTCGTAGCGTCTCCGGTCCGTGCTGTGCAACCCTCAAACAGTGCACATCAATTGAACGGACTGATGCTCTTGTCGCCTGTGGTCACGTCGATGGCGCAGGTGCAGGCGCCGCCGCAGCCCGCTCCACGGCCTTCTCTGACTGGTGGCTTCGCGGGCATCGACCGGGAGAAGGAAGTGCAAGGCCTGTATAAACAACTAGGGAAACTGCAAGAGGACTTGGCGAAGTCGAACGCAGATGAGGCAAGAACGGAGATGGACATGCGGAGAGCTGAAAATGCAGAAGCCAAAAAGGATGTGCAAATGCTGGCTCTAGTAAGAAGAGAGCGCGACCAATTGCTGCAGCAATTGCGGGAGGCGCAAGCTGAGACGCACAAAAGAGATCTAGATTTGCTCTCCTTTTCACGCGTCCAAAACCGATGTGACGAGCTCGATGCGGAAAAGGCGGCGTTACAGAAATCCTTCGACGACTTGACCGCAACGTTGCGCACGACACGAGAGGAAGCGTTTGAGAAGTTGATGGCAGAGCGGAAAAAGCACGAAAAGGACGTTGAGCAACGCTTGTTCGATGCGCGGGAGCGTCTTCGCGCCGACTTCGAAGAAGATCTGGAGAATCTGAAAGAGAAACACCATCACGAAGTCGAAAGTTTGCAAGAGAAGCTGCAGACCACCGAAGCTGATCTGGCCAAGACTCAGGAAATGCTGAGAGCCGCCGCCGTGCTGGAGAGCGCCGCAGACGCCGCTGTGCTGCAGAGTGCAGTGGGTGGAGATGCTGCGTCTGCGTTGCAAAGTGTAGTTGGTGCAGCTGCGACAGCAACAGCTTCTAGTAATGGAAGAGGAGAAGGACATCAGGGTTCGGTTCCACTTGGAGCCGGGGCCCTTGTCTCACAGGTGCAGTTGCAGCAGCTTGTTAGCAACAGACAAAGGATGTTGAGCCACTTTGGTGCCACCCAGAGAAGCCCACAGCGAGATCTCTTTGAGAAGAGGACCGGAAGCGGACTCTTCACTAACGACGTACTGGGCGGAGGCGGGTCATCTGGTTCTTCCTTCCATCTCCCGTCTTCTAGCAGCAGTAGCGCTTCGTCAGAGAGCGGTGGGCGTCGAGAGAAGAGAGACAAGAATGCTAGATCGTCTCATGGAGAGGGCAAGTCGCCGTCAAGGTCAATTGGAGGTGGCAGACAAGTTGGAGCGAATGCTAGCGCAGGAATGCAGACTTCAGAGCCAATGGCACAGGCAGAATTGATCGCCAAACTCCAGGCGGAAGTCGGCGCATCTACAGCGGCACTGGAGCAGGAGCGAGCGAAAAGAATGCAGGAGGAGCAGTTGAGCGCGATGCTGATGACTCGCGAGCTCGAGGAAATGCGAGAACAGTTAAGGGCATATTACCGTGAGAACCCATCTTGTTTTACTTACACTATCTTTTATACTCCTGCTCGTCTTTAGTAGTATTAGTTTGTACTTGTTGAAAACCTGTAGTGAAAGATGTTCTAAGTAGAGCTGAAGAAGTGCTCTTATCTGCATTTTAGTTGTGATAGACAGATACAAAGTCTGAGGCATGACACGTAGACACATTTCTATCTCGAGGTTGCATCTAGTGGGAGACTCAGAGGACGCTCTTTATCGCTTTGGATTTGGTTTCGAGACACGAAGTTTGAATTTGAAACTTGAATTCTCGAAAAAATTGTTTTTTATCGCTTGCAATTTGAATTCATTTTCTGACCGAGAGCATTTCTCCTGATCAGCTTTGACTCAAATCCTTTCTGCTATCTGCCACGTATTCGATCATGTCAGTACCAAATGGATCTGTACAGGCAATAGTAAGTTTGAAGTGTTTCTGACAAGTTTTAGAATAGTGACATGAACTCTTCTTAGAAGTTTTAGGTCATCTTAGTGTCCCAGATGTTTCAGAACTGAGTTTAACTTCTGAAAATGGTAGTTATAGGTGATAGTCTATGTTGTACAAGTTGAAGCTGTTACATCGGAGGACTCTAGGTCACACTATTCGATGTAACACCACTAGTTTTTTAGAATTTAGAGTCTTTGGATCTGCATCCTTCATCAATAACATGATCATCACACTTCCCAGTGATATACGTTTTCCTTCATACATTTCCCAGTCAGATCCGACCCGGGTTTTCCGTAGTGGTTATTAGAATATTTACATCGTGTTGTTCAACTGCATCGTATGTAGTCCCATCTTCTTGGTACCTCTAAAACAAGAAGCGAATGATCAAGCTGCGAAGCTAGCGGCAAAAAGAACAAAGGGACACGAAGATGCCGACTTGATTTCTCGCATAGAGGAGGTTCAGTCGAAGACGAGGAACCGTGGTGAGCATGGTCCTGGCAGTAGCAGTCGTGGCTTGTTACTGGACAAAAATCTAAAGAGTGTGGCGCCTGTCCTCGGAGAAGGCAGTGCCAGCGACTCATCATCCGCCAGCATCAGTGAAGATCAGCATCGAAAAGAAAACGTAATACGATTGCAAAGTCTCAAGGAAAAGAAGAGTGCAAGTCGGCGCGAAAAAGAACGGAGTCGAAGACGGGAAGGCTCAACTGTTGCTGCAAGGAAGGCAGATGTTGATATCACCCACGGCGTCGATCTTCAGGACCGAGCAAACGCGACCTTCAACGAGAAGGTGCAGTTCGTAGACACGAAAAGCGTAAAGGAAAACGCTTCCACGAAAACGGCACCAGCCTCGAGTCCAGCAGAGGAGCAGGCGGAGGAGCAGGGAAGTCTAGCGAAGTCGTTCTTGCGTTTCTTCGGTATAGGGTACACAGAACCGGACGAAGATACTAGTGGCTCAGACACCAGCATCGACGCAAGTGTACTCAGGAGTAGTGATGCAGAAGGGGAGGAGGACAGTGAATCGTCGTGGCTGGATGAGATAGAGGGCTCGCTTTCCTCGAAAAGAGATGACCTGCCTGCTTTCTTCTTCAGTCCAGATCCTAAGGATGGAAGTCGTAGATCTGGTACGAAATCTTCAGCGAGAAGTGAGGCTAGCGCGGGCGACCGAACAGAATACAACAAGCTGATGGCTCATTTGAAGAGACCAGGCGATGTCGAGGCTTCCTCAGTCTCTGCTGCGGGAAGCGGAGGTGTCTCGGGAAGCGATATCGATGCGGTCTCTGGCTCGGCAATAAGTGCGGCATCTAGCGCAGTCTCGCAATCAGAAAACGGGGAGTCGGAAGTCCCATCTGGCGTACGAAAAAAACAACCCTCTTCGCGAGGTTTTGCTTTTGCGGTTGAAGAACCTCCCGTAACTGTTGTGACGTTTTTGCAATCATCAGAGGACGACGATTTTACACCGTCGGACGTATCAGGCGTGTCGCATCATCGCATGGAACCTCGTGTCAAGGAGCCATCATCCGCAGCGAGTCCTAGCAAAGTGCCTTCGACTGGTAGTAGTAAAAGGCCGGCCGCTGAGGGTCGTGGGTCAGCGAATCAAAATCATGTTCCTGAAGATTCAGTACTGTCGTCCAAAGGAGCTAATGTGACTCTAGATGTTGAAGCTATAATCGCGCAAGAATCTCGCACATCATCAAGCGGTGCGAAGGCATCATCTTCATCGCAGCAACGAGCACGCGGCAACGAGCAACGAGCAGCAGCTTCATCGAAGACGAGCGGCACAAATCCTGGACGAGAAGATGGTCCGCAGCAGGTGGTGTCCAGTAAGGGACACGCCGTACGATCGCAAAGTGTACGCGACCAAGAGCCCACGAGAAGGGAGCAGTCGGCTAAGATCGCGAGCGAGTCAGCTAAAAACATATCTGAAGGATCCAATAGACCGCAGAAAGAAACATCACTCAGGTCGGGCTCCCGTGGCACTGCCAGTCGTGGAGACAAAGCGAAAATTGTGGGAGAGGAGATTGAATTTGCGAGAACCATCGGTCCAGGTGACCCTCTCCTACATCAGCAGAATCAAAAGCGCAGTGCTGGCAAATCTTCGACTCAAAGCAGTAGTGTCTGGAGAAAAGAGGTGGATGCGCCCATTATGAGTTCTTCTCTAGCCGGCGACCTCAATATTGAAGTGCAAAACGCACTGAAAGCGGCACTGTCGGGGGCCGACACCTCAAGCAGAACGGCGTTTGCTGAGCGCTGGGGAGCAGTGGTGACGGACGAAGAAAGGCATGCATTGCTCGACGACTTGGCGACGATCTTGATCAAAGTGTCGGACGAGGACATGCGGTTGCTGGCGAGGGAAGTGCCATCGCTCTTCGAAGTGTCTCGAATGCAAAGGGATGCCGGCAGCGGTTTGACCACAACCCACAGCAACGTGTCGCCACTGACCTGTGCGCTGCGCACAGTGGAGGCATTGCGCACGAAGTTGAACGAAGCGGCAGTTGTAGTCAGAAAGCGTTCGAAGAAGACGCGGCAAGGGGTAGCAGCAGTGAAGAAGCTGAAGCATGCTTTAGTCAAAAATCGAGAGAAACGTAAAGCGCTGCAGCAGCGAGCGCAGGTAGATTATGAGCAAATCGCTCGTCGCATCGAAGCTACACTCGCAAAAGGGAGCGAGGACTCGGTAATACGAGCCTGGGTGGCAGCAAAAACGCACGAAATACACACAAAATCGCAGAAACTAGAGCAAGATCGCAGGCAGTTCGAGGAGGCCCAGCTTCGATTTGAACTTGATTTTCGTGCTGCACAGGAGAAATTATGAACAGAACGTTGATGTTCATGTTGTCACTTGAGGAGTCTAAAGTATGTAACGATAATGAAGAAACGTTTCAAATTTGCATGTAGTAGTAGACTCGAACGCTTATTATTTGAAATGTGCTTTGGGTTTGGTTTGGAGACAACGAGAATTCGAGTTTCAAACTCGAATCCTCGAAAAAATGGTTTTTTATCGCTTGCAATTTAAATTCATTTCCTGATCACGAGCTTTTCTGCTGATCTGAATTTGACTCTTGTCTGCTATCTAGCACTTGTTTGGTCATGATGTTACTATTAAATGGGCCTCTATTGGCAATAGCAGGTGTATTGAAGTGATATCTAGAAGTTTGAGAGTAGTGATATCATCTTTTCTTAGAAGTTTACAGAAGTTTTAGGTCATTTTAGAAGTTTTAGGCCATTTCAGTGTTCACGATGTGTCAGAATTGTGATCTACAACTGAGTTTAGGATCTAAAAACGGTAGGTAGTACATAGTTTAAGGAGTATAACGTCCTACACTGGAGCATTCTATGGTGCAGTAAGTACTTTACAGTCTAGCATAGTCTGCAGTAAGTACTTTAGCTCTGCATAGTTCATCAGTGGCATTATCATCACATTTTCTAGTGGTGTTATGCCTCATATTCTCCATTCCTTAATCGTTCTCCGAAGTGGATATTCCCACGACATGCTCCTTTCATAGTCGGGCGACAGCGCGCAAAGGGAGCTAACACGACTACAAACGCAGCTGGCTGCGGAGAGCAAGCAGCGAGCGAAGGAGTGGAAAAGCCTGCGAAAGGAGAAGGAAAGTAATGAAACTGCACGAAGAGAACTAGAAGTCGCTTCCAAAGTCAAGGAGGAGGAGATCGTGTCCTTGCGTGATAAGGTGGTCGCTGCAGCTGCCACAAAAGTGGAGCTAGAGCAGCGTAGCAAAGAACTAGAGACGACGAAGCAGTCACTGACAGTCGTAGAAGCTGAATGCGAACGTCTGCAGAGGGAATTACTCGCGACACAAAATTATGAAACAAGTGTTAATACAACTCCCTAAAATCTTTACCTACTACGTCCTCCTCACAATTTGGATGATATTCCGATAGCAAGCGTGGCTGAGGGTCCATATCTTTTTTTATAAACTTGACACTTCTTCTTCTAAGATGCAGCAGCGCGGCAACTTCGAGCTGTGTCGGAGGTGGACAGCCTGGCAGAGCAGACGGAGCGCAACCTGAATTTGCAGGAACTGTTGCGCGTCCAGGAGTTGGCGCTAGGGCGTGCTGCACAGAGGGATGCTGATGAGCTGCGGGAGTTGGAGAATCTCGTGCAATCGGCACATCGCGGTCTCCACACTTCCCTTCTGCCGGGTTTCGAAGCACCTGATGAAGCCGAGGGAGGACGAGGACTGGATGATGTTGAGGAGGAAGATGGTGATGAGGAAGAAGATGGCTAAGGCTAGTGCTGTAGCCGTAAAACAGAGACTGATGTGAATATTTTTCGAACAAGTTGCCGACGCGTATTATACCTAGTAGACTCATTGTCAATACAAACCAGACTGGAAACCATATGTCTCTTTTGTGGAAAAATTCTTTAACCCCTATTCGAATCGCACTTGAACTTAATTGGTATTCCAATCGCAATTGAACTTAATCCGTATTCCAATCGCAATTGAACTTTTTTTTCTGTTTGAAGTTCTTTGTTTGAAGTTCCTAGAAATTCGAACTGTGATGTCTGGAGCAAAAAGAGAGGTTGAAGTGCTTTCTATACAAAATAAACCTGCTGGTAGATGCGAAAACTAGCAGTATGGATGCACCTGTGTTTTTAGGATCACTGGGATACAACTCGAAATCTTAATCTAAATCTTTTTTCAAGGAAATTGGATTCACAAGAAGGAGGACAACGCCGGACATGATGCTGGAACAAGGATCAACTTAGCTTTAAAAAGATGAGAGAGATTTGTTCTTTGATTCGTGAAAGTGAACCTGAGGTGCGGTGAACCATATACGAGAATCCATTACGAGGATGGCACCTCGTCGTCCGCGGTCTTCTGGCTCAGTGCTGCTCTACTGCGGAGGACCCACGAGCGATGCTGGGCCATCATCTTCAGTTCTTCTTGGTAGTATCTCGAGGCAGGGACGAGGCGCCAAAAGCTGTGCACCGGCGCTTGGAAAATCGACATCTCGGTCTTCCGTGGTACCTTACAACAATGTGCAGCAGCGACGGCATTACCAGCCGCAGGGCCGCAACAGCTGGGCCTTGCAGAATCACCGGATTCGACAGCCGCGACCCCTAGTGGACCGGTTCGCGATGAAGAGGGAGCATCGAGAGAAAGAGTGGTGGCGAGAGAGGAGAATCGCGCCAGCCACCTTCATGGGCTTTCCGGATATGAGCAAGCACGCACTGAGGGGCGGGAGTCTCTACACAGAGCAAATGGATGCGCCAACGCTAGCTGTGATTTGCGACAGGCTGGCATGCGATTTGCAACGAGCAAGGGAACTAAGGCCTGGACCTGCGATTCACAATGGACAAGTACAACCGTCATCTCCTAGTTCCGCGTCGTTTTTGGCAACCAAAGCTGGCGATATTTTGAGTTCAGCTCCTTCACAATCTTCTTCTTCCTCTAGTAAGTTTCCCGCAGACTTGAGACCGACGACCTGGACCGACTACGACGTTCGGGTCAATGGCGCGGCGAAAACGACTGTTGGTGTTTCCTCCGGAGGTGTCAGTACGCTGCAAGTGACTCCAACTTCGCTGACCGCGGTCGATTTGGAGATGTGGTCGCAGCTCTCGTGGCGTGCTCAGCAACTGGCTACGCGCATGCATGAGCCGGATCTTTGCTATGTGTTTCGTGCCTTTGCCCGTGCAGACTTCTTCGATTCGCAGTTTTTTTGTACCTATGTTGGCCGAATCCAGCGTCGCATAGGGTATTTCAGTATCAAGCACGCCTGTCTAGTGCTGGAGGCGATTTTAGCGAGTGCGCGGTTTCGACACAAGCCATTGGAGCAGACCGTTTTGCGTCACATCGGCGAGCTGCTCCACGGTCGTGATGATACAACGGTGGAGGAGCTCACTGAATGTTGTTTGCTGTTTTACCAGTTGAGCGAAACCGCGAGAGAAGAAAAACTTCAAAGGATTGAGGAGGCCGATTCTTTGGTGGACTTGGAGCATCCGTCGTCTTCATCAAAAATGCAGCAATTAGAAGGTGAGGAGACTTCCACTTCAGCAGGAGAAGGCGCAAGGAAGAGCGTCTCGTCTCACTCAAGGGACCATGCTTTCGATCCGGTTCGTATTGATCGCCAGAAACTGTGTGAAATTTGCTGCGAACAACTGGCAAGCCGAGATGTATCGACTCTTCCACTCACCGAGCAAGCGCTGTTACTCGAAGTGGTTGTGGCTCTGGACGCGGACACGGCCCATAGAGGTGGTGGAAGCGCGCATGTGGATGGTACTCCATATTGAGACATTTGTGATTAAGTGCGCATGTGGATGGTACTCCATATTGTGACATTGTCCGCTGCAAACATTTGTCAATTTTTTTTGCGTTGTCAGGCTCAGCTGCAAGGTACAACTGTGTGCAAAAGCCATGGTATAGGAGATTCGTTCATAGAAATTACCACATGCTCAACAGAGTCTGCATTCACGGAGTTGAAGTTGTCGTTGTTGCAGAGCTTCACCAAAAAATTGGAGTCTATGCCCCCCAACGGAGGGGACGGAGCAGCAACATCCAGTGCACACCTCAAACCTGAAGATTTTCGCCCCTTGTTTCGTGGTTTGACTCCGCTCTTCTCACAGTGCAACGCCGGTTCCCGCTGGGACGCGTTGATCAGCAATACGGTGACGAGTCTCCTGCAACGCGTGACAGAGGCGGCGGTTCAGCAGTGGTCCAAACTCAAGGTTGCAGCGGCTACGGAGTGCGCCTTTTTACTACATGACTGTCTGGTGTGCGCAAGTGGGGCAAAAGCTCCGGGAAGAGGACAATTATCATCGACCCTGGATAATGCTGCGGAACCTAATGGGGATAGTAGACTGCAGAAAGTAGAGCAACACCTGAAAGGACATCCAGCGACAGCTGGCAGTAGGGAACTAGCGAAAACTCTGGAGCACATCAGCCGCTTATTGCTACCCCGAGTAAGACAAATGAAAAATTTAGATTTAGCGAGGTTTGCGCATGTCCTGTCCTTTGCGCAGCAGCAGCAGGGAAGAAATACTGGGTACACTCCTGGGCTGTCATCCATAGAAAACTACGACTCTTCAGACATTCAGAAATATCATGCCGTTTTGCGGGAAAGATTGCCTCAACTTAGCGGTCCCGAGCTTGCACTCCTGTATTCGTCGGATGCTTCTTTTGGGTCTAGTTCTAGTGCAGCGATAGGTAGCTGCCCAACCAAAACTCCTATCCCCACTTTGGTCGCCAAATCACTGCTAAGTCGATGGAGTGACCTGGCAATTGACGACGTTGCTGCAATCTGTTCTACTACTGCAAATATGGCGAATGATTTATGGTCTCGAAAAGCGGATAATTTGAGGACCCCTCTGCCAACAACAGTTCCACCTACTTCTGGCCATCACGACCTTCAAGGTGAATTAACCGAGCGAGCATTTGTTGTAGGTCTGCGCTGGCTCAAAAGGCGGATGCTGAGTTTACGGAGTACTCGCGATCACAGGGATAATGAGAAAAAGAGGAGGATGCAGAGACGGAGGCAGAGGAGTCGGTTAGAAAAAAATTTGGATTCGGCAGCTTCAAAAATAGGAGAGCTTCAACTTCTTTCCGGAAACGACGAGAGCACTGTCCTCTGCGATGATAGCCGCATTGCCGGTCTTACCGTGCAGATCCTCTCCGCCGCCGGAAGAAGAAATCTAAAGACAAATCTGTCCTCCGATGAGACCAGTCCTGCGGTTCTAAATTCTGGCTCAACAGAGGCAGCAGTAGCAGAGCCTCTGCTGCGGGATGTGATCCTTCTGCTGGGTGAAAACGTGCATAACTTTTCGTCGTCTGAGACATTGGACCTGATATCAACGTTGGGGAGCATAACGTCTGGGGCCCACGACTCCAGCAAGCACGAAGGTGTTGAGTCTGTATCTGTGGCCATTCGCAACCTGGTTGCACACGCAACTTCGTTCAATGTAGACGGAACGTCATTACGCAACGAACCCGTGTGGCGTCTGACGGATTTTGCACGTGCTGTTACAGAGTTCGAAATAGTGGCAGCACCACTGGAAGAAGGGACAGGGACGGAGAGGACTACAGGAATACAAACACCGGGAGGAGAGCGACTCGAAAATCTCCAGAAGCGTGATGATCTGGGCAAGCAAGACGGAGAAATACAATCAATCCAAATCGTGCTCAGGGAGCTGTTCAGAGTGTTGGACTGCAAGCGGTTCGATGCAGGTCCGGCGTTTGAGGAAGGCGTTGTTGTGCCTCTACTAGGCAGGCTAGAAAATTTTCTTTAGAAAATTTAGATTTTTAGGTCTTGAATTTTGAGTTGTTTTTTTGGTATAGGATGTTGTTCGACATGCTTTCGGTATATCGATTCTGTCAGAGAAAGTACTAGATTATAATGAATTACTCTTGTGGTCCAAGCTGCCGGTAGCGCCATGAGACTAACATCTCTATTTACTCAGGCCATGCACGCAATCCAAATTTGCGGCTTACGATGAATCTAAATCTCTCATTAGTGACTATTTGGCAAGGCAGGGAAACACAGATTGTTTTTAGGCTTAGATAGCGGTGCCCGCTTTTTGGAGCGGGGTCCAGACGTCATTTTTCATCTGTCGTAGATGTGCCAAGAGGCATCGACCAATACACCGGCCGCAGAATTTCGGGAGCATGATGGCCCGAGTAAGTACAGTGGATCTGAATCTGTAGCTGTATTAGAGTTGGATGTACCGCCATTTTCGACACGATCTAAATTTACACACAAAGCTGATCCCATTATCACTTTCCTGAAATCTAAATCTAAATCCACGAAGGACTCGAATGCAAATGTAAAGGTCTAATTTTGTCATTGATCGCATGGATCGTCCCAACAAAACCCTGAATCCATACACAAAACGATCCTCGCTCTGTGTCACTTTTTGTTCCCTCTTCATACAACTTCGCGCTCTACCCCGTTCAACACCATCTCAAACCTAAAACGTGGTTCTAAAGAATCCCAATTGCACGACCATGGTAAAAATCATTCCCTCTAATCCTTCTCTTGAATCCCTCACATTTTACAGCGAGGACTTGAGCATTTCAAAAAACTAGGATCCTGAGTAAACGGGATCTGGACACACTTAAAACACTGTTCGTTGTGGGAAATAAATTCGTTTTCTTTCACATCATCGAGGTGATCTTGACTTTTGATTTTCTGACATTTTTGGTATCAAAAATTTAGATGAAAATCTAGACTCAAGGAAGCTCTATTGACAAAGTAGTACATCACAAGCACCACTTAGTCGGACAGGACTAGACGTACTAGAAGAGTACCAAGTCCGCCTGAACAAAAACATCCGCTCCACCGACATTACCAACCAATATCAACAACAACTGTTAGGGACAAGATAGGGTAGATCCTGCTTGTGGTTTCTTTTGAAAGGAAACTGCTAGGTTCACCCATCTACAACAACTAGCTTGGTCGGATCTAAGGAATCCGACTGTAATACAAACTAAATTAACACTACTAGTAGTGGTCGTTCTATGTCGTGTACTGGAACACTTCTATTTTTACATAAGATTAATCAAAAAAATCCAACTAGAAGTTTTTCTTGCAATCACACAAAATGGGGGAACACAAAGCCGACGATATCGAGCACGTCGATGAAGTGATCGAGTCCTTCGACGACTTGCCGCTTCACGAGAACTTGTTGCGCGGTACTTTTTATAAATGATGATATGATATGCAACTTCAGGCTCCACGTGGTGTTGCCTTTTGTGACGTGGATTATTTGGTTACTGTGATGCGAATGATTTAGAAGTATATTTACGAGACTAGTATTGGGAGAAAACCTAAAAAATCTAAAGAATATTTATGTGAATGTGTTTGGTTTTGGTCAACATGGGCTTGCTGAGATCTTCTAAACCACCTATCCATTTCTAAAAAATTTAGGTATCTACTCGTACGGTTTCGAGAAGCCGTCGACGATTCAGCAACGTGGTATCAAACCCCTTTTGATCGGCCGTGATACTATCGGACAGGCGCAATCCGGTACTTTTTACGTTTGTGTTGAGATTTAGGTTCGCATTCATGGTCTTTGTCTTTGTGTGGGTCCCTTCTATTGAGTTTGAGCTCTGTCTGATCTCCATGCTACGGTCACTCTGCTGCATCTAAAGACAATGGACACGGTTTTCCGCACCGAGACAGGATTCCTCTTTAGGCCATGTGAAGCAATCTAAATATTCGTTTCACAGTCTGCGCTTTCCTATCGATATTTTTTGTTCCCTAACACCAAATTTCCCACACCCCAAACCCAACAGGTACCGGTAAGACCGCAACGTTCGTGATCGGTTCTCTGCAGAAGATCGACTATGCCGAGAAGACTACGCAAGTCCTGATCCTCGCACCGACGCGAGAGTTGGCCATGCAGATCCAGAAGGTCGCTCTCGCCTTGGGTGACTACTTGAAGGTCCGCAGTCATGCCTGCATCGGTGGTACCGTCATCCGGGACGATCTTGAGCGTCTCCGTGACGGACAGCAGCTCATCGTCGGAACACCCGGTCGTGTCATGGACATGATCCAGAAGAGACATTTGAAGGTACTATTGAGAGACACTTGAGAAGGTTTCACGACTCCGCACTTTACTTACACACTTTCTGCCTGACTTGTTTTTAGAGGCTCGGAACGTCATTATTAGAATCGAAACCGCTAAAACCAACTTTTACAGGTCGACGACATCCAGCTGTTTGTCCTGGATGAGGCAGATGAGATGCTTTCCCGAGGATTCAAGGAGCAGATCTATGACATCTTCAAGTTCTTGCCTCCGAACGTGCAGGTCGCTCTGTTCTCCGCCACCATGGCCGTGGATATCTTGGATTTGACCAGCAAATTCATGCGCAACCCGGTCCGAATCTTGGTCAAGAAGGACGAACTTACCCTCGAGGGTATCCGTCAGTTCTACATCGCCATCGAGAGGGAGGACTGGAAACTCGGTACTTCCACTGGAAACTTTGCCTCAACTACTACACAGTCTCCACCTCCTGCGTCATAGTGAGAAATGGGCTTGCACTCTCTTACTCTCTTTTACATTCACCCCCAAACGACCAAACTCTTGTTTATTTTCACAGATACTCTGTGCAACTTCATCTTCACAGATACTCTCTGCAACTTCATCTTCACAGATACTCTCTGCAACTTCATCTTCACAGATACTCTCTGCGACATCACCCTCACAGTCCCCCACTCTCTTACTTATTCATCTTCACAGATACTCTCTGCGATCTGTACGAGACGTTGACGATCACGCAGGCAATCATCTACTGCAACACCAGACGCAAGGTCGATTGGCTTTCCGAGAAGATGGCGGGACGTGATTTCACAATCTCCATCATGCACGCTGAATTGGAGCAGAAGGACCGTGATCGCATTATGCGTGAGTTCCGATCCGGTTCGTCCCGAGTCTTGATCTCCACGGATTTGTTGGCGCGAGGTAAAATTTCATAATCTTGATCTCCTCCTTTTGTGTCTGCTATCTCTACTCCGAAATCAGAGAACTTATATCCACTGAGACATCTGCATATTAATATCTCGCCTCATTCAGGCCGATTCAACCTTTCAACTTGTAAGCGGACCTCAGCATGGTACAGGATCTCCGCATACCACATACACAACCATCCATACCAGATACACACCACACAACACCACCACTCCAACCTCAACAGGTATCGATGTGCAGCAGGTTTCTTTGGTGATCAACTACGACTTGCCAGCTAACATCGAGAACTATTTGCATCGTATCGGTCGATCCGGTCGTTTCGGTCGTAAGGGTGTCGCGATCAACTTCGTCACCAACCAGGACGTGCGCAACCTCAAGGAGATCGAAAGCCACTACCACACCCAGATCGACGAGATGCCGATGGACATCGCTGATCAGATCTAAGTAGGTGATCATGTCTCTTCTGGTCTAGTACGTGTGGACGATTCATGTGCATAGTGTCATCATTGAATCATCTAAAGTTCTAGTGTGAGGAAGAAGGTAGGAAGGGAAAGAAGAACAAGCAGTGCTGCAAAAAAATTACAACTACATCAACTCTCGCGTTTCTGATGTGGAGGAACCGAAGGTGCGAGAAGTAGCAGGTTGGGGAGGAGGCGGTTGAATCTTAGTGGCTGAACTGAATCTTAGTGGCTTTCTCTGAACTGGAGCGATAGCGAAGCGAAGAAAAGATGTGCTGATCAGCAAGGTGTGCTGTCAAGCATCTGCAGACGTAAAACAGAACATAATGCCACTCGGGATGCGGGAGTACTTCTTTTGGAAAAACTACTACAGTACAACGGATCGTCATCAACAACCTTTGCTTCATGTCAACTTCTCGTCAGAAGCACCAGAGAAGTAGCTGCAAATTAGCCGCTCGCTTCGGAGAAAAGATGGAAGAGAAAGAAGGTAGACGTATGAGAAAGTAGATTTTGATATCGATATCGAGCAGCAACCGCAAGAAATGTAGTTCATATTTGGTCGTTTAGTGTGTGGCGTCGTTTCACCTATTTGATGTTGGAAATGATTTGTCATTACAAGATTTAGTGGGCGTGCGTGTGCTATGGGGGGGGAGTTTGTTTCACTGTGCTGCATATTATCTATCAACATAAGAATTATTTGACGCGGTCCCTGATGTTGATGTTCTACGTACTTCTAGGGGGTGGGAAATTATTTCAATTTCTGCCGGAAGATCCGAAGTCTCTTCTTTTAGATATTTCGTCGCTTCTACAACAGATGTCGTCCTTTCTAGAGATGTGATGTCAAAGCCATTTTTTCTTAGGAGTAAGAGCCTCGTGAATGTCTCCAATTGATTACTGTGCTATCTATCTATATTTTCTGAAAAGTAGAGTTAAATTTACGAACTACATGTATCATATGTGACAGCATACAACTATATAGACTTGCTAGAGCAGTCCTACAACGACCTCGAGGCTGAAGCTAGGAGGAGGCCGAGGTCGTCTCTAGCTGGACGTACAGCATCACGGTTGCTAGGGTTGTATAACACAAGGTGGGAGGGTATACAACTCTTCGGCTTCGTCGTGTCCGGAGGGGCCAGCAGGATAGCAAACTAGATCGCGAAAGAACGCCTTCACTGCTGCAATAGATGCTAAAATTTATACATCAAGCATGTACACATCAGCAGCAGGGAAGGTGCTGCAACCACAAGATCCTGTCTCAATGTTTGTTACGCTGGTTTGAAAGAACTCAAAAACTTAAACATATGTGATTATCTTCGATCTGAATACTTTTAAAATTTCAGTTGTTGTCCAAACGTCTCAATGTGTTATCATCAAAAGAAGTATTATGATCTGCTGACTACAACTACTCTCGAGGACCACAGGAGGTTTGTGGACACGACACGATATGAAGGCGGAAGGATGATATCGCGCGTGTGCCAGAATAGTAAGAGCAGGGTACTATTATTGGTAGGAAGAACAATACGAATACCCAAGACGTCTGTGAATCGCGTTGGAAACACCATGAAAATCAAAGCATTGACCTTCCTCCGATGTAGGAGACCCAGACCTGCGCCGGATATTTGTTCATCGATGAAAGATCGGGTACACGAAAATTTTTGTGTCACCGTGCGAATGCGGGACGAGAGGCGAGAGAAAAGCTGTCAGAGTTTATTCAAGCAGTAGGAAACTTTTTTACCTGAACCTGCTAAACATGGACTAGTCAGACAGTTGTGATTTCGCGTAAAAGTGCAATAGTTTTTAGCTTCCAAACGTCACAGATTCATGAAAGACAAGAATATGCTCGTGGTCTACGCCTCGTCCTCGTTCCCTACGATGCATTGTAGCGCTTGAGTGGTCGTGCCTTCGAATACGAAGATGAGCGCGATTTGGGGGCACAAAAGGAAAAGCTCCACTCCTGTGGTAGGCGCAACGAGCACCGCGAGATCCGTAACAACTTCTGTTCCGGGCGATGCTTCACGATGTTCGCCTATGCTGAGAAGCATCTGCCAAACGCTGATGGAAAGGGTAGTTGTACTCCGAGTGCTTGTGATTAAGGCTTCCCACAATTCTTCTTGAGAAGCATCTTTGGAGTATTTTCAAAGGGAAAAATGGTCAAAGATGGGCTTCAAGATGAATAGCGGGAAGGTCTAATGTGATCTTTGTTTGCCTCGTTTCACTCCCGACTTTTGTTGAGGGGTTCGGATGCTTCTCCGATTACAGCATGTCATGGTGCAACAACCAAACCGAGGAGAGCTGCGTCCACGACTACACCTTTTCAGTCTCCCATTTTCAGCGGAAGCTGGACGGCTACTACAGGCACAACCGGAGGCCGCCGATTCTAGAGGCTTATTTTCTGCTCAAGACTCCAAAGCCATACCAAGACGAATTTCTGACGGCAGATTGTGCGCCGCCATTGATCATGGCGTACCTTCTTGTGGCAGAGTCGAGAATCCAGTTTGATCCGCAGGCTTTAGGAATATTCGACATGGCGATGCAACATATCCAGTCGATGTCCCCAGAGCAAACATTTATGCTCACGCAGACGGACACCTGGCCTTTCAGTGAGGCTGTTCAACGCATAGAAGCCAGTGCGGAATACTACGACACGCTCAGAGCAAGACGCGGCTACCCAGGAGGGGCGATGTTAGGACTTTCGCGTTTAAACCGAAATGAGAAGGACTTGAAGTGAACATTGCGCGATGATGAGGTTTTTTTTCGTTGCAGAAGGTCTCGATAGAGAAAAAAAGCATTCTTGGCACTATTTGGTCCTGCCGTGTTAGTTTTTCAGGATGAAATCAGTGACATTGTCGGTCTAAAGACTTTCGAATTTCTAACTTCCTTGGATGGAGGACCCCAAGCTCAAGCACAACCGGCACCGGCGGGAGCTGTCTCAGCATCCTCTCTGGCAAATGGAGTTCAGTTCACGCCAATCACGATGGATTTTGTGATGTCGCATTGTAAGGAGCGGGACTTTCAGTGGATGGACAAGGACATGCGAAATCACCTGTCGTATGGAGTGCAAGGAAGGCTACTCATCTACGAAAAATGCCATGAACAGATTGCCACGGACGACCCGTTCTTCGCCCAAAGCATCGTAGCTAGCCGCATGTTCACGAGGGGCGTCATTTCTGTTCCAACACCAGACCCCAGCTTCGTTGCGCGAGGAGACGAGTGCTCAGCATACTTGAGACACATCGTGGATCGCTACGGGACAGAAATTCCTAATGCTGGGATGTTGACAGGATTATGGCTTCAAGGAATCCATCTTAGCCAACATCTTGGGGCCAATTCCTAAAGAAAAACAGGCACTGCTGGGACGCATCACAAGATGGATGTCTCGTAGCTCTAACAGGAGGAGGAAATGGTGGAGGACAAGGAGTAGGAAATGCAAAGGGAGCGGTTGTCAACAGTGATTTGGCAGACTTTACGATTTTCATGCATAGCGATCCTTACGACCACATGCACATGAGTTTCATGGGCGTGATCTTGCAGGCGGTGGCTCGTGGGACTTTTGAACAGCACTTCATGCACCTTAACGGCCCTAGGCACGTTCGCACACTAACCCCATGCCTTCAGGCAGTGAGCGAAGCGATTTTTGGACACCCTATCACGTACTCAGTCGGGCCGTACTGCTGTGCACAGTTTTTAGTTATGGCACAATAAGAAGATTGTATCTTCAGGTGGTTTCGAAGATGGACTCGTCAGTGGGTTAGTTATCCTTACTTTTCTCAGCGTTGAAACTGTAAGCTGCCTAACAGAAATGATCTAGAAATCACCAACATGGAGTCTAGATCTCCTCGAAAGTTGCACTTCTTATGATTTTAGGAGCTGAAAAGTGTGATAATGTTCAGTGTAAGCTTCATTTTCTCTAAAAGTATGAGCTTAAGTGATGTCTGGATGTGATTCACTAGTTTTTTCTGATGCAATGCAAATGTTGGTAAAAGCTTTCATCAGGAAATGAAATTGGATTAAAAGTTCATAAAAAACCATTTTTTCGAGGATTCCACTGAAAACGAAAATCTGAGTTCGAATTTAGGCAGGAGAGTGCAGGTTCGTGAGTGTGCGTTGACTAGATGGGTATTCTAGTTCGTGTTGTAATCATGTAAGTTGAAGCCTATTCTGAGCTATAGCTATGTGGCACTTTCCTCCAACGTTTCTGCATCTTCGAATTAGTTGCCTACTGTTGCTAACTGGTGCACTTCCTTCCTTAGTCGTTTGCTCGCGTTGATGGGCTAGAAACTTGCTGCTGCTGTTGTTGGTGTTGTTGGCGTTCTGTGTCTTACAAGATGGGCCTACTCCTATCATCACTTGACTCAGGGGCCTTTTCGTTTTCCTCTCTCCCAAATAGAGCCGTCAGGGGTCCAAGCGGGCCACCTCTTCTTCTTGCGCCTCTATCTGTTCGACAGTGCGAAATCGAGACTGGGGCTGCGGCCAATCTTGACTTCGCAGTGTGGAATCAAGACTCGGGCGGCGGCCAATGGTCTTGATTTCACAGCGCGGAAGCAAGACCCGGGCTGCGGCCAATCTTGATTTCACAGTGCGAAATCAAGACTCGAGCTGCGGCTAATCTTGATTTCGCAGTGCGAAATCAAGACTCGGGCTGCGGCTAATCTTGGTTTCGCAGTGCGAAGTCAAGACTTTTCGTAGATCTTTGCCGACTACGACAAATCTTGATTACGCACGGCGTAATCAAGATTTGTCGTAGATGCGAAAAATCGTTTTCATCTTACGAAGATTTGTCGCATCTACGACAAGTCACGTCTCCACCACAGTGGAAGCAGGTTTGCGGGGGGTCGGCCAAGATCTACGACAAATCTTGATTCCGCACTGCGGAATCAAGATTTTTCGTAGCCGGCCAAGATCTGCGACAAATCTTGATTCCGCAGTGCGGAATCTTGATTACGCGCGGCGTAATCAAGATTTGTCGCAGATGCGACAAATCTTCGTAAGATGAAAAAGATTGGTCGCATCTACGGCACATCCTGTTTCCACCAGGTTTTTGGGGGGTCGGCCAAGATCTACGACAAATCTTGATTCCGCACTGCGGAATCAAGATTTGTCGCAGCCGGCCAAGATCTCCGACAAATCTTGATTCCGCAGTGCGGAATCAAGATTTGTCGTAGATCTTGGCCGACCCCTCAAAAACCTGTTTCCACTGTGGTGGAAACAGGATCTGTCGTAGATGCGACAAATCTTCGTAGGATGAAAAAGATTTGTCGCATCTACGACAAATCCTGTTTCCACCACAGTGGAAACAGGTTTTTGGGGGGTCGGCCAAGATCTACGACAAATCTTGATTCCGCACTGCGGAATCAAGATTTTTCGTAGCCGGCCAAGATCTGCGACAAATCCTGACTTCGCAGCCCGAATCTTGATTACGCACGGCGTAATCAAGATTCGTCGTAGATGCGAAAACTCTTTTTCATCTTATGAAGATTTGCCGCATCTACGACAAATCACGTTTCCACCACTGTGGAAACGGGATTTGTAGCAGTTCTGCCAAACCTACGACAAATCTTGACTTCACAGTGCGGAATCAAGGTCCGAGCTGCGGCTAGTCTCGATTTCGCAGCGCGAAATCAAGACTCGGGGCGGCTGCGGCTGATCTGTCGTAGATTTTGGCCGATCTTGCAAAAACCTGCGTTACGCGGTGCGACCCACGAGCCGCCTCTGGTGCAGAAAATAAAAAATCAGTTCCTGGCGCATATTTTTCGCTCTGATAAAGGTAAGCACCGACAGAATGGACTTTACGGATTTCATTCGTCTCAAAAATAATCCTAGAAGGAAAGCTCCACTCTGTCGCTGCTTATCGTTAGCCGAATGCTAGCCCTAGCCGACAGCGGACGCTGCTAGTTGAAATGGATAGACGCCGACCGGTCGCATGGCTCGCGTTGTTGTTCCTCTTTTTGCGTTTTCGTTGTTGGGCCAGGCGGTGGCGGATGCTCTCCCGGACTCATGTCGTCGATAGAATAACACACAGCACCATATTAACACTAAGCAACTTTCTCGGACCTGTTAGATTTGGTTGGCAAAGTGCCACTAAGATAGTCCTCTCTCAGTTATGGTCTAGTCTTGGTCCTGGATATTGCCTATTCTTGGATAGGGTCGAAACAGGTGAATTAGAAGTTTTAGTGCAACTAGTTGACGATGATACTGATAGCGAACCAATGAATCGTGATCATCGTGATTCGTTGTCCCATGTTGCGATGCTAGTATTTTGTCCTTATTTTCTAATCGAATCTCGCGCGATCGCATCCAGAGCAGGCCTCTCGCTTTCTATGAGCGAATGCGTGCGCTGGTCAACGGATCGATGCCCTATGATCTGTGCACGACGTCCAGGGTAGCACGAAGTACCCACTGCTACGGCATGGAGTTTCTCTGGCATATCGTCTTTGGGGAGGAAGCAGACCCACCTTTGCGTCAAGACGACCCTACTTAAGGCCCAACACAATTCATTCTCAAGGGTCATTTCTCATTGTTTCTTTCTTTGGACGACGATTGGAAGAAATGCAGGCAGCAAGGGAGCACTCTCAGCATCATCCTTGTCCCTTTTTCTACTTGAAGACCGGGGAAGATCAAAGAGGCACTCAGGGCTGCTCCAACCTAAGAACATGATAAAAGGGACTGGAACGACAGGAGGTAGTTGAGCTCTAACCTAATCTGCCTGTTGCCTTTCGCCTAAAGTTCGGAGTGGAGCATGATAAAAGGGACTGGAACGACGTGGTGCTCAGTCCTAACGTGCCCAAGAATTATGCTTTCTCTGATGATCATTCAATTTCAATTTGATAACAAGGATGAGAATCCTAGTGCAGCTTTTCTTAGGTGAAAAGCAACTACTTGTTGCTCGCCATCGCCGATGAGTAGAAGGTTCTCACGTACACGATATTGTTGACAACAAAGCACACTTACTGTTGTACTACATCGGCAAGATAATGGGTCATTAAAAACTGTCTTTCTCAACCATTCAGCATCACGTCTCTAAGAAAAAATTGTAACGCAGCAGGATTGGGATGGAGAGAATTTCGTCTACACGCGTGGCGGACCAGGCACTGAAAAACGTGGGGACGACGCCCCGCGACCTGCGTAAGGGAATGGATCGCCTAGTAGTGTCAGAACGCGGGGACGACGCGCCGCGACCTGCGTAAGGGAATGGATCCGCCTAGTAGAGTGCTGCGGGTATTCTTGTGTGGCAACGACATATAGTGATGGAATAGTAAACGACATCTAGCGATTAATATCAGGAAACAAGAAGGGCAGTTCGGGACACATAATGATTTCTTGGGGTGAACAAGGGACGGATTGAATGCGGTATTTCGACGAGATGACAGATGACACAACGCCGTTGATGAACAAATGATAGTTCGCTCAAGAAGATGACTACATCTTCTTAGAAAAATACTGACGCAAACGTAATAAATTTTACGAGGACATTGTCGTGGACAGACACGCAAATACTAAGTTAATAGGCCTTGTTTCCCGCATGGGCAAACGATGGTACTTCTATTGACTCCTCTTGTTATTTTGTCGGAATTATGTGTTGAAAGAAGTGTCTGTGAGAGCCACAGCTGAGCAGCCGTGCACTCCTCTCAGTTTTTTGGAGGAGACTACAATTAGCAATGCTGCTGCCTATTTCTCAAGAAAAGGATAAGGACTAATGCAGTAGAACCAAAACAAAAGGATAAGTAAAAATGGCGTCGTATACTAATTCCTCGAGGAGGTGTGGGGTGAGGCTCATCATGGGCCACTCTGCTTCGACCTCGTCAACACATATCCTCATTGGAAACTACCGAAGCAGGCATCTTCAGATACCTGTCGTGGAGACTGCTGGTGGAACTGGAAGGTATGCTACGCGTACTATCCTCGGTCGAACCGCTCCTGTGGGATATCATCGTGCTGCCCTAGTAGGACATCACCCGGAAAATGCCCAGTGTAGAGCGATGGCGTCTACTGCTGCGGCAGCAAAACCTCACAGTCTTCAGCTTCACGAGATACCTTTGCCAGGAGTTCCCGTGAACAGGAAGCTCCCATTCGACAGAGTGTTACGAGGAAAAAGAGAGTCTCCCACACACCTATAGATTTTTTAACAAATATAGAATATGAGGAGACTGTCCTAAACGACTTTGTCCTTCATGACCAGTATGCATGAAGATGTGTGGACTCTGTTTTTTTGACTCTACCACTCGGCTCTGGAGGATCAGTCGTACTTTGCGAGGCTAGCAAGAGGCCGAGTCCAGAGTCTGTACCAGAGGCGTAGGCAACATCTCCTGCCACTGCAGATCTTGCCTATATTTACGGCTATCATGGGGTTCACGCGACGCCAGTATGTGCAAGTATGTCGTAACTAGAATTGCTCAACGACCATGAGACAGACAACGTCCCTGTTTTTGGGAATCTGAAAAGTCGTGACCTCGTGTTCTTGCGAGACGAGTGAGACTGCAAAAGTAAATGTTCTAATGTCTGGGCCCTTTCTCGGACGGTGCCAAGAGACTTGCAGTTTGCGGCGCGTCTAATTTCCGCTCCCTTGTGGCTCTTTGCGGGAGGAGGAGTCATCTGCGTGGCAATGATTAAGGCAAAGTTTTTTGACATCATGGTCGTTCTGAGACGTTTTCTAAGTTAGCCTCAGGTACTCAATCCCTTTTCCGACTGTCTTCAAAATGAGCAAGCTGCGGGACACGAAGGAAGCGGATGCGGAAAGAGAAAGAAGGCACAACGAAAACGCGGTTCCGTTTAGTTTTGAGACCGCTGCTGCGACCTGGACAGTGCAGTACGCGTGGATGCTTATGGTAGCACGTGCAGGGCTGCACTATGCACTACAGCTCTCGGAATTCGCGGTACCGAAGATTTCTGCGTATAGTCACCCTTGGAAATTTGGTCGTGGCATGTTTCCTTTAGTGTTATGGCTAAGTTCAATCGAGTTTCTGAACCACGTAGGGAGTTTTGTTGGAAGGTCATTTAATATTTTCTTTGAACAAGCAGGAATTTGTGTTTCAATCTTTCCTTGAAGTAAGAAGAGTGTACGCAATAACTGACTGTTGAGTTGTCTGTAGCACGTTGTGAGTAAGTGGAAGAAATAAAACGAAATTGTGTGGCGTTTTATTTTCGCTAATAGTGGCTATCCTTTTAGGCTGCCAGTGGTTACCAGTAGGCAAGTGCATTTGCGAGCATGGTGGGGTCGAGTCGTGGAAAGCCCGCGCGGGAGAAATCGCAGGCGATGGGACGCTCGTCATGTACTATATTAAAAATGTGGTACTAATTCATCTGTGTCCCTTGTCGTGATCTGTCAGGTCTTTCATGTGTGTCTGAGATCTCTCGAAGTCGACTCTCTTGATTGTGTGTTGTCTCTCGTCTACTGTGGATCCTGTTTTCCACCTTCACAACATATTTAAATAACAGGTCGTTTCTGCAGTTCGTGTTGTATGACTGGTTGTGGCACAGGAAGGCCCTCGCACCGCAGTTTTGGGGCCAGCTGGCGCTTTCGTGCATGCTCTACATCAATCTAGCGCTAGCTACAGTGCGGTACGTGGTACGGTATGCCGAAGACACACCCGATATAAAGGGACCACGGATCGACTTCGCCGCGGAGTGTTGAATCTGGCAATTGTTACTTAGTGTTGAATCTTCCATATTAGCGATTTTTGTAAGAGCCTCAGGATTTGTCTGGGTTGGTCGATTGTGATCAAATCGAGCCTCCATGCGTTTGTTAGAATTTTTGCGGTGTTCGTGTTCTCAAGCGGGGACAACGTTAAAGGTTTACATGACGAGAGAAGTTAAGATGATGGGGATCCGAGTATGATCAGAGTGTGTGTTAGCAGAGATCTTTACACATACACGACTAGGACATCGAGCGACAGGAGTCCACGTCATGGCTCGAGAGTTGTAACCGAGTGGTCAGTGCCGGGAGAGAAGAGACGCATGCATGAGATGTCACTACAGCTGGATAAGGATCTCAGATTTCTATCAGACATTTACAATCGGGAAGTGAGCATGGGAAGACGACTTCTTTTCTCTTACCAGCATAGCCACAGTTCTTAGGGTCATCTGATCTTCTGCATGGATCGAGATGATAGGCAGATCTTGGTAGACATCTAGTGAACAAAGTCTTGTCTATCTAGTAGTTCTTGTTTGTCGTAGTTCTTGAAGCTGTCATCTCCTAGTGTCTGAGAATAAAGTTTCTTTCCATCACGACCTTGATTTTACTACGTACTTACTTGATTTGAATACGTGTAAAATCATACATCTAATGACAAGCAACAAGATGGCCATCTGATTTTCTGTAAGCGCTGCATGCTGAGTACTACGTGTTGTCGTCTGTAAGCGAGTACTGGCTACCTGTTATCTGTCAGCTGCTGGATGACGTCGAATGCGCTGGGTTGTGTGGACATGCTTGGCGTTGGGTGGACGTCGGGCGGTGAGAAAAACTGCTCCCCAAGCTGCTCCTGCCTCCAGTGATTATGTCTCCAGTGACTGTGTCGACTTTGTTTGTATACGACTGCGGTCATGATCACAACTATCAGAACTAGTCTCCACGGATCATGCTCAGAGCAGCATTATCAGGGACTCATCGAGATGACTTTATTTGGCAGGTTCCACAATAAGATCGTGTTGTCATGCCAGGTTCATCTATTGATGATTCATTTACTTAGAAATGTGGTTATCCTGCTGATGAATTGTGTTTCTGTCCCAGAAGCAGGGACCTATACCACCTCTAGGGAAAATGATCGCTTCCGTCGTAGAAGAACTTCTAATTATTTGTAGACTTGCTTGAAGAAGCGCAGGCAGGCATTGCGGTGGATGATGGAGGTGGGTACAATGGAGGTGAAGGCATCGTCTATCCTGAAGACGACATTGTGGAGTATGACGAGCAGTGGACGGGCAGCAACGAGGAGGATGTCGACCCCTTGTATTTATGATGGAGTACAGTACAACTGCTTCTTCTAAACATTGGTGATGCAAGTTCTGAGTTCTAGGCTCTGATAGATGAGATGGGCATTCTAACATCCGTAGCGGAGGAGGAAGACTCCTTTTTGACGGAGGTAATATACGATGACGAGCAGAACAAGGCTGTGGACGGTGACGAGCAGGGGACTGGCGAGGGAGACGCGGGGTTTGTTGAAGAGGGTGGCGAAGGAGACGATGACGCGATTGTCTATGGCCTCGGGACGGCAGGAGACGAGCCAACGCCAGAAGAAGACTTGGAGTTTGGGGGTACAACGTCTGAGGCAGATGCAGAAGTCAGCAATAGAGATCTACAAAAAGAAGAGAAAACTACCGCTAAAGCAGAGGGGGAAGACGATGATGATGACAATCCAGAAAAGATCTACGAGAAGGGCCTCTACCCGAAAGACGAGGACTTCAAGAGACAGGTGTTTTTTCATAAGTGCTCTATCGGAATTCTAGGAGTCGCCGTCTGTTAGACTTCAGTCACTCGATCTCAGTTAATGATCATGGAATTCTTCTTAGCCTCTACTCCTACAGTCTTCAACTTTCGTAGGTTAATTGTGACTTCTCGCGGCCCGAGTGGCAGCAATACCGACATGTGTACGAAGTAGCGTTGAATCGGGAGGATACTTCCGACGACCCAGACCAGCTCCTCCACGCAACTCGTGTTTATGGACTTGCATCTTAGATTCTAGACCACTTTGTTTTTTTGAAAAATTAGAGGGTCGGTCTGTCGATTTGGACACACTTGCTCTAATGTGCATTATCCTCCGTTTTGTGGGCTCGTGCGCGGAACGTGACGGACATTTTGACGTGCAACGTTGGTATCATTGCAGGCTATCAAAGGTTGAGTCACGCTCTCTTGGTTGCAGGCTTGGGACCTAAAACGGCACTGTATCGCTATCGACTCCTCCAGTTGGCTCTCATCTTCATTTTCACGCTTCGTAACGCGAACAAAATTCCTCCCGTCGCCGGGGAGTACTGGGCAGCGAGCGAGCAATACATCATTCCGAACATCATGGCGATTCGTAACATCAAAATAGTTCATATTTGCTTTGATGCTGCTATTTCGCATTTTCGTCGGTCGTGCTACTTCCTCAACGAAAAAATAGAAAGACTAGCGCTGTTGGCTCAACATTTGAACAGCTACATCAACATTCGTCTCAGGTCGACATGTCGAGCAACAGGAATTGCAGAGAAGGCGGGAGCGGGAGTGGTTTACGGGAAGGACCGTCTCTAATACTTTTAGAGACCCCGATATGCGGATTGCCATCGTGTCTATTTGTGCTTATCCTCCGACAAGTACTAAATTTACTTTTGCCTTACAACAAGGTTATTATTTTTTGCTTCGAAGAGCTATGCACTCAAATATGCATGTTGTGGGTCGTATGATCCAAGAAATAGTCGTGACTCTCTCTTCCAAATTTCAGGCGACATCGCACTAAAGGATGTAACGCCTTTGAACCGGGAACTGTATGCGCGAAAACACGGATATGCGTTGAGGCTGCACACCGAGCCACCCCTTCTGGGTGGGAATGTGCATATCCAGCATGCAAAATTGGCGACAGTGAATCACTACGTACTCACTTCTTGATAGCTCTTCGTATGAGATAGAGACATGAGATCGAGACCATTGTTTGTTTGTGTCGTTTTTCGCGTTTCTCAGGTATGAAGATCGAAGTATATTTTCCATTTCTTTGCGAAATATGATCTTCATGAACAATCAAGAAGCCCCTTGAGAAACCTTCATCCATTGACATCACTCAGATCCGTTCAGGAGATTTTGATTGGGTTGTGTGGTTCGATTGCGACTCTCTGATAATGAACCTCGACCACACGCTAGACAGTATCATCTATCGGGCGGCGGGAAAATGGACGAGTAATAATTTTGCTGGTGAGTGGGCAGACACTTGGGATCCGAATACAATCACCATTTTATGCATGGATGGTAGTCGAGTAGTAGTAGTATTAGTAGTTGCCATAGTAGCAATAACACCTTGCAGATGGCGAGTTGCTATAGCATTACATAGTAGCATCTGCCTAGATGATGAACTGCTAGTATAGAAGCAATAGTAGCTTCGAAACGAGGTTTCATGTCGATAGAAACGACTTGCCAATGTGTTGTCATAGCAATAGTATCTTAGAAATGAGTTCTCATAGCAAGATTAGTCTAGAATTGAGCTCTCATAGCAAGATTAGTCTAGAAGTGAGCTGTTAGAGCAATACTATGCTAGAATTGAGCTGTTAGAGCAATACTACCTTAGAACGAGATCAAATCAGTGGAAAGAAGTGCAAAAGTACATGTTGCTGTAAAGCTCATCGTCAGAAAATGAATTTGAATAAAAGTACATAAAACTGAAATTTCTTGGATATCTCCTACAAATTTGAAATTTTCAAATTCATAATTCAAAACTTTGAAGATTTCTAGAAACGTGAGATTGTTTTGAGGAAATTTATGGAGTCCATGGAGTCTTAGATTTCCAAACTATCATTTCTCTCTAGTTTGGGATGTTGCAGGCTGTTGATTGAATTTCTCCTAATAGATCACTCCACACTTTAGCATTGTCTGCATAAGGATCAGCATCATCATCATCATGCCCGCCTTTCTCCCCCTTCTCCTCGCCCAGTGTCTCTCTCAATCTCCCTCTCTCTCCCCTTCCTATCCATCCCTTTCTTTCCCTCTCTCCCTCTCTCTATCCATCCCCTTCTGTCTGCCTCGGCCTCTCCCTCCTTCCCCCTCTAATTTTTGTGGTGAATGAAACGGAGGTCACGGCGAGTGCGCAGCAATTCGGCACTGCTCGTGGATTCATGCGCGGTAAGATTCTGCACATGACCTTCGAGAACTCCCTGGATCCGCTCGAGGGGGAGCTGGTGAATTTAAGGCTTATGTAGACTCTCATTCATCTTAAGAGGCACCTAATGTAATTCATCTTCCGACGTGAGGCATCTTTGACTCTCACTTTGACCTGCTAGGAGTGCTTCCAAGGGGAAAGAAATGCTACAAAGATGCACGACTCGCTGTTTCGGATCCTTCGGGTTGAGTTTGGGTATCTATAGGCTCTAACGACTTCAGAAGAAGGGGATGTAATTCACTGGAGTAATGGAGCAGTGTGGCACCGGACGAGGGCAATAGAACCCTGCCTGTCACCGCAAGATTGCCCAGAGCTGAAAGGTCTCGACGATAGCATCGATCTTCTCATCACCGAAGAGGGCTGGGGCCTCAGCTCAGCAAACTGGATGGTGCTAATTTTTGTTCGTTATCCACCCGTTTATGTTTTTTGGTATCTACTACGCAATTATAATTAGGTTCGTTATCCACTCGTTTATGTTTTGGTATCTACTACGCAATTCTAGTACTGGAGTGGGTTACTTTTCGTGATCTAGCCCTAATTTTGTAGTAGCCAATTTTTCGATCATCAATCTGTTCTTTGTGACAAAAATGTCGATCTTCATCAATACCGAATACTCTTTACCCTCGATAGGTACGTCGTTCCGCGTGGACCATCAATTTCTTAGATGAGTGCTTGAACGTGGCTCATGTTAAGATACCCCTTTTCGGAGACCAAGATGCAATAATCTACTTATGATGATTTGATGAACAATAGCTGATGAAGTATCTGTGTACTGGCTAGCTTTTGAAGTACCTGGTGAATAGGTTGGGAGCTACGATTGAAAACATTGTCAGATTTTATTACCTCAGTTTTGGCCACAACTTGATGGTCAAGATCAGTCAATCATTTACATCTGGGTCGTTACAACTTTATAATATAACAGGGGGGGGAGGGCGGGGGGCCGTTCGGCCCTGCGTCACGTCATATATACTCGTGCTAGTAGAAGCTCTCCCTATCGTCCCTTCGATTTTTGTTGCAACTAGCGCTAATCTTTCTAGTGATGAACGACCAAACGCTACGAGGATTAACGGACGCTTTGGCCGATCCAGCGGCCATTCGGGATTCAGACGAGGAATTGCCAGACCCTTTAGACTCGCATGTTCGGGTCATCCCGCAGCGCGAGCTAAATGCCTACGATCACCTCAACGCCTACACCATGGACGTCGATGGATACCAATTTGGAGACTTGCTTTATGAGTTCTACTGTACTTACAAAGACTGTGGTTTAGTTTTTTTCATCCTCCATGTTCTCCATTAAATTTCTCCAGCCGCTTGCTAATAGCCAACCAATAGCTCCACTAGTTCTCCTCCCCTTCTCTTACCCAACTGTTTCTAATGGCGCATCACATTCCCGCAATGCAAGGACGCCTCGTGCAACACGCTGTTTCGGTTGGCCGCGGAGTATGCCCACGAAAGAGACGAGTTCGCCTACAACCCTCACGATTGGGCGCACGTGCGGTTATTCGGCCCCAGGGACTTAGTCGCAATGTGGTGGAAACGTCACATGGAGGAAGAGAGGAAACAAGATCGCGAAGAAGAGGAGGATGAAAAGGAGAAAGAGAATATAGATGAGGGTGAAGAAGAAGGCGATGCGAGTGAAAATTTATGATCTTCTTTTTGAATGGTGGTCTGGTTTTTCTTTTTAATGTTGTTGATCCATGGTAACAAGAGTTTCAGGATGTGCTTGTAGTAAGGCCAGCATACTCTTTCTTACGCTAGATTACGAACAACAAAAGTGTTCTTGTGCCGTTGTAACAAGCAATGTATATGTACTTCCTGTTCCTGTCTGTCAAGTTACTTTAGAAATTATGCCAAATTGAATCATTTTCTTGTCTGCGAACTGTAGTAGTCGAAATGCCCAAGCTTTTAGAGCTGCCTCTTCTAAAATCGACACAAGCTGACGTGCCTGGCACCTCTCGCGTGTCCGTTCGAAATGGCGCGTCCACTGAGGCCGGACTTGACCTGGCCGACATCGATCCTGAAGAAGATACTGGCGAAGGGCAGGAGGAACGCGATTCTACTTAAGGCTCGATGCACTTCATGTCCAAGGCAGGACGATTTTCTTCGGTTTCCATCGCAGGGTCGACTTCGAAGAAACGGGAAGCAAGGGAAGAAGTGAATTGCTTTGAGCTCTAACATAGTGTGGAAGGTGAGATGCAGGAGGACGGCGAAGAGGTCCTCGAAGAAGTGGAAGATGACTCCGCAAATGAGTATTTCGGAGACCCCGATGAGGAGCCGCAGGACGATGCAGAAGATGACGACGCGGTCCAAGAAGAGGAATTGTAATGAGGAGAACGGAAGACGTACTACTTATAATTAGGCTACGGCCATGCGGATGCGGCTGTGGGCATTGGTTTCGCCCATGACTCGGACAGAGCTGGCGCGGCTTTGTGAAGCTTTTGCAATTATACAAAGGCTTTTGCAATTATACAAGGGCTTTTGCAATAGTGCAAAGGACATGCAATTTGAGAGCCTGTTGATCAGTTTTGCGGCGGATGTGACTGCCGCTCTGCTGCTGAAGTAATTAGTTTTTTCTTGTTGCTATGTAGCAGGACTTCCCTGTCTCTGCCTCTGTTCTAGTTCTTGGCCAGTATCTTGTGATAATTGGTAACTACCCTTTCATCTTGGTAGCCTCAGGTATTCGACGAAAATCGTCCGAGATTAGCCGCGCTTGTCATAGTCAATGAACAAAGTAGTTTGAATCAATGAAATCCTACACACCTCCTATATCTACTACTCGTGCAACCGCCGACGAGCGTCTGAATTGGTTTGATACCACGCGTGTGAGCAACGCACGCAAGAAAAAGCATCTCTCTTGAGCCAGATTTGGTGTCCAGAAAAATTGTATATAGTTTACTCGTATTCATCTTATTCTACAAAATATTCACGGTCTGCGACTCCTCGTTGAACTTAAAGTGTAATCACAAGCAGCTGCAAAAAGCTAAATTATCTTGATCAAAAACACTAAAAGCAGAGAGTGGATCTCTGATCAGCTGTTGGGAGTTGATCTCAGTCAGTCGGCTGCTGGCTCGGATCAGATGATTCTGTGCTAAGTAGACGTAATTGAAGACGAGTGAAGATGTGAGCAGAAAGCGAATGGAAAGCATGACGATAAATTTCTGTTGAGAGCAAGTTGTAAGAGTGATACTATTCTGTCTGTCATGTTGGAGGCGTAAGTTTAAGTGGAGAGATATCCTGATAGGTGCTGGCACTTGTTACGTATAGATTTCGAGAATGTGTGAGTGGGTTCAATCGTCAGAGTGTAGGTCATCTGTCCTGAGGCGTATTCCTATTCTGTTGACCGGAGTGCCTGTGTACGTGATGGAGATGAAACAATTGAGAAACATTTTTATTGCGACTGTGTACATTTCATTGCCTCATGAATCATAAGGAATATGTAATCATCATCATCATCATCATCATCTTCATGTTCAGCATCCATCAACATCCATACCATCTCAATTTCATCTTTCTCCGATTAATTTTTGCAGTTCCTTGTTGATAAAAGGTTCACCTACCGTCTTGAGACCCCCATTCACCCTTGATAATTGAGCTTTTTTTCTTATTCTTTGATACACTTTTTAAGTGCTTAATCACACAATCACAAGTAAGAGCAGTAACTTCCTTTTTTTCTACATGTAGGCAAGAACATTTGTTCGTCAGTTGTAGTAGTCACACATAGTCGAGGTGGTCCTGACTGATCGCCATTCTTGAAACAAGAACTTTTAGTAGCCTCCTGCGTGAAGATTGTACAAGTTTGACGCACATCATCTGCACTTCTAAGAATTTCGTACTATAGTTGAGGTGAAAACTCTTGGTAACCAAACAACAATCAATCTCTGTATAGCTGACTCTGAACAACATCTTCAGAATCACAATCAGAAAGCAAGGATGGCTTTCTGCTGAAGGTTCGATAATGCATTCGAACAGCCGCGAGATTCCCGATATAGAATCTGTTCGTGCCAAACTCTACGCACGATTGAAGGCAGCTCCTGTAGAAGAAGAGGAGGAGCTTCCTGTAGTATGTCCAGTGACTGGAGGTGGTACAGCGGCTGAAGGTATCACGGGTGTAGGTGTAGGTCTAGGTGTACCTGTTGATGCAGGAGGAGCAGAGACCACGCCGAGCGCAGCTGTTGAGCTGACAAATCTTGAAAGTGGCGACGCAGCTCTTGTTAGAGCACAGCAAGAAGTTCTAAGAGCACAGCAACTTCTAGGTCCTCTAGGCCAGGTTGCGCAGGTTGGAGTTAATAAGCCGTCACGTGTGAACGCTGTTCCGAACTCATTAGCCTCAAAAACACTAGTTCTTGCTAGCAGTCCAATTCCTGCTAGCAGTCCAATTCCAACAGCATCACCGATTGCGACGAGTACAAGGCGAAGTTCGTCGTACAACAAACAGGTGCTCTCAGGCCACTGCTTTCGGCACCTGGGGGACTTGTACGACCGTCCCCACTTCGTAAACTGTGGGGCAACTAGTGTGCCTACCAGCCGCAACAGCAGTAAGAGGTCAATTGATGTAACCTCGAAGAACGGGGGAAGTAAGGAGCTACAACAACTGGAAGAGTCCGCATCAACAGCACCAGCGAATCTGCAGGCGAACAACAAGCAAGTCACGACTACTGGGGTTGCTCCTCAGTTTACGAAAGCCAGTGTTGTGACGAGTTGTGAAGAAAACCTCAGCAAAGAAGATCAAAAGATTCTCGTGGACCAGCCAAGTCTGGCCGTGAATTCTGAGTCCTATTCAAATTTGTTTTCTAGACTGCGCGAGGACTATCTCCTTACGATTGGGAAAACGACGGGACCTCCGCCACAGGTTTCCCCGAAAAAGTTGTGGGCTGATCTGGACGACAGTGTGGAGATGGAGCGCCACGAGTACTACGCGAAAATCGACACCGCGAAATATTAAGGCTTCCTCTAATCCGTCTCTGTATTTAGCTATCGATCCCTCAAAGATACATATGTTGCACCCCAATTTATTATAGCAGGGGAACAATACTACTGAGGCATATCATCCTTGAGGGGTTTCCACAGGGATGAATTGGGGAGAGCTCTAAAAATACGGTTACTCCTGGATGCACGACTTGAACACAACAAAGATTGAGCCTTCCCTCGTCGACGCCGACTTTTACAAGAATGGTCTTGATATCACTTTTGTAAAAGACGACAACGTCATGATCCCCAATGCGAGCATGCCTCCGTCGAACAGAGCTCCTAGACAGGAAGGGAGTGCTGTTATGAACGTGGAGGAAGTCGAGCAAAGTGGGCTGGAGACGACGAACAACGGAATAATCGCTCCTGTTCTTGCGGACGGGAGGAGAAGCACTGCGGCAGCACGATCCGTCTCACGTCGTTCGGTTACGTTTAAAACTCCAAGCGATTCAGTGTCGGCTGACACAGCGAGTCAAGAGGAACAGGAGTCCTTTAGTACTAAGATGGAAGGTGTTACACGAAATACTGAGTCGAGCTCGAGAGTTCAGCTTGGTGGCTTTGCGGTAGTGACGGAGGACGGCGACAGCGAAACTGATAATGTTGCGGGAGCAGGTGGGTCGAGTGGGGAAGGAGCTTCTACCCCGACCGGCCTTTCGCGTGGTACCAGAATCGAGACGAGCGTGGGGTCGGCTCACATGAGTAGCAGTGGCATTACGCTCACTTGCGATGTAGATATTAAGGCTTACCCTTATCCATCTTCGGAGGCATCCTGAAGAGGCAGATCCAAGGAAAAAAGCTCCCAGGATGCGTCTCAAGATGGATAAGGGTGAGGTCTAAAGATAAGATTTGCAGTCCTGTGTTGGCACGAGCGCCCAGCTGCAGCTACGACGAGTTCTGTAATCGCATCATGGACGGTTTAGACGTCGCTTTTTCCGCCTGCCGTTACAATCCGGAGCGCCGCGAGCTAGGACGCCAGACTTCGTTCCAAAGCACGATGATTTACTACAATGACGCGGATGTGGAGGATGGTCAAGAAGATGTTAAAAACGACGTGGTAGAGTCGGCATCTACTTCTCGTTCTGCATCTACTTCTCGTTCTACTTCCTTGTCGGGGTACTCATCAGGTAATCGCGGTCGCAGATCCCAACAACCGGCTTCGGCCGCTATGCGCTGGGGCCAATTCGCTGGTGCGTCGGCGCGAAGCAGACTCCTGTCTTCGTCTGGAATGCGCGAAGGACGCAGCACCATGCAAAGTAATAGTTCTTTCTCGACACCCTCCGCGATTGAAGGGAACCACGCAGCGGGCGCGCCCCTGTACTATCCTGAGCAAGAACCGCGCAGCTCTGTTGCGAGTGGCGGAGCTTCGCGTGGTAGGTCGCGCAATGATGAAACGCCAAGACAGAAGCCGCCTGAAAACCAGGATTCCTCCGCAATCGAACGCAGAGTTGCGCGTGGTAAGGGGAAAGGTTCGACGAGTTCTGGAGGTCGCGGTAGCGCTCAAGAGACCGAGCAGTCTTCTGGAAAGCCGATGAAGAGCAGTAAGTCAAGCGGAGCAGGCAAAGGCGGTAGGGAGCGCGGAAGCGAGCGAGAGCCCTCTACAAAAGGTGGGTCGGCTCCTACCCGAGGACGCGTTTCCTCCGGCGGTTCGACAAACGAGCGGCTGTCAAATCTGTACAACCAGGGACGCGAGGATATCAAGGAGGGCACGACTAGCGGTGGAGGTGGAACTGCGCCAGCGAAATCAGCTGAGTCCGACTTGAAGCGGGGACCACAAGCAGCAAGTTCCAGTGCGGGGAAAGGCGGAAAAAGCACCGGCACTAGCTCGTCCAATGCAGGAGCACGTGGTCAGACGTCGAAAACAGGCTCATCCAGCGCGGTAAAAAGCGCGAATAATGCAGGAGGCGGACCTTCAGCAAGTAAGGAAATCACCGAACAACCCGTAAAGGGAATGAGCGGACGCTTACCCTCGGTAAAAGAAGAGACGCAAGATGAAGTGATCTGGAATGCAGACGAGGACGAAGCAGGAATGGTGGAGATGCCAGGAGTGCAAGAAACGGTTCCAGAAGCAGGAGGAAGTGCCAGAAACAGTATTGGCAGTATTGCTGCTGACGAGCAGTCCACTGAAAGTAGTGGGGCCATCTTTTCTCCTGACGCGCATTCCATTGCAGAGGAAGCTATGCCGCAACCCGTGACGCAAGTAGAGTCGCCTTCCGTGGCTAAAGACACGGTCCGAGTCGAAGGCGAAGCAGCGTTTGCCATCACATTGGGCGCAGATGAGGAAGGCGCCGACGCCGTGCCTGCGGCGAAGACGAGCTTCTTTGAGCAGGCGGGAAGCTACGTTCGTTCGGTCTTTGGCGGCGGACCACCGGCCGCAAGTGCTGGAGAGGAACACGAGGAGCCTTCCGCTACACCTGCCTGGACGCGGTCCCGGGAAATCGGGGACTTGAAGAAGGCACGCTCCGAACAACATGACGCGATTCCGGAAGGACCGCTGACGGCTCCACATCTGCGTCTCGAGTGCCTGCAAATCCACCCTCCGCGCCTGACTCCGCGGACGCCGCGCACTCGTCCCGAGCATGCCATGGTCGGCGTGGTGCCCATGCGCGGACGCATGCCTTTCGTGGCTGGTGACAGCGCAGTGTCTTCACCTTATCGCGCCACAAGTGCTTCTTCAATGCCACCGCAGCATAGCTATAGCGCTGCATCACGGGTGATGAACTATGAGCAACAATCTCAACGTCAGCAGCAAAGCCAAAGCGATGTGGCACAGCTGGCCGCGGCCCGCGTGGCGCAGCAGCGACTCCCGCGTCCGGCGCTCGCGGTGCCGTCAGGCTCGAAAATGACCACAACGGGCATCATCACTGCCGTGACCACGACCGGCTTCGCTGCAGATCTGCCGGACAGTCCTCGTACGGCCGTGACGTTTGACGTAGCTTCCGCCGTGGCCAGTAAGATGAGCCGGAGCAAGAGTCCGCCACCTGCGATGGGCGCCAACTTGTTTGACGAGAAGCACATGACAGCTCGACGCCATATTATCAAGGTGCATGATTTCATCAGTTCCGATGAGGAGGAGACAGGCGAGAACTACAATGCGCAGCGGGAGGACAACGGCGAGAAAGCTGATTATGGAGGTCATTATCATCATGTTCATCATGGTCAGAGCCAATTCCTGAAAGCCCGTGCTACCGTTGGCGCTGATGAGAATGTCACTGGCGACGAGGAGGACCGCTTTGACGACGACAAAAATGGTGAAGCAGGAGCGCCAGACGGACCCGCCAGCGATGAATATGGTCATTCAAATTTAATGGAGCGGCGCAAATTGAGCAAGGACGTTATTTCGCCTGAGCGACGTAAGATTCTCGCTAGGATTGCAGCGGACCCGCCGCCACCTGCTCCGAAGCCAGAGCCAAAGCAGATATCTCCTGAGCAAAAGGAGATTCTCCAAAAGAGAAGACGCCAAGAGAAGAAACGGGCAGCTGCATTGAAGAAGCGACAAGCCGCCGCGGCAGCTGCCGCGGCTGCTGTAGCGAGTGACAGTGCCTTGCAAAAAGGTTCAGGAAGCAGTAAGTCCTTGTTCTCTTCTGAGTCCTCTTCTGAGTCCTCAGCTGGAGAAGATGAAGATGGCAGTGACTTGTCGAGTTTGCTCTCGTCGGAGACCGAAGCGCAACAAGCGAAACTCGCGGAAGCAAAGGTGGCTCTGTCTAGGGTTTCTAACTTCGCAGTGTGTGTTCGCCAGCAACTGCGGGAACTGAACGACGCATCGGCCAGCGGAGCAATGCCGCCTGTCGATTTGACTACTTTCTCACAGAAGAAGTACTCATCAAAGGACTCTGTTCTTCGAGCAGCACACGATAAAAACAATATTACTGGTACAGCAGGATCGGGTGAAGCAGACGTCGAGCAGGGAAGTGCTGCCCCAGGAGAGGGAGGAGCAGTGAACGTTCAAAAGGCTAAACAGTTGGATTTGCCTCGAATTCCGATTTTGGACGAAGTGTTTTCGCCAAGGAATTTACAGAGCCATCATCATGTGTCTTCGAGTGTGGCTTCATCGCCTCGTGGTGCTGGAGGAGCTTTGGTTTCGGCGAGGCATGCGGAGACCCGGGAGCGACATTTGAGTTCGGCGCGCCAAGCGCTTCGTCCACAGCTAGACCAAGTCACGTTCAAGTCCTCTCGCGTTCGTTCCCCTGAGGAGCAAGAATTGGCGGACCGGGATCACTTCTTCGAGCGGATGGGACAGCGCCGAGGAGCTTCTCCAAAAATTGCTTTTGGTGCTGGTGGAGGTCATCTTCAGAGTCATCATCCTAGCCAACATCAAAACATGGCTGCGACCGGACCGGTGTCATCAGGTACGTCGATCGCGACTTTGGCCTCGCATGGGCAGAGGATGGACGAACAGGTCATCCCTTCGCGACGCGGCAGTAGCATGTTCCAGCCAGCGAGTCCACGCCCGCTTCGCATATCGCAAATGCTGGTGGACTCGTACTTTACCTCGCCAGACGGGCAAGTCGTGACGCGCGGCGACATCATCGTGCGCGGCGCACACGCGGCGGCGGCGGCGGCTTCTGCTGGCGTAGCGAGTTGTTCCATGGGAGTTGGTTCTGGAGCTTCTCGAGTGGGTTCTGGCGCTGCTCCAGTAGGCTTGTCACCAAGAGTCCACAGCGCAGGACTCTCGGCAAAGCACACAACTACGATCTTGGCTCCAATGCACATCCCTGGCGTCCGTTTGGGTGCGGATGGTCATATCCAGCTCAACCAGGCTGAATCATCGCCGAAAACCTTCACCCCGCGCAGTGAGGAGCAGCAAGCAGCCTAGGCACTTATTTGAATTATGCAGCGTGTGTAAGTACTTATAAATGGTTATTATGACGTTTCTGGAAGACACGCTTCTAGAAATTTAGTTGGTAGAAGGTATGAGAAGTACTTCTTCTTGGGGAATGCTCCAAGTAGAAGTTCAAAGTGAGGACGTAGGGGTTACTTTGTGAACTAACATTGGACGCAAGCTAGGACAAGACTAAGTAGAACTAGAAACGATATGAGATTTTAAAACCTGGTGAACTTTGAATGAGTAACGGCATTCATAACTAGCTAAGAAGAGTTTTGTAATAATTTTCGATGGTCGTGTAGAGTACAGCTTGACTTTGAACTGCAAAAATTTTTTTCTGAGGATTGAACGATTCTTGTGGATCATCAACATCGTCGTTAGATTTAGTAGATGTCATAAACGTAGTCATTTTACGGGGAAAGGATTTGATAGTAAATTTGATAGTAACAAGGCAAAATGAATTCTTATGGATCTTCATGTCTTCGTATGTAGTTAGTATGTTGAACAACGGTAGTTTATGTTAATTCTTTCGACGTTAAGGATGCAGCTTATCTAATGTATACTACGAACTTCAACACTTTGGAATGATGGACTCTTGATTAGTAGGAAATAACGGGTTGAACAATTGCTAGATCAGCAGAGCGATGCGTAGACCGACTCTATTTGATGTACTAAAATGGAAGTTCTTTATCGTGAAATAACTGCAAATAATACTAGAAGCTGCTCAGAAATTCTTGCGTCGGCATAATAGAACAACAACATTTGAAATCGTAATATTTTAGTATCGAAAAAACTCTCAAACATTGCATAAAAATGATCGTTGGAAATGCGAGGAAGATTAGCGCGTTTAGGAAGGGTAAACTGTAAAAGATATTTATTGCACATTGCAAATACTGTATTCACGCTGTTTCTTGTTTTACCTGGTCCTCGACGTTCTCGTGTTCAGACGTTTTGTTGGTCAGCAGCAGCTTGCGGCTTTATTACATCGCACCGCGAGAGATTCACAGATAAATGGCACATCAACATCAACAAGAAAGGCGTAGGCAAGAAAGGGAATGTCGAGAGATCGTGACAACGATGCGAGAGTCGCGAGGTGCACCGACAGTTGCAAACCCTGGTGCAGTTTTCTTCTAGACGATCTCTGCTTGATTGAAGTTGGACGGACTTTTTCCAGCATACGCTCGCGATTTGTGAGTAAGCGTGTCATTGAAGTTGGACCGACTTTTTCCAGCGGACGCTGGTGATTTGTGAGTGTGGGTATCATTGAAGTTTGACCAACTTTTTCCAGCATACGCTGGTGATTTGTGGCATGATTATGTACGTGCTGGAGCAACGTTTACCAGCATACCATGCTGATTTGTGACGTATATATGAGCGACTTTGAAGAAAGTTTTGCCAGCATACCAGCATGCTGATTCCTGAGTTTGCAAAAGCGTTCTTCAACTTAATGGCAATCTTGGACAATGTGAAAACCTAAACATTTCACAGATTAGCTCCGAGTACATCATTTCTCAACCTGTCCTGTCGTGGACCACATAACTCATATTGAAGCATGATGTACGTCTAGACGTTCACGAAGAATGTAAAAGACAATCTTGATCTCCCAACTAATGAAATCATTGTCTACAAACAATGACCTGTCAGGAAATGAATTCCCAAAAAACAAGATATAACTGAAATTTCTTGGATATTGACATTTCAAATGCGAATTTGATGCCCATATCCAAGAAATTTCAGTTATATTCCATTTTAATCGAATTCATTTCCTGCAAAGGGATTGGGATTGCTGACCATGTTACTTATTGCCCAAAGCTTTCGATGGGTGTGCAATTGAATTGTAGACCTAAAGGCTGCGCCATAGTTCAGAGTCAGCCGCTACAGTCACTCTGATCATGAGAATTGATGACGGCTGAGACTTACATACTCGCTGAAATCTTCTAGAAAAAACTTTAGGCCTTGAGAAGATCAAAGATAAACTTCCCTTGGATGGACTTGGCCGCGCCAGGAAGTAGCGCCTATTTTCTAATGGTAAAACTGGCTGACTGCTGCGGGGAGGTGTCTTGTCACGAGAGAAGGAAACGACTTAAGCATAACCCAGGAGGGCTTAGCGCTCCTATATCAGTTTGCCCTTCTAGCAGCCACGGCCCTAAGTAGCTACTTACACCAAGGAGGTAGTGGCCACAGACATCATCAAAGAAGATTCTGGACTGAATACCATGGTGCATCACTGACTCTGAGCAACCGATGTGAGCATGTGGCCCCTCGAATGGGCTGCACCAGTGGAGACCCTCTAGCGCCATTGACTGCCGGCTTTCTTAGTCGCTTTGGTGTTATAGATGGGGCAGGTGAATAAAGTGGAACCGGCCTAGGGCGTAACGCTCGAGGCATCTTCGCCATTTTTCCCCGTGTGTCGCGCATGTTTCCGCGCTTGTTCCACCCTAGGGTCTTCGCGGAGGGCATTTTTCCCGTTGCGGGTTAAGGAGGGACGCCCGGAACCGTTCCACTTCGTGCGGAAGTCGATGTCACTAGGACTCGCCACCTTCATTCTATACCCCGGAGGCCATTAGCTTCAGGGAAGGCAGAGGGCGTCTCTGATACTAATATAGACGCACCAGCTTGAATCTGCATAGCTTGAATAGCTAAACCCTTCGCCGTTCGTCTGTAGGTTGAAAATAGGCGCAGAAGATAAAAACGCCACACGCCTCAAGGAATTCCCGGGCAGTAGTAAAGCTAACGACTTGCCTCGCGCCGGAGGCGAGGCGCGTCAGGTCTCTCCGCTGCTGGAAGGGGCAGGCAAGAGCGTCCACCTAGAGGACATGCTGGAAAAGAAGAAGAAGGCCGAGGAGGTGCCTGCACTTGATGCAGTACAGCTACAAGCTGCGGGCAAGCACCTGAAGGAGGTCGAGACTGTAACCGTGAACGCTCTCCCGGGTGGCTCGCCGCCTTTCGTGGAGGTTAAGACGGCCGCGCTTTCGCGTGTCTTTTCAGTTCTGGCTTCTTTGTGTCAGAAGGGCGCAAGGTAGGAAGGCACTCGCGTAGCTGGGTGCAGGTAACCCGCGGGCATTGGTGAGTGTTATCCGCTGGACTGAGGGGAAACAGGTCGCCGCGGCTGAAGCTCTGCAGAATAAAACTGACGCAGGAGGGCGACTGGCTGCTTGTGTCTTCGTTGGCGTTTGTTGGCACGCCAAGAGGCGTCGCGGGGAGCCATCAGATTCAGGCCAGCCCTGCGCGGGTTCAGCGACTTGCAGGACCTCCAAACGGACGCCAAGGAGGTGAACAAGGGCAGGACGCTGCCGCGTATGCAGTAGCGACCCTGACGAAGCGAGCCCAATCTTTGACGGATAAGCTTGCCTATGAAGGGAAGGGGACGAAAACGAAAGGGCAAAGACCCGCATAAGAAGAAGGCGAAAAGGGGCGAGGAGTGGCGCTCGTACTGCAACAGGCCCGAACCGTTCGGAACGTCTTGAACAATCTTGGCACCGGGTAAAAGATCCCAGCGAAGCTCCCAAGGCCAAGAGCTTGCGGGGCAAACTTTACAAGAAGAAAGCGGAGGGAAGTTCAGCCATTGCTGGCGGCGTTGGCTCTGTTGGCGTTGAGGCTGGAGATCAGCCGGAAGACGTTGGCGAAAGTAAGGACTCAGGCCAAGCTCTACAGCTGGGACGCGTCGGAGCGTGTTCTCCATCTCCTGGCCGGTGACTTGGCTCGCATGAAGTTCAAGAGCGTGGAGACTGAGAGGGCCCGCCTCGAGGTCTTGGAGGGGGTCGACCGTTACAAGAAGGAAAAGCAGCCCCGTAACTTGGTTACATTCTTGCCACCCAACGCATGAAGAAGAAGAAAAGCCGCAGGCGCTGCCGGGTGCTGCGGGTGGTGCCGAGGTGGTCGCCGTTGCTGGGCTCACTATGTAGCGCGATTCTGTGACTGGTGCTGAGGTATTTACCATAGGCGTGCGAGGTAATTCGTCGAGTTTGTTCTCAGCTTACATTACTGTGCACGCGTTCAAGTGGCATCATGAAACAAGAGCAACAGAAGAAGAAAGTCGGGGGTCAGGTGATACTTCCTCGGTGGCTGAGTCGTGTTCTCGGTCTTGGAATGAGAGGCAGCAGTCTCCTCTCGCTCGAGGTGAGTCGGCTGCGGGCATTTCTTCAGGAGCAGACTTGTCCAGGCGGGAGGATGGTTGGCGTGCCACTGTTGGCTGCCTGGGGTCTTCACCTGAGTCGGTGAGCGGTGTGAAGGGTGTAAAAGAATAGAAGGGGTGGGAAACCTGGGCCACCCATTGCAAGGAAGTAGAAGAGAAAAAGAAGGAGAAGCCGGGCGGGAAGGAGCAGGGGGAAAAGACTAAGGCCCAGAGAAAATGGCAGAGGGTGGGAAGAGCAACGGGAGGACAGGGCATGCAGAGAGGCCCAACGCAAAGCGCAAAAAATAAACGAGAGCGGAAAAGAGAAGAGGAGGAAAAAAGAGACCTGCGGGCAAACCGCTGGAAGGACTCAGGGAAGGAAAAGAGGCAAAGAAGCCCCCAGGAGCGGAAGGGGCAAGAAAAGGAGAGAAGAGGCTGGCGGAGGAACCGCTGCAGGACCTCAGGGGAAGAAAGGAGGGGAAGAGGCAGCCAAGACAGAGAGCAGGAGGAGGAAGAGGGCAAAGCCTCTGAGGAGAAGGACGAGAAGGGAGCAGAAGGGGCACCCAGCAGCCCCACAGCAGTGAAAAGAAAGCAGCAACAAGGACAGAAAGCAAGACCGAACGAGAAGGACAACGCCAGGGCGGAAGAAAGTGAAAAAGAAAGAGGAGAAAGGGAGAAGGCCCGGCAGCGGGAGCGCTGGACGAAATGAGGCCAAAAAGACCACGAAGGGAACAGAACAGCAAAGGAGAAGGGCGGAAACGAAGGGGCCGCCTAAGGGGGGGCCCCCAGATGAAGGGGGAGGGAGTGCAGGAGGGTAGGAGCAAGCGAAGCGGGCTCCCCTCGCCTCCTTGGGGCCCCCCGGAGAGGGGGCGGACGCTGGTCCGGCCTTTCTTTGCGGGGTCGAGTAGGGGCAGCCCTTTACCTTAAAGGGGGCAGCCCTTTACTTTAGGAAAAGCTAGGCAGCTGCAGGGGTGGGATGGCATCCCGCCTCGCCCGGTCGGTGGGCTTGCGTCATCATCATCGCCACCGCTTGAGCCGTTAAGGACAGGGCCAGACTTGTACATGGGTACAAGGTTGAGCAGTGGCAGGCTCGCCACCGCTGTAGAATCGGCCAAAAGGAGGGGTGAAACAGCTTCAGGGCGCAGGCTAGTCCTGCACTAGTAGGCGGGCAGGCGTGCACGGCGCTGGCGCTGCGTCATGGGCAGGCCTGCTTCGGGGTCGGGAGTGCTGGCGCCCGTGTTAGTAGCCACGCGTGTAACCCTTCAGAGGGAGAGGGGCGCCGGCCGTCTTAGTGGATTGCCGACGCGCACGCGGGGGCGTCTCTTCATTCATATGCATGACAGGGGGGGGCGCGTCTGCCTTCAAGAAGTTCGCACTACGATGGCCGTTTACCTATGAAACCGCCGCGGACTTTGTCACCCGATTGCCCCCTATTAAGTTGGAAAGTGATGGAAGCTGTGGCGCCACTCGATTGCGCCCCAAGTTGGAAAAAGATGGAAGTCGTGGCCCTTATTGTGACTAGCCCTCTCAGACTCACCGTGACAAGCGTCGGCTTACTTTGCTGTGACTGGTCTCAGGCTTACTGTGACTAGACTCGGGCTCATTGCTACTGGTCTCCAGCTTGCTGCGACTAGTCTCAGACTTGCTGTGACTGGTCTCGTGCTCATAGAGACCAGCCTCGGGCTTGCTGTGGTTGGTCGCTGCCTGAGTTGGTTCGTCGGGCTCTGCGGGTCTTAACATCGTCAGAGGCTGGCGCCTGTGTATTCTGATGGCCTTAAGATTCGAACAGCCCGGCAAACTCAGCCAGAGACTAGGCGCAGCAGGTTTGAGAGTATTCACAGCGGGCGCGAGGCTAGTCGCAGTAAGTTTGAGACTAAAAGCAGCGGGCCGCTGATTAGTCAAAGTAAGCCTGGGACTAGTCGCGGTAGGCTTGAGGCTAGTCACAGTATGCCTGAGACTAGTCGTAGCAATTTTAAGACTAGTCGCAGCACTTTCGAGGCTTGTCACAGTAATGCTGAAGCCAAGGAAGCTAGTCGCTGTAAGTGTGAGACTAGTCGCAGACACAGAAACTGCCACGAGCACAACCCGCGCGCAACTCGTCACAACTTCCATTGCTTAGGAATAGCGAGG